AGAACCTCTGTCTTGGAAAAGTCAATGTCATGTGAGCCTACTGAATTATAACAATGATCTGCCACGGCCGAGGTGTTGGTCCTACCGTGTTTAAGGTCTGCTTTGTGTTCACGAATGCGGTCCGAGACATGGCGTTTGGTTTCTCCAATGTAACTACTACCACAGAGGCAACTTAGTTTGTAGATACCAGGGTACTGTATGTCCGGAATCACATCTTTTACAGACGGAACCAGATCACGGTCACGATAAATAAACTGCCAAATCGCTGTGGCGCTGACGGTTTTTATAAATAAATAAAACACTGTTTAAAAATAAATAAATTTATGCAAACCGACACACCTGATGACGACCGTTTGTGTTATGGTCGAAACGTCGTGAGAATTTATTGTTTTATATATATTATTATTTTATTGTTTCCCTTCAACGTGACTTTACCGAAAGAGCTAAGAATAAGTTTTTTTGGTTTGAACATGTTTGTTTTGTTGTAGTACGGAGTTAGACTGACGGCCTTGATCTAAGTTTTCTTGTGTTTGTTGTTGTTTGACTTGCATCCCACTGGAATTTTTTTGCGCACAGCGTTGATGTACGGTGCTTTTTTCAGGAATATTTAGCTGTTTTTTTCATGGATTTTCTGTTTGCACAGTCACACATAGTCACTTTAAGATGTTTTCTTGTTCGTGTTTTTTTGTTTGTTGTGGTTGCACCCGATTCAAGAGCCGAATCGCTCACAGGGATATTTCTAGATATGAAGCTTTCGTGTGACTGCAAGGATTCATACTTATTCTTAGTTTTTTCGGTAAAGTCACGTTGAAGAGAAACAACAAAATAACAAAATATATATAAAACAATAAAAAATTCTCACGACGTTTCGACCATAACTCAAACGGTCATCATCAGGTGTGTCGGTTTGCATATCAATTCCATACACCCAGCCATCAGATTTACCATGGAAGTCGAAATAGATGGCAAGATACCTTTTTTGGATGTCCTAATTAAAAAGAGACCTGATGGTTCAATGAGCCACTCTGTCTACAGGAAAGCTACCCATACGGATGCTTATCTGAAACCGGATTCCCACCACCATCCATCACAGAAGAATTCTCTCATCAAGACTCTGTATCATAGAGCCCAATGCATATCCGACCAGGAACACATAAGCAGTGAACTCAAGCACGTACACCAAGCTCTTAGGGCTAATGGTTACTCCGACTATACAATCCGCAAAGCTATCACTCAAACCATGAAGAAGAACCCTCTTGAGGAGCCTTTCAAAACCATCACTTTACCATACATTGCTGGGATCACAAAAAAGATCTCCAAAATCTTGAATAAACACAAGATCCAGGTCCGTTTCAACACATTACATAAAATCCGTGATCTGGTTCCGTCTGTAAAAGATGTGATTCCGGACATACAATACCCTGGTGTCTACAAACTAAGTTGCCTCTGTGGTAGTAGTTACATTGGAGAAACCAAACGCCATATCTCGGACCGCATTCGTGAACATAAAGCAGACCTTAAACACGGTAGGACCAACACCTCGGCCGTAGCAGATCATTGTTCTAATTCAGTAGGCTCACATGCCATTGACTTTTCCAAGACGGAGGTTCTTTGTAAGCCATCTGGCTTCCATGAGAGATTCGTTCATGAGGCTATCCACATATACAAGCACAGAGACAATTTCAACCGAGAAGATGGATTCTATCTTAGCAATCATTGGAAAGATTTGATAAATCATTTCAGTTCTTGATTGATTGTTCACGCTTACAGTGGCTTTCAGACAGCATACAAAAAAAAATTCGTCTCCCCCCTCCTCTTTTCAAAAAAAATAGATGGACTAGTCCTGGGCAAACTGCCAATCGCTGCGCGTGACGCAAACGTTTTTTTTTAAATAAATATGCCGTTTTTAAAAATAAATTTATGCAAACCGACACACCTGATGATGACCGTTTGAGTTATGGTCGAAACGTCGTGAGAATTTTTTATTGTTTTATATATATTTTGTTATTTTGTTGTTTCTCTTCAACGTGACTTTACCGAAAAAACTAAGAATATGAATTACTGCAGTCACGAAAGCTTTAAATCAAAATTTAATCGCCTCTACGGGGAGAGTTTTCACATAACTTTAAGATCCTTCAACAAACTCCGGGATAAGAAAGCTCAGCTGATCGAGTCTCTCACCTTCCTGAAGAGATACCGCGACTCTGGGGTAATACCAATCGCATTTACATTGACCTCTGCTGCTGTAACTTCTTCTAATGCGAAACGAATTCTTTTCAAAACTAGCTTAGCTCTTATCTCAGCAAAAATCAGACTTATACGCACACAACTAGATCAGTTAGACAAGACACTCTACAAATCACACTTATCATTGACGGCAATAATGTCCACATCGGATTGGGAACATGTAGACAATATGACTGCCTCTTCAGCTGCTACTATGTCGACCAAATGTAAGGAAAACCTGATTTCCAAATTTAACCTCCTCTTCAACAAAAGACCGGACCCACACACCAAAAAGTTAGACGTTAATAAAGTCGTAATTAATCGCAGTAACAGTTCTATTTCCGATGGTCTGAAATCCGTTTTAGCTAAAGGTCTAAACTTTGCAGTCACACCTAAACACATACCAGTTAATGATATAATTGCCCAAGTAGACGTTGCTCTCAGGGGCCTGGGTCACATCGCTGCAGACGTAGCAAGATCTGAAATCGCTGCAACCCTCAAAAACGCTAAGATGCCAGCTAGCAACCTCAGCAAAGATGAGCGTTTTGAATTATATAAATTAAAAAAGAGGAATGATATTGTAGTTCTCTCAGCTGACAAAGGCAATGCTACTGTCATCATGGATAAAATAGAATACAACAACAAAATTAAAGAATTACTCGACGATGGTAGTTATACAAAAATAAAAAGAGATCCCACCAACAGCCTCGTCACACAAACCAACAAAATAATTTCTGATTCAACCGCATTAATTGATCAATCTAAACAGTTTTCGTTGAAACCTTCTGCTGCCAGGCCACCAAGATTATACGGCTTACCAAAAATACATAAAGTTGATACACCTCTTCGTCCCATAGTCTCTACTATCAGCTCCCCCACCTACAAACTAGCTCGTTTTTTGTCTGAAATCCTGCGTCCTTTCACTGGAAAGACCACCTCTGCGGTGCAAAATTCTACTCACCTGGTATCAACAATCAAGGGTATTTCCCTGTCCCCAGATGACCTGCTTGTCAGTTTTGATGTAGTTTCCTTATTCACCAAGGTTCCTGTACCTGACACCATTGCAATCATTGAAGACTTGGTTCATCAAGGACTAAACACTGAGGTACCCCCCCTGGTGAGACACTGTTTAACCAATACATACTTCACTTGGAATGGAACTTTCTACAAACAAACTGAGGGCACCCCAATGGGCTCCCCCCTTTCTCCAGTTATAGCTAACATTTTCATGGAGAAATTTGAGACTGACGCCATCCAGACTGCCACTCTGCGCCCAACCTTATGGAAGAGGTACGTGGATGACACTTTTGTCATCTGGCCACATGGCCGGCCTGCTCTAGACCAATTCTTCGACCACATCAATTCCATACACCCAGCCATCAGATTTACCATGGAAGTCGAAATAGATGGCAAGATACCTTTTTTGGATGTCCTAATTAAAAAGAGACCTGATGGTTCAATGAGCCACTCTGTCTACAGGAAAGCTACCCATACGGATGCTTATCTGAAACCGGATTCCCACCACCATCCATCACAGAAGAATTCTCTCATCAAGACTCTGTATCATAGAGCCCAATGCATATCCGACCAGGAACACATAAGCAGTGAACTCAAGCACGTACACCAAGCTCTTAGGGCTAATGGTTACTCCGACTATACAATCCGCAAAGCTATCACTCAAACCATGAAGAAGAACCCTCTTGAGGAGCCTTTCAAAACCATCACTTTACCCTACATTGCTGGGATCACAAAAAAAATCTCCAAAATCTTGAATAAACACAAGATCCAGGTCCGTTTCAACACATTACATAAAATCCGTGATCTGGTTCCGTCTGTAAAAGATGTGATTCCGGACATACAATACCCTGGTGTCTACAAACTAAGTTGCCTCTGTGGTAGTAGTTACATTGGAGAAACCAAACGCCATATCTCGGACCGCATTCGTGAACATAAAGCAGACCTTAAACACGGTAGGACCAACACCTCGGCCGTAGCAGATCATTGTTCTAATTCAGTAGGCTCACATGCCATTGACTTTTCCAAGACGGAGGTTCTTTGTAAGCCATCTGGCTTCCATGAGAGATTCGTTCATGAGGCTATCCACATATACAAGCACAGAGACAATTTCAACCGAGAAGATGGATTCTATCTTAGCAATCATTGGAAAGATTTGATAAATCATTTCAGTTCTTGATTGATTGTTCACGCTTACAGTGGCTTTCAGACAGCAAAAAAAAAATTCGTCTCCCTCCTCTTTTAAAAAAAAAATAGATGGACTAGTCCTGGGCAAACTGCCAATCGCTGCGCGTGACGCAAACGTTTTTTTTAATAAATATGCCGTTTTTTAAAAATAAATTTATGCAAACCGACACACCTGATGATGACCGTTTGAGTTATGGTCGAAACGTCGTGAGAATTTTTTATTGTTTTATATATATTTTGTTGTTTCTCTTCAACGTGACTTTACCGAAAAAACTAAGAATATGAATTACTGCAGTCACGAAAGCTTTAAATCAGGATTCATACTCTTTGGTTTTAATTCTCTTTGGTTTTATTTGGTAAAGTCACGTAGATTAAATAAAACAAAACAATTAAATCACGACGTTTCGGAGGCAACACAAGCTTCCGTCTTCAGGTGGAATAGTCAACGCAGAATATCTGTGTCAGGGATATACCCAAACAAATCAACTGATAATAAACACCCCCCCACTCCACGTGGCCCTCCAGCCGACACTGTACATAAAAGCGCGAACTCTCGCGAGACTTCCGCGCAAACTCGCGAGAGCGGCGACGTCACGGCTCCCGCCGAGCGGATCAGCCGCAGAGTCTCGCTCGCGCGTTCATCGCGCGTCTTCGTGTGCCCAGGCGCCCCCGCTTCGCGCTCCACCCGCTCAGCCGAGGAGGCCATGATCCGCAGCCGCAGGGAGGTGGAGCGATGCGTGTCCAGCCTGGAGCGGAGCGCGCACTCCCCACGAGAGGTGTGGACTTGTGGGCCCGCGTCGGCGGCGGCGGCGGCGCCGGCCTAGGCCTCAGGCCTCGACTAGTGCCGGGGTGGGGTGGGGGACGATGGGGGGGAGAGGACCTGGTGAGATGAAGGCGAGCGAGGGGATACAAGGGCTGATGGGGGGGACGAGGGGACTCTGGAGCGCGGTGGGGAGACGCGGGGGCTCTGGGCCGCGGGCTCCGCGCCGCCTCACTTTGGGCCCCAGGCCTCGCACCCTTAGAATTCGTAGCCTGCATTGGCCGCCGCGCACTCTGATTGGTCAAAACGAATTCCGGTCGGCCAATGGGGCGCGGGTGCGGGGCCATGCGCTGCTTGTGGAGTCCAATAGTGAGGCGCGGCGCCTGTGCGCGCTAGGGAATGCAATCGTAGTGGTGCCGGGAGGGGGACACGGGGAGACCCGGGCGGGTGGGGACACGGGGAGACGTGTGGGGGACACGGGGAGACGTGGGGGCCGAGGGGGGGACACGGGGAGACCTGGGGGGGGACGACACGGGGAGACGTGTGGGGGACACGGGGAGACGTGTGGGGGACACGGGGAGACGTGGGGGCCGAGGGGGGACACGGGGAGACCTGGGGGGGGACGACACGGGGAGACGTGTGGGGGACACGGGGAGACGTGGGGGCCGAGGGGACGACACGGGGAGACCTGGGGGGGGACGACACGGGGAGACGTGTGGGGGACACGGGGAGACCTGGGGGGGGGGGGCACGGGGAGACCTGGGGGGGGGGGGACACGGGGAGACCTGGGGGGGGGGGGGGGGACACGGGGAGACCTGGGGGGGGGGGGACACGGGGAGACCTGGGGGGGGGGGGGGACACGGGGAGACCTGGGGGGGGGACACGGGGAGACCTGGGGGGGGGACACGGGGAGACCTGGGGGGGGGGGGACACGGGGAGACCTGGGGGACGACGACACGGGGAGACGTGTGGGGGACACGGGGAGACGTGGGGCCGAGGGGGGGACACGGGGAGACCTGGGGGGGGACGACACGGGGAGACCTGGGGGGGACACAGGGAGACCTCATGGGGGGGGGGGGACACGGGGAGACCCGGGGGCGGAAGGGTGGGACATTGGGAGACGTGGCGGTGGGGGATGGTTACGGGGAGACCTACGTGGGGTGGGGGGAGACCCGGCGAGACCTGAGTTGACACGGGGAGACCCGGGGGTGATACCGGGAGACCCCGGGTTGACACGGAGAGACTCTGTGGCCGAAGGGGGAGACACATGGGGGGGGGGGGGGGGGGCGGTTGGTTGGGGGGACACGTGGAGACCCGGTGAGACCTGGGTTAACACGGGGAGACCTAGGGGGGGCACGGGGAGACCCGGGGGATTGGAGGAGACCCAGAGAGAAAAACGGACAGAAAGGAAATCTGGCATACTGTACATGGATAGACGAGAGGCCTGAGACGTGGGGACACGGAAAAGGATGAATGAAATACTTAAGATATGGGAGCCACAAGAGACCTGGGGAATTTGATACGTGGGAAACACGGGAGACCGAGAAACGATGGAAGCGGGATATATGGAGACTAGGGAATGATAGGGGGAGATGAGTGGCGTGTAATATATGTACACCTGGGTCTCGTGGACACCTGGCAGGCCGGAGAGCTACAGGAGAGAGGCTGACCAGAGAGACCTGGAGACCCATTGATACATTGGGTGCAAGCATAAGATATCGGGGACTCTCGAGATCTAAGACACGGAGTCCTGTGTCACCTAAGATTTAAGACAAGACTAGACACGGGAGACCTGAGTATACTGTATACCTGAAACGGGAGGTTTGCAAAGAGGAACATATCTTAAACGGAAGAACTGGGAGACAACAGGGATACTGGAAATCCAGTTCATGGTAGATCTGTAATCCGGGTGTTACTGTGATTGAGTGTGTTTGAGATGGTTGCATTTCGTTGCTTTATCATCCAAACTATTGAGATAAGTTGGTCAGTTGACGAAGTGTACCACTTTCCTGTGCATTCTTTTTGCAGAAAAAGCTGAAGGGCCTCCTGTTTGGAAAGCTGTACTATGAAGCCAAGGACTTTGTGGTGGCCAGGAGGTGAGGAGCCACTTGTGGGGGTTTGTTCACGTGACCTCTAACCGGGCGGGTCTGAGCTGTCGCTACCGCTGCTGTAACCGCAGCCTAACTGAGCGGAATACACGTGGTGTGTTCCACGGTCTGCTTTGCAAGCCCATTGTTGAGCATTGGTATACAGTACAACATGTACGGCCCTTTTATTGATCAAGCGGGTCATGGGGACTATTTTCCCATATTTCACCATTGGTGGTCATTGTGGGTTGGTGAAGGTGGGGGGAGTAAGTGTGGAAGTCACCTGCTGCCTGACAACGTAGCACTGCAATAGCCGAAAACACCTGGTTTATATTTTTTTGGTGTTCTGCCTTGGTGGTTGCTGTTCCAAGCACAAACTATGCCAAGCCTCATCATGGGACCTCTTTTGCCAGTACCAAAATATGAGAATAGGTTTTCCCCTGTTTTCTGGCAACAAAACAGGTGTTAAGATGTTAAAACACCCAACTGAAACATTTTACAATGAATCATGTCTGCATTAACCACAATACTTGTGATCAGAATGCAAACAAAAACATACTCTGATAATATATGCATTTTCCTTAACTGATTGGTCCACACCAGAGACAGCTTTCTTTTGAGCCTAGGCTCAAACTAGGCTAAAAAAGAAAGCTGTCTCTGGTGTGGACCAATCAGTTTCAAAGACAATGCATATATTATCAGAGGACGTTCTTTGTTTGCATTCTGACCACAAGTACAGTAAAATATTGGATTGCGAGTAACTTGGTCTGCAAGTGTTTAGCAAGACGAGCAAACTTTTTAAATAAATATTAATTTGATAAACGAGCGAGGTCTTGTAATACGAGTAGTACATATACGCTTTGTCTGCCGAGCGTCACGTGATCACAACTGAGCCGATGGTTCTCTCTCTCGCTGCGGGTTTGTGGGTAATCGTCTCCCATGCTCGGTCTCAGTCGGCGTGCCACACTCGTATAGTCAACATCCCTGCGAGCGTATACTGTTTACTATAGCGTTGTGACCACGTGTGTGTGCATAAAGCATTTTTTTTATTTTGTGTCCCAAGTGTAGTGACTGTTCTTTAGTAAATTTTGATTTAAAGCTTTCGTGACTGCAGTAATTCATATTCTTAGCTCTTTCGGTAAAGTCACATTGAAGGGAAACAATAAAATTATATATATGACTTTACCGAAAGAGCTGAGAATATGTTCTTTAGTAACTGTACTGCAACAATGGCCCCCATGAAATCCTCTAAAGGAGGCAAAAGCGAGTGTCATTGGATAGGTTCCTTGTTAAAGTCGCACAAAAATAAAAATATTCCAGTGAGCCAACAGATAGCAGTGATTCCGTTAGTGACAGTGAAAGCCGTCCTACACAATATCCCTCCTCTCATCTCTCTCGTCTGCCTCACACCAGCCACAAATAATTTTAATTAATACATTTGATTACTTTATATTACATTTTTATAATAAAAATATAAAAAGGTATTTTGTATTAATAATTTTTATATGAATATTTTTTAGTTGTGGAACGAATCATCTGAGTTTCCATTATTTCTTATGGGGAAATTCACTTTGATATACGAGTGCTTTGGATTACAAACACGTTTCCGGAACGAATTATGCTCGCAATCCAAGGTTTTACTGTATTGTGATGCAGACATGATTCATTGTAAAAGGTTTCAGTTTGGTGTTTTAACATCTTAACACCTGTTTTGTTGCCAGAAAAAGGGGAAAATATATTCTCATATGCCAAGCCTGTTTAGCTTCCGAGATCTAGGACCCATTCCGGATGATTTTGTCAAAGTCATTTGAATGCAACATGGGAATAAGTTGGTCATAATACAGATCAGATGCACTTCCTTCTGCTCATTGATTGCATAAAAAGGCACACCCATGATAATTAATGTGATAATAGGAATATAAAGCACATCTCCAGTGCACTCTAAACGTAGCTAAGGCAGTATTATGGGTTGCCTTTAAATACATTCGCTTGGAATGTGTGTGCGTGTATATAAACATTGCAGTGCTGCAACTCTTTCGTAATTGGTTGTTCTGGCACCATGCCAAGCACTGGCGACTGAGCTGACTGCAGCTGCTGCAAATGTCAAATATCCCAGACGTTCGGCGCCAGAACCACATTTACAGTGGCAGCAGAGTGGCACTTTGTCCCAGAATAGAGTTGGCCTCAATTTGAATAATCCAGGGCACAGCATAAGGCATCTGTTATGCTGGGAGGGCTTGCCCCACGTTTTGGCTGTTACATTGAAAATTGTATTTACGTTGTGGTTTACATTCAGACTGAAATGTTTTATTTTCCTTTTCAGGCATGTGTCCGACTACTTGACCATCAACGAGAAAGATCCGAAAGCACACAAGTTCCTAGGACAGATTTACGAAGCCGAGGGAGACAAGGTTAAAGCTGCCGGATGCTTCAAGGTAATTTGTTAGTAATTAGTACAGTAATGGGGGTTAATTATAGAATGGTCCTTTGCAGTCATTTGAATGCCATTATCCTCAACTGCTGTGAGGTAATTAATCTTGGCATGCCCCCCCCCCTTCCTAATTTCGTGCTTTAATGATTTACAGCTGAAGAATAGCATTAGCGTCATTCGCCAGCGCCTTTGACCCTGTGCCGATATTACGACTGCGTTTTAAACGGTTTGTGTATTTCCACGAGTTTTGTTGTGGATGACGCGGTCTGCGGCGCTTGTGGTGCTGGCCCCCCCACCACCCCCCCCCCCCCCCAACTGCGGGGGCACCACGTCCGAGCGAGGTGCGCCGTGCTAACGAGGCGCTTGGCCTCCTGTCGCTCGGCACGCAGCGTTCACTGGAGCTGAACGGAGGCCAGAAGGAGCTGGTGCTGAAAGTGGCGGAGCTGCTGAGTGAAGGCCGCGCCCTGGAGGATGGCAGCGCCAAGTACTGGGTGGAGCGCGCTGCAAAAGTCTTCCCCGGGAACCCCGTCGTGTTCTCGCTCAAGGTGCGGCCGGCCGTGACGCCTTCACCTTGGCACTTCACCTGCCAAGGGGAACGTGTTTCGCACAAGTTGTTGCGCTGTAGTAACATTTGTAACAAAAATATAATTCAACTCGCAAGTCCTGAACTGAATTTTTTTCAGACTGTTTCAGGAACGTTCTGCATTGGGCTGATTGATCAATTTCACAAATTAATGTTTAGTACTTGGGATGAAACCAGAGTACCCCGGAGTAAACCCACGTTTGCAAGGACATAATTCTCAAACTTAGGAACAGATAGATTCAATAATCCATTTGCGTACTGCCACCTCCTGACCACCTCACCAATTCTCCAGTTTTGGAACGCACCTCTGTCAAGATCCTAGTTAGGCCTGTGAAGGTGTCGTTGTTGAATTGGCGGTCTGGCGAATGGGGTTGGCGTGTTGTTTGTCGGTGGTGCGGTGCTGGGCTAGCTGTGTGGGGGTGCCGCGGTGACTGTGGTCCTGTTGCAGGAGAAGCTGCTGCGCATGGGCGGGGAGCCTGAGGAGCTGGAGGCGCTGGTGCGGGATGAGCTGCGCCTTCGGCCCCACGAGCCAGCGCTCAACGTGCACCTGACCAAATTGCTGCTCGACTCGGGACGGCACTCCCTAGTGCTGCAGCACGTGCGCTCCGTGGATGCGTCTCCCGGCCTGCGCCACGCCCTCACCTGGCAGCGATGCGTCGTCTCCTCGCTGCAGGTGCCAACATGTGGGACTTGAGGGTCATTCAACACTACATCGGTTAAGAAGATCCCTTGACCAGACCCGATTTTAGACCAAATCCGTGTCCCTAAAACAGTGGCTTCAGTCGTGTGTGGTTAATTATTATTTATGGATGCAGAGCTTGGCTTGTCAAAGAGTCGTGCAAGCTGTAATTGTGAGCAGCGACACGTCCGGTCCCGCTCATGAGTGGCGCGCCTGTTTGCCTATGTGACCTGGCAGGGAGTGGTGCGAGGGAGGGCAGAGGAGCGTGAGGAGGTGAGGCTGCGGTTGCTACTTGCGCTGCATCACGTGGTGCGGCTGTCCCTGGGCACAAGAGACATCGCGGAGGCAGTCGACGCTCTCAGAAGGTGCGCCGGAAATGTGGGATTGCATAAACCTCGGTTACTGTGAATTTGTACAGAACAAATCAAGGTGGCATTGTGGCCAAAGCTGTTGATGCCACCACAACTCGCCAACCCGTTCTACCCTCCGCCAGATCCACTGCACTGTAGAGATGTGACATCCAAGATTTTCCATCGCAGTATCACACCATCTACTCTTAGAACGTTAGCCTTGGTCGCCGAATTCTCAGAGACCACTTCAGTGTCTTTCGTGGCAATTGGAGCTACCCCATTCTGCACTGCACACATCCCATCCAGCGCAGCCGTTATTTCCTGTGTACAATATTCACCTGCCTTTTCTTCCAGACTTCTAAATTGCTTATCCTGTCTTGCAACCATTTCTGAGCGTCCAATTTAGACACGTGCTAAAATGCCAACACCTTATTTTGAGCTGCTTTTGGATTCTGTCAGTCACACAGTCACAGCACTTTCCTTGAAAAATGTTTGTCCTACGCAGTGAAGTAGAGGCTCCTTTCAACTGGAAAGAAGCAACGACGCATGATGTTGATGGTTAATCGTGGTCAGCCGATAATTGTCAACCTCTAACAAAAATCCACGGGTGATAAATGTCAATGTATTACAGTAAAACCTTGGATTGCAAGTAACTTGTTCTGCGAGTGTTTTGCAAGACGAGCAACATTTTTAAATAAATATTAATTTGATAAACGAGCGAGGGTCTTGCAATACGAGCAGTACGTATAGTCTGCCGAGCGTCACGTGATCACAACTGATATACGAGTGCTTTGATATACGAGTGCTTTGGATTACAAACACGTTTCCGGAACGAATTATGCTCGCAATCCAAGGTTTTACTGTATTTGGGTCTTTCGGTAAAGCCACGTAGATGGAAACAATTATAAAAATATCACGACGTTTCGATTGCAATACAAGCAATCGTCAGCAGGTGAAACAAAAAATGTTCTTCCATTGATGACGATTGCTTGTGTTGCGATCGAAACATCGTGATATTTTTTATTATTTTTTTCTGTCCATGTGGCTTTACCGAAAGACCCAAAGAATATGAATTCCTGCAGTCACGAAAGTTTTAAGTCAAGATTTAACTGTCAACGTGCTAATTGATGTGAGTGACTGGGTGGTGGAAGGCATAGGCTGACTCAAGCTTCGGATCCCTTCTGCAACACGGTTTTATTGGCGATTTGCAGTTTTAAAAAACTCCCGTTTGTACAATGGCTGGAACCATTTTTCATTTGATTAAAATGAGTCTTAAGGAGAGAGGGATGGTTACCACGTTGGATTGGCGTGCCCGACAAGCCGTTTTTTTCAAGAACCTTTGCCGAGTCAACGCGAGCAACTGGAGCCCACCTGCCGTCGTGAATGCTGAAAGCGGCCTCCGTGGTCGCTTGATGGAAGCTGCGACGTTGCCGCCCTCACTGCTGCCCGTCGGGCATCTCTATCCACAGTTTTGATGAGGAGCTAGGCACCGCCCTTGTGGAGGAGGGCGATTGGAGCCCCGTGCTGGGTGAGCTCAAGGGACAGCTGTACCTGCACGCTGGCACCCTGCTGCTGCAGATGGCACGGGACCGGCTGGCAAACTGGAGGGCAGTGGTGGACCAGGCTGCCCTGTGCTACATGCTGTCCTACCAGGCAAGTGCCACTTGTATCATGTGACGGGGTACAACGTGACACGGCTTCAACTTATGCAGCGTCTTAAAAGCTACCGCAACCAGACATTCTTCACAAAGCTTTGCTTAAAACAGAGTAACATAACATTGCGTTGTAAACCTTTTAAAGCTTCTATATTAATTATTATTTCAAGACAATCGGCTAAACCTGAAAAACACTTCTATATTAATGAAACCAACTATATAAGACCTTAAGAATTAATGTAAAAGCAAAATCTCATCAAACTACGACGTGGTTGTGCAGGTTGAATGGGGACTCGCGAAGTCGAGCGAGTCCTCAGGGATTTGAGTGTGTGGCTTTTAGGCACGCGCTGCAGTGATGTTTGTGGCTTGGCTGAGACGCTGTGTGCTGCCCTGTGCTGCGGCAGGTTGACCGTATCGAGCTGAAGTCCAAAAGCAGGGTGGTGACTGGGCAGGACATGGACAGCCTCTCGTGCGACCGGCTAAGCCAGGCAGGTGTGTGTAACCCGCTGGTTAACCGTGTGCGAGTTCAAGTACTCTAGCAGTCGTACGCGCGGGTGCGCTTCTACATGATACGTGCACACGTATGCATACGCCCGCGCTCGTGTGCGTTTGCCCCACGCCTGCCCCGCAGGCCACATGCTGGTGACGCTGCGCGAGGGCAAGCCGGAGGACTACCTGGTCCAGGTGGCAGAGTCGCTGGCTGGCCCCGCTGGGCAGGATGCCCTCGTGAAGGCCGTGTACGCGGGCCAGCCCCCACCCTGCTCGCTGCTGGCGTCGGACGATATCCCTCAGCAGCTGCGCACGCATGTCCCCGACATGCACCGGCTGCTCGACTATGACACGGGTACTGCCACTGGTGTTCCTTGGCCCCATAGATTTGAAGTCTCGTGATATAGAGCTCGTGACCAGGGTAGAATCTTATTTGCACGGGTGAGCTGGGTCACCTGAAGTGACAAATGGAAGAACAAATGAATAAATAATCTGAGAATATGACAGGAAGATAGATTAACTTTCAATGATACATTCTCTGTAGTGTAAGTCGGCTTGGGCAGATCATTTTATGTTGATCATGGCACGATTACAATTAAGTTACAGAAAAATTAAACAGATAGATAGTGACTGTTATTATACTGATGTATAAACAGACGGGGATATATGTGAAATACAATTGCAAGTTAATTTATAAAAAACAAATTGACAGTTTAGCATCCTATGGTGATTTAGATGGGAGACTAACTAAGGACACATGTTTGAAGCGATGGGATTTTAGGTGTTTCATGGATAAACAGAACAAGTGAGATCCGTGTTAGTTTTGAGGGTTTTGGTCCCAAATAAACACCTTGGATTAGGTAAGGGACTGAGTTATGTGTGTGTGCCTTAAATGTTAACTTGGCCCAGTAAACCTCCCTCCGAGTTGGAAGTGGGTGAAAAGTGATGACCGATGTTGGACCGGGAATCACCCTCCTTTCAAGCATTTGCTGGCATTCTGTGAGTGATGCGGGGCCCGTGTCGTGCTCCCGGTGCCAGGTGCGGTGGCGGAGCATGGCGGGGACCTGCAGCAGCTGGTGTGGCTGTCCCTGATGTGGTACGACTCGTCCGAGCCACGGCCCGACCACCTCAAGTGGCTGTCGCCGCTATTCCCCAAGATGAGGCTGGAGACGGAGCGGCTGGAATCGGACTCTGGGGAGACCACGGCTCTTTTGGATATGGAGGTGACAGTGTCGTTGCCGCTCGTCGTTTTGACGACGCGTCAGTTTGTTGATTTTTTTTCAATCGAGGCCAAGGAGAGAGTGGCCAAGTGGTTCGGAGGTCCAGAGCGGTAAGCTGGCACTGCTGAGATTGGGTTTTAAATGCGGGCCAAGCCACCTGTGATTAAATTGGGTTAGCGAGTTGATGTTCCTTAGCCTGATCCACAATGGCTGCACACAAAAACCCCATAATTTAATTTATTACTGCAATTTAATTGGACTCAAGTTCAGCACCGAGAATTAAAATATTGTCACGACTACCGGAAGATGAAATGTGTTCTCATTTGCAAGAAGGTTTGGAAAGTGCTGCCCCCCCCCCCCCTACTGTTCGTGGACTAGGGGTCATTTGAAGTAATCTCAGAGGTAGTTCTGCGGGATCCACGCCCAAGTGCTTTTCTCTAACATGAAGGGTTACACTGCTCTGCGAGAGAGGTGAATCGCCTGTGGGTGAATAGTTGTATGCCTAGTTGTCAAACAGGAAAGCTTGCCACCGCTTGGCTCTCTCTGTGCAGGCATTTGCTCGTGCAGTATCTGTAACTGTTAGATCCGCCAAGATTTTGGACTGCGGTTCGCATCCAACAGCAGTGCCACAGCATTTGTTTGCTGTGCCCGGCAGGTGTTCTTGCTAGGCGTGACATTTGCAGCGAACGCCCAGCTCGGGGAGAAGATAGAAAATCTGCGCCGAGCCGACGAGCCGCGACTGAGCCCACTGCCACTGTGTCGCCTTCTCATCAGCGATCGGCAGAGACAGTGGTGGCACGCGGTGCACAGCCTGCTCAACAGACAGGCACAGTGAGTAGCCATGCATATCCTTCACGCAATGTGTGTGATGCTTTCCCACGGGGACACACCACGCACGAGCGCTAGTTTGTCAAGCAGGACTGCGTATTTGTACAACCCCAATGGCAATCCATCGCGAGAGTGCGGTCTTTTACCATACTTCACAGCGCTGGTCAGCGCCGGTGGGGAAGGCTGGGAGCGTAGATTTGGCAGTATAGTACAGCAGTGGATTTTGCTACATTGCCCATTGCTAACAACTGTATTTGGATGTACATCTGGACTCATGTCCTGTTTTTCCATCATAAAGGAAAAAAAAGTATTCTTTGGTTCTTTCGGTAAAGTCACGTAGAAATAGAAAATAATAAATTAAATTACATAATATCATACGACGTTTCGATTGCAAAGCAAGCAATCATCATCAGGTACAAATGAAAGAGAAACAAACCTAGTGAACTTAGAAATATAAATTAAATGATGTAATTTAATTTATTATTTTCTATTTCTACGTGACTTTACCGAAAGAACCAAAGAATAATTCCTGCAGCCACGAAAGCGTCAAATCAAGTTTGAAAAAAAAAGTAATCCAATAATTTAATAAATATGAGCCATAATGTATTCACTGCGTGATTATGGTCTCCCCAGCCCATCACCATTGCTCACGCATTAACCAATCTTTTGCCCTGTCTCAGCGGTGGTGAAATAAAAATCAACGCAGTGGAATGATTACGGTAAAATATTTCGGCGACAATTGACAACTTGGAAAGAGCAAATTACTCAAAATAAAATGGTTTCAAATGTTGATAGGGGCAGGGCATGGGAGTGTGGTCAGACACCACAACAGCACGGTGTTGCGACCATGACGGTGGCGGCATCGCCGCGCGCGGTGTGTCTGTGTGCAGGCCGGGCACGTTGGCCAAGCTGAGGCTGAGGGTCCAGCAGGATCTGCCAGTGCTGCGCGCACACGAGCGGCACGGGCTGCAGCCGGCGCTGCTCATCCACTGGGCCGACACCCTCGTGCGCAAGGTGACGGCCGCACCACTGCAGCTTTTGCAGCCAAGAAAGGAACAAGCGAGGGAAATTATTTTGTACGCTTTCCAACGTGCGTTTGTACCCTGGACGTTTTTCATTGGCACGGCGACGTTGCCTTCGGAGGTCGCACAACGGGGTGACGTCGCACGGTGCGTGACGTCGCAGGTCACGTGTTTTGAGTACAAGCGCCTGTTGGAAAGCGTTACTTAATCCGTGCGTCTGCATGATGTTTCTTGTACTGGTTTGCGTCGTCTTATAACGAAAGCAGTTGCTTTAAAGCCGCTTGCGCCGCACACACACGCGCATCGTCGCACCGCTTGCATGCAGGGCAGCGCGCAGAGGAGCAAGGCGGCCCGGCGGGACTACGTGGCGCGCGGCGCCTACTACTGGGAGAGGGTGCTACCCTTGCTGCAGCTGGCGCGCAAGCACAAGGACATCCCCGAGCCCATCGAGCCGCTCTTCTCGCACTTCCATAGCCGTGACATCAAGGTATGCGCCGCGTCGTCCCCGTCGTCGCAGGCAACGCCATCCTCGCGGGAGCTGATGCGGGGTTCGGGGACCGTGGTGAAATTTGTCGAGCGTTTCTTTTGGTCTTGTGGGCTCTGCCCTCCTGACGACCGCGCTCGTGTGAACGTGTCGCTTGGCAGCCACAAGAGGCCGACGCGTTCATCGTATCGGCAAAGTTGGCGCTCGGGACGCTGTCGCTTGTGCGAGAAGACTACGAAGATGCGGTGAAGAGGTTTGAGGCCGTGGGGACCCCGCTGGCCTTCTGGAACTGTGCCCTGGTACGCCGCCACACCCACTGGTTGCACGCTTGCCCCTTGTATTGAAATAGATGAGCTTATTTTGTAACCAGCTAAGAGCTCAGTTTAACACGTAGGCTTTCGCGACCAATATCATCCATAAAACAGGTTTTTTTTTATTTAACCCAAAAACCTGCATTATGGAGCTAAGAGCTCGTTGAGACCAGTCCCATATGCAACGGAGACCTGGGTTAACAATGGCACACGATAAATGCTAATGCATAAAAACAATGTGGTGAATACGATTAGAAAAATAATACAATATAATGGTGATGCATGCATTCATTTGTATTTCAATGAGTAGAGACCCCATTGCTCTGCGACAAAAAGCAAGAACGGTAGTTTTCATAAGCTTCTCATAATCCCGTGCTCGGACCACTACAAGTATTCTGCTCTTTTAAGTAAGATAATTTAGATTTTTTTTTAAATATTCTCCTAGGATTTAAAATATTCTGGAGAAAGAATTACATTTAATAGAAGCACACATTAAAATGTGAAAGCAATTTTAAATAAACAGTGTCACTCTTCTGTATTCGTTAGTCTCAAATCTTGGGTGTGGCTATGATATGTCTTCTGAACTTCTTACGCCGTTTCAATTCACTGATTATTTGTTCCACGGAAAATCCGATTTAGCCAACTAGCCAGCTTGTTTCCACAGGGTAGGAGCCGTGTAAGCAAAGGAAGGGGCCCCAGAAGTCTGCAGTCGCACCCTTGGGGATGTATCGCGATCGCTCACCAGTGGAGGATCCCTGGTCGTGTAGGGCTTTACAGTTCAGGAGACCGACCTTCAATGTGATGTACCATCGTTTTTTTTACTTTTGGGAATACAGGGACTCCTGGTTACGAAAGTTCGACTGAGGAACTTTCGGAGATACGAACAAACCTGTCTATTTCCAGTTGCCCGTTCAGATGACAGTGGTGGCATCTACATCTGCAGAACATGAAGAGCCAGTGGCATCTTCCTCTACAGGAGATTATACAACTTTTAAAGCCATTCCCCGTATTCAGTGTACATGCCGTACAACATGTTTGGAATCGACAGGAGTTAAGTTAGACTTGCAAACAAATCGACTTGCGAACAGACCTGGAACCTCACTCGTTCGTAAGTAGAGGAGTCCCTGTAAACCGGAAAGCCCCGAATAACCCATGCAGAACAGGGAGGGATAGTACAAACTCCAAACAGAGAGACACCCGAATCAGGAATCCAAACCAGACCCTTCTTGCAGTGAGGCACAAAGTGTTATCACTTCGCCACCCAACCTCCCATAGGTCGTGCAGCCAGAACCTCGGCACTCTGCTACCTGCAACTTTGATTTCAGGAGCAGGGAGTTAAGAACCTCTGAGCAACAAAATCCACCGCAACTCCGTTGTGAATGATGATGATGATGTGAATTATGTGACCAATGATGTTGTCTTGCTGATCGGTGCAGCTTTTCCAGAGCCTGGCGGAGGATGCAGACCCCGGTGGAGAGGAGACGGATGGCCCGAAGAGAGAGCAGTGCCGGGCGTCGCTTCGAAAGGTCGAGGGATACCTGCTCAGGATCATGCACATGCTGCCCGACCACGACTGGGACTACCCTGCGGAGGACGGCGAGGTGCCCGCACGCCACACGACAAACAGCCTCGTGGCCAGGAATGAATTAGTTAATACATTCCTTCGTCTGTCTCGTTTGCACAGTGTTCTCCATTAACCTCAGCGTATTGATCTAATTTGCATATAATTGCACGAATTGTATGCTAAATTAATTATTGCACGGTGCCGATACATGTATCGTCTTGAAGTCAAAAGTGATCTTCATTGATAAATGAATGCTTTGCTACATATCTAGTCTTTAGCTGGCAGAAATAAGGTTGTGGCAGTGTCATCTGGAGGGGAGCAGTGGCTGTCTGTGACTTGTGGGTCCCTACATGTTCTGCGTATCCGCGCGAGTTGCATTGACCCGTGTGTGTGTGTGTGTGGGTATGGGGAGCAGTGGCGTAGTGGTTAGTGCACTGCACTACAAACCTGGCGACCCGAGTTTGATTCCCGCTCACAGGCAGCATTGATGACTTATATCAGAGTCGGTCCTGGTCCTCCCCTAAGTCGACTCGGCTTTATAAATGAGTACCTGGTGCAGTGAGCAAACATGAGCAGCTGGGGAGACAAAGGCGGTCGGGCGTGGTGCTGAACACTCGCCCCTCTTGTGTGCCGTGCTGGCCTTCCTAGGTGCTGGCAAATGGCACTTACACCAAAAGTTTGTTAAAGGCTATAGGGGGATATTTATCTTTGTGCGGCCGACACCACAGCAGGCCGGAGTGAGCGTGAGCTCCGTGCGCGATCTTCTGGATGCCCTGCGAGCACGGCTGGAGCAGTCCCGTGACGAAACGAACGGAGACCTTTCCAACGGTGGCGACCTCGGCAACAGCAGCGCCGCCGCCTCCATGCGGTCATCGGCCTCGCCCGCCAAGGCCACCACCCTCACCTCCCCACTCAAGAGCATTCTGGTAGGCACCACCCCCCACGCGTCTGACACGTTGCGCGGTCGTGATCAGTTGCGAGCCGGCGGCGAGACGGTGAGGTTTGGCGCTGAGTCGTCGTGTGTGGCGTTGTCTGTGTGCAGGGCTCCCCGCGGACTTCTCCTCGTTGGGCCCAGCAGCAGACGCACCTCCTGGAGACACTGTGCCACCAAGTGCAGGGGTTGCAGGCGAGTAAACCAAGTGCAGCCGCCAAAGAGTCAGAGTGGTTTCCTGCTCAGATTATCATTTAGGTGATGCTCATCTCCTGTTTATACCACTCCGCAGAGCCAGTGGTGGAATTTCTACATTACTATGGTGGGGGGGGGGGGGGGGTGAGTTTCCATAGGACAACCATTGTTGACTTCCGCACAGTGGCCTAACCAGTCTGGATTGTGTGAGGCGTTCGCACATTCTTAAAGGTCTGGATACGGTCGCCATCATCCATGAGCTTCTCCGGCAGCCGAGGCTGCATTGGCTGTGTCATGTAGCCTGCATGCCTAGCCACTGCATGCCCACACAATTTCTGTTTAGCTGGATAGAGTGGTCTAAATTAGCACAGTACGGGTGAGAAAAAAAATGGACTGATGTAGTACGGAAGGATGTGGAGCTGATTGGACTTGCAGATAACTGGTACCAGCGGTGTCGATATTGGCATCTGTGTAGGAGGCTCATGAAGGACGCTATTGGGCAGTTGGAGGCAGCCGGGCGGCTAAAACGTAGCAAGTTGGCACAGACGTTGACCTTCTCCTGCCCCTCCGTTTAGCACAGTTGGCTTCGTACAGTGCGAAAGAAGTTCAGCATACAGACTTACGTAGGGAGCCACAGGTGGTCGATCTGCCAGTCAACCCAAACGCAGGCGTCTATCCCATGACCTGCTAGTCGACCTTTAACACTTCACGTGGCCTCAAAGTGCACCTAGCTTTGCTAAAACGCTGTGGCAAATGTTGTTGCATGCGTGTGCCAACGTGTGTGTGTGTGCCCGTTGGCAGAATGTGATGCGCGGCCTGCAAATGGGGACGCCTGAGGGCGCGGGTGGCGTGCAGTCCCGCATGCACATGGTCATGGAGGGTGGCTACCCAGCAGAGACGCTCGCCGACTCGTATCAGGCGCCCGCCTCCTTCCAGCAGGGCGTGCCTCTCACGGGTACAGCTCATTAATCGTACACACCTCATCCAGCCTGACCCCAGCACCCGCAGTCTGGCATTGCCTTCACATGCAGCTTAGCGCCACATGTCTTGAAATCCCACCTGGGTGTTTGAATGTCATTATATTGCAAAGGGTTTGTCCCTTAATACAAATCATCAGGCGTAAGAGTGGCACGGTGGTAGGTGACAATCGTGATTTTCAACAAGAAGGACCCGGGTTTTATTCCCAACCTGGATTTTGTGTTCTTTCCCTCATGGGTTTCCTTTCCATGCCTTGCTCGTGCAAGTGATTGGGTCAATTATGCTCGTGGTTGCAAATTCACTCATTGGTCTCTCCCATGCGCTGATAATATTCACTCAGCTGTGAGTGAAACCGCTACGTCTGAATGGGATGCGCTTACGAGAAAAAGACAAAGGTCCCCCATATAGCCTTAACAGATTGTAGGACCAAGTGCTGTTAGCCGTGAGCATGAATCGAACTCGTGTGGCCAGGTTCGTCCCGCAGCGTGCTTACCGCTACACTACCACTCTCCCCTTTCACACGCACGCCTGCTTGCGTGTGTCTCTCCAGTGTCGACAGGAGGAGCGTCGGCTTTTTACAACCAGTCTCCCGGCTACAACACACAGTACCTGCTACGAACCACCACGCCTGCCAAGGTACACCCACCAGCTTTTTTTTCAACTTATTTCGTGTGGTGTCGGAGTTGATTGGCAGCGTCTGTGTGTTCGTGTTGAGGTTGGTGAGTAAGCCAGTGGACGGTTTCAGGAGAAGCCTTGTGGTGAATATCTAAAATGCTGCTGCCAGAGAAAGATGGAAGCGAACAGTGGCATAGCTGTGTGGTCCGTGCTTTGAGACAGGTGACTGCAGTCTGCGCTCTGGGATATTCTTTTAATTGTTCATCAGTGGAGGTGGAGCTAGCTGCGTCTGCCATGCAGTCTGATGCAGTTCATTACAGGCCATTGTTTCCTTGGTTAGATTGAAACCTAGAGGGGAGGGCGGAGGTACTTCATGTAGGGTTTGTAATTTTAAGTGCTCGGCAGGTGCATCGTAATTGTCTCATTGTCCCTGTGTTTGTTTCCCTGGCAGCACCCCAACATGTACAGCGGGATCCCACGCCTCACACCGCAGCAACAGCAGCCGCCGCAGCAGCCACAGCCCCCCCCGCACGTCTACTCGTACCAGCAGCCCCCTGCGAGCACGCCCCCCGCACCCTCCTCGGCCCCGCGCATCTACCCCCAGGACGTGTTCAGTGGTTCTGGCTACCCGCACGGCTCTGCTTATGGCTACGACTCGGCAGTGTCCGGCAGCGTGCTGTCCCCCTACGGCAATCAGTTCTACGAGCCCCCCGCCAGCAACCCGGCGCTGCCCGAGCCAGGCTTTTTCACCATGCCCCCGGCCAACCGCGTGCCGGACGCACCCAGAGCTGTGGCGAGCCCCAGTCTGCAGGGCCAGCCGCCCGGGCAGTTGATGCAGCAGCAGCAGCCCGCCTTCCAATTCAGCAACAATTTCCGGTCGGATGACGGTGATTATACGTTCTCTTCGCCGGTGGGAAGGCAGGGTCCGGCTGGCTCGCTGACCACGGGTACGCCCATCAAGATGGAGCAACTGCCACAAACCGCCTCGTCACATGGCAAGCCCTTTCCTCCCTCGTCCTCCCAGGCCGGGCCCCCTCTGAGTTTGTCTCAGGACACCGCTCCGTACTTCGATGTGAAAGCGCTGTCTGGGATGTCTTTCGCCGACCTCGCTGCACAGAGTTTGGACAAGGGAGTCGGGTTTGGCCAGACCACGGGCGGCACAAACACCTTTTCCTTCAAGGACCGGGGAAGGCCGCTCTTCCAGCAGTCCACTCCGGCAAGGGGGGATGATGGCAGCGATGGTGAAGTGGACAGCGTCCTTGGGGAGGAAGATGGGCCACACTTCGAGCCCGTTGTTCCGCTGCCGGACAAGGTGGAAGTGAAAACGGGAGAAGAGGACGAGGAGGAGCTGTACTGCAACCGTGCAAAACTATTCCGATTCGACGCCGACAGCAAAGAGTGGAAAGAGCGCGGAGTTGGCAATTTTAAGATTCTCTGTCACCACGTGTCAGGGAAGCTGCGGGTGCTGATGCGGCGCGAGCAGGTACTGAAGATCTGTGCGAACCACTACATCACGGCCGAGATGACCCTGAACCGCAATGCCGGCTCCGACAAGTCCTGGGTTTGGCACGCACTCGATTTTGCTGACGAAGTACCAAGGCACGAGCAGCTCGCGATCAAGTTTAAAACGGCGGAGGAGGCGGTCGTTTTTAGAACCAAATTTGAGGAGGCACAGCAGCTGCTGAAAAATGTTGTGAGTGACGGTGACGAAGGTGATAAACCTCTGGCTCTCGTGAAAGGCTCTTCTAAACAAAGCTCTTCTAAATCAGCTCGAGCCGGAAGTCAAACTCCTGTCTTCAAGCTGATTCCGGTGGGGTTTGGCGCTAAGTTTGAGAAAAAGGAGGGCGAGTGGGACTGCTCGGTGTGCGTGGTGAGGAACAAGCCCGATGCTGATGCGTGCATCGCCTGCCTCAGCGCAAAGCCTGGAGGAGGGGACAGGCCGGGGCAGACACCTGCAGCGTTTGCACCTTCTGGCTCTGGGAGCAGCGCCTCCTTTCCCGACTTCAAATTCAGCACTATCTCCGCAAGAAATGCTGTCGAGTGTCCTGGGTCTTTGGCACTTGGCTCTGTTCCCGATTTTAGACTTGCTTCATCATCAAGCCTGCCTTTCAAATCCACTCAAGATAACAAAACACCTGCCGTGGCGTCACCTGCGGTTTCCGGCAAGGGGTTCGGTGCACAGTTCGCAAAGAAAGAAGGACAGTGGGATTGTGAGATCTGCGTCGTTCGGAATGATGGCAGCGCCACGTCGTGTGTTGCCTGTCAGACCCCCAATCCCGGAGCCCCTCCTGAGAGCAATACGTTCACCGAAGGCCTCCCGTCGCTCACCGGGGTGACAGCTTTTCAATTTGGTTTACCGACAGAGAGCGACAAGCAAGGTTCCGGCTTTATGCAAGCAGCGACCAACTTTGCTTTTGGGATGGGCTCCGACGCAGCCACCGGATTTAGCTTTGGTATCGCAACTGGAAACAGTGCTGCCAGCAGCACGGCCAAAACCATTCAGCCAGGGTCATTTAGTTTTACCCAGGCCTCCACAACCACTCCCTCTTCGGTGGAGAGCCGCCACCAAGCTCCTGCTTTCCCGAAGCTGCTGGGATTTGGTTCCCAGTTTTCCAAGAAAGAGGGCGAGTGGGACTGTGACACTTGTGCAGTTCGTAACAAACCTGACCTTGCCGCGTGCGCTGCCTGTCAGATGAGAAAACCTGACGCCTCCACAAGTATTCCACGTGTGGCAGAGAGCAGCCAAGCCTCTGCTGTCAGGAACCTGACAGGATTTGGTTCCCAGTTTTCCAAGAAAGAGGGCGAGTGGGACTGTGAAACATGCGCAGTTCGTAACAAGCCTCACCTTGCCGCGTGCGCTGCCTGCCAGATGAGAAAACCGGACGCCTCCACAAGTATTCCACGTGTGGCAGAGAGCAGCCAAGCCCCTGCCTTTGGGAACCTGATGGGATTTGGTTCCCAATTTTCCAAGAAAGAGGGAGAGTGGGACTGTGACACTTGCGCAGTTCGTAACAAGCCTGACCTTGCCGCGTGTGCTGCATGCCAGACGAGAAAACCAGGCACTGAACCAACGGAGAAACCTCCAGCACCTTTAACCGGGTTCGGACAACCCAGCTCCGGGTTTGGATCGTCTATGTCTGGTTTCACGTTCGGCACCTTGACTGCCAAGACTGATGAATCGGGCTTCAGCTTTGGTTCGTTGGCTCCTGTGGCTGGACAGGCGAGCGCTTTTAAATTTGCCACGCAGGAGGGGAAAGAGAGGAAAGGGCCTTGCCAACCAGGGTCCGCATCGCTCCTGCTCAAGATTCTTGCAGAAGATCACGAGAGAGTGGAGGTTCCCAACTCAAGTGGCCCTGTCGGAGGGCAAGGCTTCTCTGGATCCGTTCTTGCAGATTTTAAGCCGATGAGCACGGACGGATTCCAGGGCTTCTCCGGCACTTCTTTTGCTGAACTGGCGACAGCCCAGCCCCTGGAGTTTGGAAAGAACCAGTCGAGTTTTTCCAACTTTCCCAGCATCGGGAAGGCGCTGTTTGGCGTGACTGCCGATGCCGATACGTCAGGACAGGAGGATTCTAACGAAATGTACAAGACGGAGGAAGACGACGAGATTCATTTTGAGCCCGTGGTGCAAATGCCCGACAAGGTGGACCTCGTCACAGGAGAGGAGGAGGAGGAAGTGTGCTACTCTCAGCGAGCCAAGCTGTTTCGCTTCGACACGGCCATGTCTCAGTGGAAAGAGAGGGGCGTTGGAGACATTAAAATCCTGCGGAACAAGCAAACAGGCAGAACTCGCATACTGATGCGACGCGAGCAGGTGCTGAAGGTGTGCGCCAACCACTGCATCACCACTTCCATGAGCCTCAATCCCATGAAGGGCTCCGACCGCGCTTGGGTGTGGGTGGCCAACGATTTCTCGGAGGGGGAGCCCAAGGTCGAGCAGCTCGCCGTAAAGTTCAAGACTCCTGACGTCGGCGTCGAGTTCAAGGCGAAGTTCGAGGAGTGTCAGCGGGCCCTGTTGGACATGCCTCTGCAGACACCGCACAAGCTTCTGCAGACGGGCAAGGCCGCGGAACTGATCCAGAAAGCGGAGAAGATGAAGTTTGAGCTCAAGGGCTTCAAGGAGCAATTCTCCGCCTTGGACAACAAGTCCAAGCAGGCGGCAAGCGACGGCCATGCCGTGGTGACGTCCACCCCGACCGGGGGCACGCCGGCGACCCTGCGGCCGGGCCCGCTGTCGGAGTGCGTTGTCCCCACGCTCGAGTGGGACGACTATGACCTGCGCGAGGGAGCATCCACTTGCGACACCTCTGCGGGCACCTCCCTGCTCCGATCGCCACCGCCGCAGGCGCCCGACAAACCCGACCACGCCGCGTCGGACAAGCCGCTCTTCCGCTTCGGGGAGACGGCCGCCGGCTTCAACTTCAGCTTCCAGCCCATCGTGAGCCCCGGCAAGACGCTGGGGGGGCACCAGCACCGGAACTCCACCAACGAGGAAAACGAGGAAGAGGAGGAGGAGGAGAGCAAGGAAGAGGATAACCTGCACTTCGAGCCCATCGTGCCCTTGCCCGCGCTGATAGACGTGCGCACGGGAGAGGAGGAGGAGCAGGTGGGGGCACACAGGACCTTCTTTACTTCTCGTGTGGCTCTTATGTGGCTCTCGTGCTGCTGAGCCGGCACCGCTAACAAACCTGGGTTTGAACCCAGGTTTCGGCAGCCTGTGATTAAATGAGGCGCTGGTCTCAATCCGGTCACCAATGACTGCGCGCAAAAAAATCCATTGTTAAATATGGTTCTGCAGAAGTTAATTGTGCTTAAAAATGTGTATATCGGTTTTACTCGTGTGTTATATATTTCTTTCACGTGCTGAGTGGGTGAGAAAGTGCCACCCCCTACTGTTTGTGGACCAGGGGTCACTTTTAAGAGGGTCAGTGGTAGCTCTGTGACATACACTTCCAAAGGCTGCTCTCAACACAAACGAGTTACACTTCTCTGAAATTCGGCTGCATATTTCAACTAATGACCACGCGATGCCGACAACGCGATCAGAATTAAATTGTGAGCAGTGATAACACATCCGCATGTAAGAATGTCGCGTTGGCTTCGCTTTGCATTGGTCGTCATCATCGCTCGGAGCTACTTGGGACTGGTCTCGGGCGCCCGATCTAAAGTTCGACCGTCGGTGCCGCCTCCCCAGGAGGTCTTTGTCCACCGGGCCAAGTTGTACCGCTACGACCGCGAGGCGGCGCAGTGGAAGGAGCGTGGCGTGGGCGACGTGAAGCTGCTGCAGCGGCTGGAGGACGGTCGCGGGCGGCTGCTCATGCGGCGCGAGCAGGTGCTCAAGATCTGTGCCAACCACTGGCTCACGGCCGACACGCGGCTCGAGCCCATGCGTGGCTCCGACAGGTACGGCCGCTGACTTCTCGTCATCTGCACCTCGTCCGCACGGCTGTCGCCGCCCACGCCTCATCCACACATTGTTCCCACAAGCTCTCACCAGCGTGTAGTAGTGGTGTGTGCAGTGGTGGTTATGGGGTAGCAGTAATATGGCCGTCTGGAGCGCTGTGCTACGAACTCGGCGACCAGCGCCAATCGCAATTAATTGAACTGGTCCTGGGCCTCCCCTAGGTGGACTTGGCCTCAAATTAGTACCTGGTGTGTTGTGGATAACATCGCCAGCACCACCCCCAGGCGGCTGGGTGTGGTGCTGGCCATTTACCCCCCTCGTGCGCCATGCCAGCCTTCATAGGCCCTCGCTAACATCAACTGCCCCAATAGTTTGTTAAGGCAATACGGGCGGTAGTGTGGTGGGGGGGGGAGGTCTTTGTCGTATAGGTAGTTCCGTTGTGAGTACTCGTGCGGCTGCGCGTTCTGCAGGGCGTGGGTGTGGAACGCCCTGGACTCGTCGGATGGCGAGCCGCGGATGGAGCACCTGGCGCTGAGATTCAAGCAGCTGGAGACAGCCATGGTGTTCCGCCAGGCGGTGCTGGACATACAGGAGGCGCAGGAGACGAGGCAGCTTGTCCCGCCGGTGCAGTTCGCGCCGCCGACCCCCACGCGCGTGCTCTCCGTCTCCGAGTCGGCGGAACCTGCCAAAGGAACGGGGCCCGCCGCGGACAACGAGGGGGACGCCGTCACCGAGGTCGATGAGCCGTCGTCGCCACCCCGCCCGGAAATGGGCGTCGGCTCGGAGTCTACACGCAGCCCGGCCAAGTCGGTGATCTCTCCCGCCAAGTTCTCGTTCGGCATGGAAGCGCTGCAGAGCCTATTTACGTCCGACAAGCCAGCCGCCGGTGATGCAGGAAAACCCGTCGCTGGGTTTGACTTCAGCACCAATAAACCAGGGCCTACTCTGGCCACGAAATTCACTTTTGGCTCCTCTGGCATAACCAACGACGCATCTGGTAGTTCGCCTTTCAGTTTCCTAAATTCTGCAGGTAAGGCGACTTTCAACTTCGAGCCTCAGCGTTCGACGAAAGAGCCGACCGCAGCGTCAAGTTTTGACTTCACGGCTTCACCGTTTTCCTTCGCACCTCCCGGCGGCGGCGACGGTAGCGATGCGGGGAGTGATGGTGCTCAGTCCTCGCTGGCCACCAAGATTGTCAGCAAAGGCCTCCGAGGGGCCTCCCCGACCATCGCGACCGGCAGTGGCAGCTGCTTTGCGTTTCACCTCCCGCAGCAAGGTAACTGGCTCGCGGCTTTCGGAACGCTCGTTGAAATGCACTGGGTGTTCGCGCTTGCGTGCGTCGTGCTCGTTCGCGTTATGCGCCGCGTCAAGCCGTGACGACGTGTCGGAGCCCCCGCTGGTCCGCTGTGTGTCGTTGGAGTATGCGGCTGCTACTTTGTTAGCAGGAGACTTGGACAGATGTGTAAAGCAAGTGTCTGTAGTTTCCATTGTCACCTGGGGAAAGTACAGGCACGTGCCTATCATTTCACCGAGCTTGTGTAATTGGGCGACTATGCATTTTGATTGTTTACAGCCATTTGATGTCTTTGCATACAAACGTAAATGATGCAAAAAGCAGCGTGGAAATTTCAGGCAACGTTAAACTTCTGTATTGTTACATACTCTTTGGTTCTTTCGGTAAAGTCACATAGGAAGTGGAGAAGGATGGTAAGCTACCATTCCTGGATGTTTTGTTTGAGAAGAGACCTGATGGCTTGTTGGGACACTGTCTACAGGAAAGCCACCCACACAGATTCCTATCTGAAACCTGATTCCCATCACCATCCGGCACAGAAGAATTCCCTCATAAAAACACTACACCATAGGGCCCACTGCATTTCTGACCAACACCACTTAGCCAGTGAACTTTAACACGTACACCAGGCCCTCCAGATTAATGGGTACTCGGACCGTATTATTTGCAAAGCTGTTTCTCCAACCATGGAGAAACAACCCCCTGAGAAGCCGATCAAAACCATCACGTTACCATACATAGCAGGCATTTCCAAAAAGATTTAAAAAATCTTAAACAAACACAAGATCCAGGTCCGATTTAGTACAGTACACAAAATCCGTGATCTAATCCCATCTGTGAACGATGTCATTCCTGATATGCAATATCTTGAAGTCTACAAACTAAGTTGCAGCTGTGGTGGGTGTTACATTGGGGAAACAAAACGACATATCTCGGACCGTGTTCGCAAGCACAAGTCAGATCTGAAACACGGCAGGACTAATACCTCTGCCGTGGCTGACCATTGCTATAACGTTGTCGGCTCTCATGATATTGTTCTTTTCCGAGACCAAGGTACTCTGCAAACCTTCGGGCTACTATCAAAGGTTTGTTCATGAAGCCATCCAGATATATAAATATAGACATAACTTCAGCCGAGAAGATGAATACAAATTGAGTAATCATTGGAAGGATGTTATTAACCAGGTAAAACCTTAAATGCTTTATGGTGTTACCTTCATATCCGTATCTCCTGTTGCTTCAGCTTCCTACTCCCAGCCCCGCCCACTTCCCTCCCCCCCCCCCCCCCACTGGCATTTTGTTTGCTCGTGCTCCCCCCTCTCTTACCTCTTGTTACAGCAGCCCTTTTGCCCACTTCAGCAATTGTGTTTCTTGCTGTGGTTGTCCCACCTGATGATGGGCGCTTGTGTTGCGCCCGAAACGTCGTGGTTAAATTTATTTTATTTTATACCTACGTGACTTTACCGAAAGAACCAAAGAGTATGGATTCCTGCAGTCACGGAAACTTCAAATCTAGATTCTGTATTGTTTACAGGGGTGCTGTTTTATGGGTGCTGTTTACATGGGTGCTGTTTACAAGTACGGTGTTTACATTGGCAGTGTTTACTCGCGTTTACGAAAGCTTAGCCTTGTGTGTGGGGCAATGAGAGCGATGTGCTCGCCCTGCCATACTCGCACAGGGGAGCGTTTCGCTCGAGCGTATATTCATCATCCGGTGGTCGAATGTCGTGAGGTGCGCATCTACGCGGCACCTTTCCTCCGACCTCGCACCCGGAGCCTCCCACAGCCGTGCGCCTCCCTGCGCCTTGGTTGCTTGGGCGGTAGACTCCTGCAGAGTGGAACACAGGTGTATGGTCACGGTTCAAGTTTATTTTGTTTCACCAAGTGAGAACTCAAGAGACCAGATTGAGTTTCCTTTGCAAGAGTCGCCTGGGTGGCCAAAATCAGAAGCCAAGCAAATAGAATTAAGTGCAGTGAAATTTAGATTATTTCAAAAATTAAATCGATGTTAAATAGAAAAAATCCCCTGTAGGATGACCATTATAAAATTACAATTAAGTTACAGAAACATTAAACAGTTACAGGATTACTTTTACACTAATATGTAAACAAATAAGGATTTACGAGTCCAATGCAATTGAAAGTGAAATTATAAACAATCGACAGTTTAGCATCAAATTTTAATTTGATATCGGAGAGTAACCAAGGGCACGTTTTTAGCGTTTTTTTTTTAAGCAATGAAATTCCAGATGTTTGGGCCATGAACAAATTGAGGGGGTGCAGTGTCGTTCACCTGAGGGGCTCTGCCCTCTCATGCCACACACACCTCCTTGTTTTTGTTTTTTCACACACACACTGACGGTTGGCCACAACTCCCCTTCTCCATGTGTAGGTGTTGACTTTAGCCTTTTCAAAGCTAATCCTGCGGCCTTCTGGACCACGCCGTTTTCCCCTGACTAGCGCTGCAGGTAGAGTGGTTGCGCCCACACTGCATGGCGTGCCCCCTAACAGCCACTTGTGCCACCACCACGCGGCTTGCCTGCTGGTTTAACCTACGGCCTCTGGCCCCCTTTCTCTGCGAGGAACTAAAATTTCACTGCAGTTTCTGCGCTAACAGCTGATCTCCTTCCCACCAGATGCATGATTGCATGCCCTCTATAATTTTGGGGATTTTTTGGCTTTGGTTTTTCACACGTGTGCGATTTGTAAAATCCTCACGTTTGCATCACCCTTTAAGTTCACATCTCTCATAGTTTAATGCCACGGCCCTCCGGGGAGTCAGCAAGGTGAGCGTAGAGGTGCAAGTGGAGGCTTTCGTTTTGTTAGTTGGGCCATGCCCGTCGTGCTGTGTCAGCCCAGGGACAGCACCAAGGCTCGGGCCTACGAGCCCCCAAACCACTGTGAGCCATGAGGCTTAATGGGCTCCCCTTTCCCTCGACTTCCACGACCAAATGTTGGAGGCCCAGGGAACGATTTTAACGATATTTTTAACAGTGTTTACTATAGATATTGGTTGTACTTTTTAACTGAAAACTAAATGTTTGCTGTGTATCTAACCACTAAAATGGCCAGAGAGTTAAACTTGGCAGGGTCAATTGCAGTGCAGGTGCATCTCGCTTCCCCGTTGACTCTGTAACATCGTGACTGGTTCTGAGTTCCCCGTGTCTGGGATCGGTTCGGCCATGTCAGGCTGCGAGAACCGAGCCCAAATTGAGCTGGCGCACAGCTGCCGCTGGCCGTGGAAGCAATGCTCCAGTGAATTTCCCTGCCATGGCTCCACGCCTCCGTCCAGCCGCCAGGGGTCACGCCACGTTAGCGCGGCGACCGTCGTTCGGTGCCGGCAACGGGGAGTGCTGGCGAAGGGGCTGAGCCTGAGAGACGCTGCACCGGCTGCACGGGCTGCACCGGCCGGTCCGGCTGAGAGAATCGTGGGCGTTTTGTGTGTCCCACATACTAACACCGCCGCCGCAGGACGAAGCGTGAAGCGCACAGCACCTAACAAACCTCCCCACATCCTCCGCCGCCTCCCGCCATGTTTAACTCGGCAAGAAGTGTTTGTGAACCAGCAGCGTGCGCGCTTTCATGAGGGCTGCGTTTGCGGTGCGAGCGACTGCCCCCCTCACACACGGGCCGCGAGCAGTGTCCACTTGCGCCCTCCGCGCTGGTTGGAGGAGTCACTCCGGATTATTAACTCGGGGGGGGATGGGGGGTGCGAAATCACAATTTTGTATAGGCCTGCATAGTCAGTGGGTGAGTGGCCATGTAATCTGTTTCTGAGAGTGTACAACTTGTGGTAATTGCATCGCTTCAGAAAATAAACGAGATGCTTTTTGGAAACTGTGGCGTACAATTGAGCATTCCCCGGGACAGCGGCTGTAGCAAACTAGTGTGCGGCATGTGCAGCAGATACAATGTGGTTATATCTTGAATGTGTGAATTTGCAGAAATTTTTACTCCAATTTGGTGTATACATAGAATGTTTGTGTTGTACATCGCGTAGCTGAAGGCAGCAAAGTATGAAATGTGGATGTTATGTAGCATCTAAAGACCGCTGTATCTGAAGATGCTATAAACAAGAGGAGGACATGTGTGTTATGGGGGGGGGAACCACTTGGAATAGGGAGATATGTTTAATATTTAAGACTTCATAGGTATGAGACATGGCACTGCACAGGGGATGTCTAGGCAGCGCGGCCCCTGTGTGCAAACGGAAGTGCAGAATGATACAAAAATAAGAATAGGTTTTACCCTTTCTGGCAATTAAACAGGTGTTCAGATGTTCAAACAACAAATATAAACCTTTCGTAAGGGATCAAGTCTGCATTAACCACACATACTTGTGAACATGCAAACAAACATGCTCTGATAATATATGGCATTGTCTTTGAAACGGGTTGGCCTACACCAGAGACAGCCTTCTTTATGGCCTTGTCTCACCAGTGTCAGACCAGAGAACGCCAAAAGGCGAAACAGCACAAAGACGATGCAAGCATCAGAACATTTAGAGCTCGGGTGGAGCAGTTATATCTATTGGACCTTCCATCTATGAGAAGAGCAGAACCCGGCAAGAAGAGTGCCCGACAGGCCTACATAATAATTTACATTTATTTGTAAGGCGCCTTCCACTAATGTCTCAAGGCGCAGCTGATGGGGAGGATGGATTGATTACCAGTGTCAAAACCAGCCATGAGACTGAGGAGAACTATTCTATCTTTGCATATGGCAGCAAATACGTTCAGCAGTTGGATGCAAGTGTTGCGGTCTGCTAGCCACAAGAGGGCTTTGGGAGTTTAGTTTTGCCCTTCCTATGTTTACAGACGACTGGTTTTGTATATTGCGTACTATTTGTAGTGCTATGAGTGAGGGGGTATCCATAGAGGAGAGAAGCTCTTCCATGACCATATCTGTAGAGCGATGACTGCAAAATGACCTTGGCAGAAGCCACATGCATTCAGATATGCAACTTGAAATGTATATATTTATGTAACTAACAACCGAGGTCCGAGTTAATGGACCCAAATGCACATGCGGCACTGTTCCCATGTGTATCTCATCACTTGCATTCTGACACCGGCCAGAATCGGCAAACTTGACAATTGCTTAAAAAACTGATACTTTTTTTATGTCGGCACCTGTTTAGTTAGGCTTACCTTGCAAAAGCACACAATGAATGTCAGTGGGTTCTCACCTGGGTAAATAAGTTGGTGGGAATGAGGTGGGGTTGGTGGTGCATGGGTGAGTAGCGGGGGGCGTGGGTCGGGATGCTTGCCTTGCGTGCTCTTGAGCCGGAATATTTAACGTTGGCTTTTTAAATACCCATTATATCTGCTTATGTCCCAATGTCGGATGCACGACCCAGGGATATAATTCATGAAATCTGTTTCAATTGTAAAACTGCTTCCCCATTCAACTTGTGGACATTGTTGTCTGGCTTATGGACGACACCGCATCCGGGTAGCTTCGGCCACAATATTGCGGTCGACCACGCAATTCAACGCCCGGCACCCATTGTCTGGGACGCGCTGGGTTCTTAATGTTTTGTCTCCCTTGTAGCCACGACAAGCAGCGGTGAGGAAGAGCAAACTCGGCAGCCCAAGGTGGAAGATTTCACGACAGAGGAGGATGAGGAGGAGGGAGGCGAGGTGGAGGTGGTGTGGGAGCTCATCCCCAAGGAGGAGCAGAGAGTCTTGGCGGAGTTGCTGCTGCTGCCCGCGACGTTCTTCTGCTACAAAAATGAGCCCGGCTACACCAGCGACTCGGACGAGGGTACATGCACCTCGCACACGTTATAACAATAATCTTACTGTCGCCAATAGTGGTGGCGGTGCTGCCGCTTTACGTGGGTAGCGATGATGCCGGCTCTTAACGAGGTGGTTTGTGCGTTGCAGAAGTTGAGGATTTCGCCACTGCCGTCAGGAACCTGAAGGGGAAGCTCTACCTGGAGAGGGACTCTGGTAAGCGAGCACCTGTCATGTCCTCCCGAGGAGCTGTAACTTCCTCCGTGTGCACGGTGGTTTATTTGACAAAGGTTACACATTTTTAAATGGAAAATCCGCTACAGGTTGAACGTTTCGTTTGAAATTGAGTCCAGGTTGCCGATTGGCACAAACGTAACAAGCGCGTGATGATGCGTGTACGCATATTAAGTCTAAAACTTATGAGGCTAGCGCTTTATACGGTCAAAACCACATGGTCAAATGCATGAACAAGTACACAGGGTGAAATGGTGCGCACCGCGGGTTCTTACTGAGTGGGCTGTCGCGGTTGAAGATGTACTGTGTGGTGAGGTTAAACTCGAGAGATGAACCAGATGATACTGGTGGCGCGTTTTGCATGTGCGTGGTAAATCGTTCCAAGTGACGCAGCTGCATGAGCGAGAGGGCACCTGTTCAGGATTTTATGATAGGGGCAGTCACATTTTTATGATTTTGAGACCAAAGAGAGCAGAGTTATTGTTGGAAGTGAAATAAAAGTTGTTGCATTTGTAGACTGGATATCCAGTGAGGCAGTCCTGTTGCCGGGGGTGGGGGCCACGGTGGCATGGTGCTGATTATCTCGCCTGGTATGCTGGAGGTCATTAGTTTGAGCACGACCCTGGCGCCTGTATAATTGGGGTTTGCATTTTCTCTCCTTGGTCGTGTGCATTTTTCTCCGGGTCCTCCGGTTTTTCCCTCCACATTTAGAATCATGTGTTTGAGAGTTTTTGGCTCCTATGAATTTCCACGTGATAAGCCACTCCAATCAGTGATCATTTGTGGCCAGGTTGCTTCTGAAAAAGCTACATGGCTCAGTGGGTTTTACCTGGTAAAATGAAAATAGTTTATAGTTTCATGCTCTTTAATTATTTCGGTAAAGTCACGTAGGCGTCAGACCCTCGTACGCGTGGCAATGGGCGGTGAGCTGCAGCTGTCATGTTTGCGCGGCTCTAATTTCTGAATTAACTGGGATGGTGTGGCGGCGGCATCTCTCACAGAGCACAGGAGGCCACGTGTGGAGGCTCCACGCGGCACCACCTGTGGTGGCGACGGCGGCGTTGTCGCCGTCGAGGCAGCCGCCAACGTTCCCGAGCAAGAGCAGCGGCCGGCACAGGTGAGGAGGCGACGCCGTCTTGCAAAGAAGCCGATTTTGTCATCGTCGATGCCGCTGTCCACCGGTCGCGATTCATAACTCTCAGCAATCCCAGTCCGGGCACAGAACGTGGTACAGAAAGAGAGAGAGAATTGAGGCGGGCGCTTTGTTGCCCGCACCTGCCACTTCACTTCACCCAGCCCGCTACTCACAATCCTCACCAATTTTTTTTTCTGTCCCAAGAGAAGGTGAAGGGATGGCCGTCTGAGCTAGAGTTTGTGTCCATGAGATGTGGTAACATATGCAATATGCGTTTGAGCACAGGCGGCGCAATGCGAGCGCTCGCGTGAATTTTGCAGATGGTAATTGCATACGGTACACGTGGCATCAGGGAGCTGCCACAGTGGTGTAACGGTTAGCAGTGCACTGGACTTGCAATCCAGTGGTTGCCAGTTCGCCTCTATCTCCTGGCGCAGCAGTTCAACCACTGGGCTAGGTTCATCAAATCCCCCCCCCCCCCCCTCCACTTTCTCCGTCCACCCTGCAGTTTATATGGGTATAGCGCTGCACCTTTTTCTTTTGCATGTGACATCGTGCGATGTGGCGGTGCTGTGCGCAGGGGGTGGAATCGGCGAGCCGCCCTGAAGCCTCGACTTCAGTGGAAGCCGACCCTGGCGCACGCTCAGCCACACCGCCTCACCGGGGTACGTGGCCACATTGCGCCCGACCACCACCACCATCTCCCCCTCGGCGGGACGCTCATTTGAGTTGGGAGGTAGACTGGGAGAGGCCCCCCAGTACTTGGGATTAAGACTCCATCGTCACGGCCCAAGCCGTTGAAGCCACCACCGCACCTCGCTGCTAACGCTGCCTACCCTCGACTAGATCCTGCAACTTCTGCGCAGTCGACACGCAGCCACCTCCAACATCTGAGAGTCCTCCACAATCTGCTATTTGATACCCAGAGACCTAAAGAGTCGCATAGGGACCTGTAGACTTCAAAGAGACCCATAGATCTGCCCTGACAGCCTCCCACCATCTGCTCCTTGGTTGGTCTCTTCACGTTCTGCGGACTTGCGGAGTCGATTCCAGTGTATCAAGGCGATCTATCCCCCCACCTTGGGCAACGTTGTTACTGTGGCCACAGTAGTGAGGCCGCTGCTGCAGGAGACGATGGTGCAATTGCTGACCCTGGATTTGTTTCCCATCAGCTGCTGTGGGGGCACCCGTGGATGTGAAGATGACTGTGCAGGCTTCACGGCCTGGCCTCCTCCCCACCCCTCCCGCCGGTACTGCTAGCTATTGCGTGATTTATTATCATTAGTCATTGTGATTACGTAGGAAAGCCTCACTTTTAGCCTCAAAACTCTTATTCAAGAGGGTCCTTCCCAGTTCTTCCAGTAGGGGGGCAATGTTGCTGTGTAATCCGAGTTGAGTGATTTGCAGGTATTTTTTAAGGATTGGGGAATTTTGCCAATACCACTTAACTTGTATGTTTATAGTTCTGTTCAGAAACTAGAGAAGCTGGAGGAAAGCCATGCAGAACAGGGGGAGATTGTAATGTGAACATTTCCTAGCAGTGTGTGGGAAAGCGTGATCCCTCCTGTGTAAAGGATAAAACATAAGCAAAAAGGCATCTGAGTCAGGAATCAAACCCAGGTGCGTGTTGCTTTGAGTCCACAATTGTTAGCACTGCGCGCACCCGCAGTCCACTGTTTAAACGAGAAAGCAAAACTTTTAAAAATTAATTCTCTTTTCAGTCCTTTTCACCAAATTCAGTTTAACACGTAGGCTTTCATGACCAATATGATCCATAATACAGGTTTTTTTTGGGTTACAACCCAAAAAAACTTGTATTATTGTTCACTCAATTCAATTGTTCCTGTGGACATCATGTGGAAAAGTAAACTCAATTCAGGCTCGCTGCAGGATTTGGAACAAAATATTCACCACGACGGCAGTGGTGCATGCGTGTGCCCACAGTGGTACAAGCGGCTTGCAGCCTTGCGGCAGGTAGAGGGGATGCGTCTTGCAGGATTGTACCGTGCCCCAGCTCCTGTAGCTCTTGCCCCCCCCCCCCCAGGTTGCCGGCTCTAGCTGGCTCTGACGCCGTGCCAGGAGGGGCACATTGTGACCTGTTGTTTGTGCCGCTGCTTGCCGACGCTCTCCAGCAGTGGACGTGAAGGGGGATGCTGCTTCGCTGGTGCAGGAGAGCCGCCCCCGCACGGCGGCGGTTGCGGATGAGGAGGTCGTCTTTGCCGGTCAGCTGAGCCCCACGGAGGAGCAGCGAGTCCTGGCGCAGAACCTGCAGCTCCCACCCACCTTCTTCTGCTTCAAGAACCGGCCCGGATACACCAGCGACTCTGGAGAGGGTCGGTGCAACGGCCAGCATGCACGAGTTTCACGGCCAGGCCGTAGCGCCATTCCGGTTGCGGCACTGACCAGCGAGAGTCTCGCTCATGCTATCGTTTGGTTGTGACGCCTCCCCAGATACAGACGACTACGAAGAGGCTGTGAATCGGCTGCGCGGGAAGCTGTACAAGGAGGGCAGCAGATGCCAGGAGCAGCAACAGCAGCAGCAGGATCAGCCGCAGGGTGAGTAGGCTCGGTGGCACGGCATGTGAGGCACGGCACGGCCACACGCCCATGTATGTCATTGTGGGTGTAGCGGACGGGGGTTTGATTTGACCAGCGTCTCGTCTGCAGGACCCGCAGCGCAGATGCCTGGCGTGAGAGAGATGAAGGTGGAGCGTTGTGAAGAGGTGAGCCCTTTTGAGGCCTTCCTTGGTTAAGTCAAATTAAGTTGCAGCAACATCAAAGTATCATGTGCACGACTTTCTCAACGGACAAGGAAATGTATCAAATACTTTGTCACCCAAATGGTGGCCGCCTTCAAGACGTCACTGTGGTTAGTAGATGTGGTTGGTGCACGTGTGGTGGTGGCGTGGCCAGCTCGGTGAGTTTGCTCCTCCGTGGTTTCCGTCCTTGTAGGTCACCACCGTGGACCGCCCCTCGGCGTCCCCCGTTCCAGGCGGAGCCTCGCCCGCTCCCGTCGCTCCGGAAATGTTTGCCACGACAGAGGAACCAGACAGGACGTCTCCCCGCCCCTCGTCGCCACGCGCAGCCGACACCCCGGATGCGGGGACCCAGTCGGAGGAGATGGAGCCAACGTCGGGGGCGCTCAATTTTTCCACGTTGCGGTGGGGCGCCCACATGCGTGACGGCGCGGGGAGCGGAAGCTCCTGGGCACTCCCGCCCATCTCCACAGTTGGTGAGTGCAACCGTCTGGCGTCGCCATCCGCACCTCCACTCCGAGTATTCTCAAGCCTTGATTAATGCAGTTCATGCCAAACCTCCACTCTTGATTCTACATGATAGTAATACAGTAGACTCGATTATCTGCGTTAATGACGGGGAAGACGGCCGCAGATCATTCAAAATTGCGGATAAGTCAAAAATATAACCATTTTACACGGATCGCTTGCCAATGATAACTTTCCTGCTTCTGCGCACGAAGACTACCCACTAAGTGGATAGCAGAACCACGCCAATCAAAATTAATGAAACTCCGCCCACTCTTGTAAAGATATGCAACAACTGTACTGTCGGGGCGATCACGTGGATTTTGAATGAACCGGAGCATATATTGGTTCGGTTTAAGCACGTGGCTTGTAATAAACATTTCCAAGAATGTCATTGTGTTACTGTTTTTATATTGGGCTGAAGGAAAAATCCATGAGTTATTAATTTGTGTCAAAATTTCAGGTGACCAGTTAATCCGCAAATCGGTAAAACCACATGCGGATAATCGAGATTCGACTGTATTTGCAGGAGCTCGATGCCAATGAGTACTTGCCACAAGGGGGGGGGGCTTCAGGAGCGAGTTCGTTAGTACTCCATCGTAGGAGCGCAATTTACAGTGTTTTTACTATACGGTCCATTGTTTGGGTTGTGTTGCCCCTATTGGTTATAAACCGGAAAGCGTAGTGCCATTCCCTGACACTGCTTGTGAGGTGTTAAATTTATAATTTCGTGTGGTAGGGAGTTGATATGGCAGCCAGGGTGGTGTTTGTGCCGAGGTTGGTAAGTGAGCGAGACGGCTTTGGGAAAAACCTCCTGGTGAACGTCTGACATGGCTGCCAGCGAAAATTGGAAGCGGAAAGTGGTGTTACCATGCGGCCCATGGTTTGAGATTGGTGCCCCAGTCACACTGTGGGATACTCTTTGTTGTTCATCGGTGTGGGAGGTGATAGCCGCACATGCCCTGCGATGAGGTGTTCAATTGACGGTCATTATAAGTTTAAAGTAACCTGGAATTAATTCCCAAGATGTGCGAGCCCTGCTGCCCTCGAGTCGTGTTCCACGCCGTACGCGACCTTCTGCCGTGTGTTCTCTCCACAGACACGCCGTCATCCTCGTTTGCCTCTCTGGCCTCGCAGGCCGCGACTGAAGCCTTCGTGCACAGTTCTGGAGGTGACGCCACTGCACCCGTGCATTGCACTCGCACAAAGTTGCGGGATTATTGACATCGCGATAATCATCATGTCGTGAAAATAAACATGTTATTGTATCATGATATCACGGCGACGCTAACAAGCACTCGTTTTCCCCAATAGAAACCCTGCAGTCGTTTGCTTCCCTTGCCACGCAGACGAGCGCGGCGAGCGCGGTGAGTGCGGAGACCCCATTCGGCACAACCACAGGTGAGTGGCAGGCGGGGGTGGGGGGGGAAGCGGACGCTCATGCGCCGTCGCAATCATAGGCTGCGAGCGAGTGGAGGGTGGCCGATGAGACGTGTGTGCCCCCCGTGCCCGTGTATGCACCCCCCGTGCCCAGGTGACGCGCGCTTGCTCTTTGAGTGCCCCAGGGGAAGTGGGCTCAGCTTTTCCGACCTCGCTTCCAAGAGCTCGGACTTTCTCTCCGATAAGAAAGGTAAACCGACGTTGCGTCTGTGCTGGGCACGTGCATGTGGGGGGATACAGAAAGGCAGCCGAATGAATGGCCCAAGGGCACACCGGTGTAATGACACGTTGCCAATATGCTGCCACCAAACACACACACTGGCTTCATTGAAGGCTGATGCTTTCATTTCAAGGCTGTTTACCTGTGCGACATCACGGACACGGATGGAGCTTTCGCCTGCTCTTGGTGTCCATAGTTTGTATTTTTCCCCTGTCTCTTAGAGCGAGCTGCTCGCAATCGGAAGGTTGCCAGTTGAAATCCTGGTCGGTTGTTGTCCTCTTGTCATCGTTCCCGGGGTCGATCAAGCAAGTGCCATTTTGTGGGGAGGTCTCAACAATGGATAGACTCGCCCCCACCAAACGAATGTAGTATTTCTAATACTGGCTCAGTGGCTGCAAACAGGAGGATGAGCAAACTGCCTCAATGCTCATTGGAATAGAAAATAATTTTTGGCTTGTTCCCATTTCACTGTTTTGAGCCATTGGCATCAACTCAACACGAGCATATCATTTACATGTGACGTTCGACAATAGGTTATTGGGCACACGACGCGACGCAAGTCATCTTGGGTGTGAGAATCGCGTTACCCGACGAGTCGTTGGGGCCTAAAGCGGCGATAGACGCGCGGGGCCTTTGTATCACCGCAGACGCAAACTTCTCGTGGGTGGGCGCCGGAGCGTCCGTGTTCGGGGCCGCGGGGACCCAGAAGAAGCGCGATGGGGGGAAGGAAGAAGACGAGGGGGGCGAGGATGAGCAAGAGGAGGACGACGCTCGCGAGTCCAGCGATGACATCCACTTTGAGCCACTCGTCTCGCTGCCTGAGGTGTGCGCGCTGGGGCGATCGCCGCCTATGGAGGGGGGGGGGGGTGGGGGGATCGGTGCCCGTTGAATTCAACGTGCGGCGTCGTACGTACAAAATCTCTGTTGGCCTTGTGCAAACTTCAAGCTCAAGGGAAACTGAACTTGTGGCCGTGTTCTGTATGCCACCAACTCAGAGGTGGAAAAATGTGGTCGTGTGGATGAGGCCGAGAGTTTTTTGTACGAGCAGCGCTGCACACACACACACACCTATGTGTGTTGTTGAATATATTCAACAACACACACAGGTGTTTCTGCTGTGATGGGTTTCTTGTTGATTACAGATTGGAAGTAACACAGGCCTGCTCAAGGAGGCTTGGAATCCTTGCAGCTTTACAACCAATCATGTCAATAACGCACGTGCCGTCAGTTATACGATAAATAATGAAACTGTCCCTGTAACCCGCACGAATTATCGCGGTGTTCACGGTATGGCGACGGCCTCCAGACGTGTGACGCGGGCGCGAGTTGCTTCAGAGCGGTGTGGTGGCCGTGCCCTCTGGGCGCCACCGATGTGTGTGCCCCCTCGCAGGTGGAGGTGCGGTCGGGCGAGGAGGAGGAGACGATCCTCTACAAGGAGCGTGCCAAGCTCTTCCGCTGGGACCGCGATGCCGCCACGTGGAAGGAACGTGGCGTGGGCGACATCAAGGTTGGCTCAGGCACTTTGCCGCCTCCTCGCCGAACGATTTCCGGAGTCACTGGTCGATGATTCAGTAGCCACAGTCATAGTGTGATGGTATCCTGGATGTGGTGTCGGGTGTGGTCAGTGCTCTGATCTGGGAAAATGGCGAGAGCCCGTGTCCGACTCCTGGCTTCCCATGTGTAGTGAGTTGGTGGTCTCAGCCTGGTCACCAATGAGTGAATGAAAACAAATCGCATTGCATTGGTGCTGCACTTAATTTGGCTAAATTTCACCTGATAATTAAAAATATTAGTTTGACTGTCATGCAATGAACATTACTGTCAGTGGCAGAGTGGTTGGTAAAGTGCCACCCCCTCCTACTGTGCAGAATTGATAGCGCGAAGGGATCTCGGAGGTAGCAATGCGGTATCTGCTTCCATGATTCCTTCACGAAGGGCCGTGCTCTCTGCAAAAGACCTGATGGATTATACTCTTTGGTTCTATTCGGTAAAGTCACGTAGGTGAAAATAAAATAACAAAAAATCACGACGTTTCGGCCACAACACAAGTGGCCTTCATCAGGTGAAGGGACTGGACTGTTCAGAGGACAGCGTTGGAGTGAAGACAGCAAGCCCAGGTCGCGTCCTTTAAGCTGTGTGGGAGGAAACAAAAAAATCGCCTTGACAAAGGAATTAGCATAAAAATATGTACTGGACCGGCACGGTGGGGGGTGGGGGGGGGGGGGGGGGGGGGGAGTTTACATAATGTTGGTGTGAAGGAAAATAAGCTGCTGTGAAAGTTTGGAATACCACTACTTGAATAAATATACTGTACCATTGAAAATTAGTTTAATGTTTGGTTTGATTTAGAACATCTTTCCAATGATTGCTTAATTTGAAACCATCCTCTCGGTTGAAATTGCGTCTGTTTGTAAATCTGAATTGCCTCGTGGACAAATCTCTGATGGATTCTATTGTCACTTGGTGCAGATAGCGCAATGGAAATAATGGTCGAAGAAATAAATATAAAAGCAGAGGGGTGTGGGTGGGTGCGTGCGGTGAGGACAACTCACCAAGCGCTGCTATATGACGCCAGGTGCTGCACCACGAAGCTCGGGGCGGCTTCCGGGTGCTGATGCGGCGCGAGCAGGTGTACAAGGTGTGCGTCAACCACGCCATCACGGCCGAGCTGCAGCTCACGCCCATGCAGGCCTCCAACAACGCCTTCGTGTGGATCGCCAACGACTACTCCGGTACGGAGCGCGCGCGCGCGCGTGCCCCGCCCCCTCGCAGTGACGCGCGCGACGGTGACGCGCACCGCCTGCGGCCATTCCGCTGACAGGCCGACAACGCGTTCCCCTCCGTGCCACGTGTGAAACAGAGGGCACCGGGAGGATGGAGCAGTTTGCCTGCAGGTTCAAGACTCCGGAGCAAGCGAGAATCTTCCTGGTGACGGTGCACGATTGCCAGGAGCGGCTGAAGACTCAGTGTCAAGCGGCGGACGCCCCCCCCGGCGCTACAACGGAAGACACCCCCCTGGAGGTGTCCAGTGAGACCAACCCCACGGTGTTCCTCGACGTGGCGGCCGACGACGAGCCGCTGGGACGGATCTCCATCGAGCTCTTCGCCAACGTCGTGCCACGCACTGCCGAGAACTTCCGAGCGCTGTGCACGCATGAGCACGGCTTCGGATACCGCAACTCCACCATCCACAGGGTCATCCCCGGTTTTATGTGCCAGGTGAGCATGCTGGGAGATGGGGGTTTGTGCGACAAATGTGATTTCCTGCTCAAATGGCTGATGATGAAGGTGCTCATCCCCTGTTTTATGGCCCTGAGCCAGTGGTAGAAATTCCACATTCCCATGGGAGGGGGTAGATATCCATATGCCAACTTTGGGTGCCACCATGGCGAAATGTTAAATATCTCGCCCACTTACAGGATGTCTCATTAAACTAATCAAATTTGATCGAAAACACCCTCAAATCGCTCGCCAGCATTTTAAAGCGTGGCCGCGAGAACCCTCCGTACAAAATGTTTTCGGCCGTGAACCATCCCCCTGCGCCTTTTCTGCCGGCAGGGTGGAGACTTCACGAACCACAACGGCACCGGCGGCCGCTCCATCTACGAGAAGCCGTTCGAGGACGAGAGCTTCAAGATTCTGCACTCGCGCGCCGGCATCCTATCCATGGCCAACTCGGGCCGCAACACCAACACGTCACAGTTCTTTATCACGCTGCGTGCCACCTCGCACCTCGATCACAAGCACGTGGCTTTCGGCGCCGTGCGGTCCGGCATGAGCATCGTGCGCGCCATGGAGGAGCTCGGCTCTCAGTCGGGCAACACCACCAAGAAGATCGTCGTCACGGACAGCGGGGAGGTCGCGCGTGACCCCTGAGGGTCTCGTCGCGTGACACCCAGTTGACAGCGCGTGAACTTGCTGTCTCGCTCTCGTCTGTAGAACCTCTTATTTAAAATAAGTTTCCTGCAAATGTCGCGGGCTGCACCCCAGCACCCACCACCGTAACGGAACAAGTGAGATCGCTGCGCCTTGTATTTCCTGCTGCTCGTGTGGCTGCAGATGTTTCACTGAAGGCAAACGTGTTATCAGCGCACCAAGTTATATCGTGTTAGTTGGCTACAATATTTCGGGACTCAAAAGGATGCAGAGAATAGGGTTGTGCCTAAACGCTAAGAAGTTAAATCCACCACTGTGAATTACCTAGTTTTTTTCGCTGGCGATGAATATTTGAGCAGAGCCGGCTAACCGCCGAGGTGACCATGACCCTGAGAGCCGTTCTTTGAGCAGCTGGGTCGTACAGCTCTGTGTGCGGTGGGACATTAAAAAAGCTCCCGAGTAAATTTGCTAAAGTTCAGAAGTGATGAAAGGTAGAAGCCTTGAAGCTCCTCATTAACACGAGCAGGGTGCACTGCTGTCATGTTTTCCTTGTCTGCCCTGCAATTCCTGTTGTCCCAAAGTCTTTAGCTCGATTTGTAGCGTTGATTAAAATTGAAATTTAATATTTTGGTAAATCAAAAATGAGGTTTGTGCTTCTGGCATGTTCATTGTGGAAATATGGGAACTGGTTGTGAGCTCCTGAGCGCTTTGTGTGCAATTTCCTTCATCGGCTCGGCTGCACACATCAGTGGTGACTTGCGCCCTTTGTAGTAATTAGTGGAATCCATGGAAGCACAACGATGTGTTGATGAACATAATTGATTTTCGGTGTGCTCGTTTTTTGGCGTTTCGATATGTTTATGTGAAAGCCTTGTTTTTTCTCAGTTGTGCCAGAGGTAATGGAGGGAGTAGGTGCCCCTGTGCTTGTGATGGTGGCGATGGCGGGAGACTTGGAGCTGCTCTCGCGGCCATGACGCTGCGGGGGCGACGTGGTAGGACGAGCGTGCCCGGGTCCATCGCCTGTTGTGCCGGCAGCGCCAGCATTGGGCCTGAAATCACGAGGGGTGTCGGCCGTGCGGGGTTTGTCTCTGTTGAGTTACGTGCGTGATCCTAGCTCGACGTCGACCCCTCCATGTGGTCCGTGCCTCTGGATATCCGTGGACAAAAATATCGCGTTCCTTCAGCTGTGGCTGCATGTGAATGCCCGGACATCCATTGGTCACGGATGCATGACCTAAACAGAGGAGTGAAAGTCACTTGTCCCTCCCCAAATATTGCGCTGCCCGTGCAGGCTCGGCCGCTGTATCGAGATTTGCGCAAGCTTGGATGAGTTCAAGGCACGTGCCTGGCCGTGAGCACCCAGTGGTGCTGCGCTCAAGTGGAAACGCACCGAGCAGCGCTCGGTGGAGGAACGAACGCACCCCATCACACCCTTCAAATACGGCGGCACACTCCATTGAAGCTGCTATGCCTGCTAGATAGCGTAAACCACGTTAGATCCTTTGATGCTGTTAAATTTACACTTACGCAATTTAATGTGACGTAAATGACAATGTAAAATATGCGTGCCCTCCCCCCCATGAGGCTTTGGATTATGGGGGTTGAGAGGACACCGATCTGTTTGAATTTGGCAGTGAAGTTGGTGTCGCGCGTGCACCGAAATTACCATGCACGCACGGCTTATCTTTATTCACAGACTACCTCTCGCTGCGTCCTAGTTGACACGGAACTCCAGTGTGTCCAATGCTAGCAGGTTTGGCGGCTTTGACTGGGCAGAGCGTTCGTACGTCTGCGCATTTGGCTGTTGAGTGTTTTGATATTTAGTAAGGAATAAAGCCGATATTGCTAGTTTGTGTGGATGTGGAGGAGTGTTCAGCCCACTTGGGATACGGTCGAGCAGCATGTAGGGGGCGTAAGGCTGGAGAGGGGGTCCTGGTGCCTGCATTCTTTGTTCAGACTCCATGGTCTGAGAGAGGAGGTGGCCATGCCACAATTCTGTGGAAGTCCTGGGATACCTGGGGGGGGGGGGGGGGGAGGACCCGGAATTACCTGCGAGGATCCTGGAGAGAACCTCGCATAACATTCACATATAACATGTCTATTCGATGCTCCCAATGTCTGTGCTCCATCCCTTCGATCTGCACTCGCCGGCAGTGAAGTATGGTCAAATAAACCCAACGACCCACACAGCATGGGGAGGCTGTCTGCCAGCAGCCACGGAGAAAGATTAATTGGGGAGTTTTGTCTTTCATGGTTCTTGTCCATACAAACTATTTTCATTACAAGGGAGTATAACTCATTATCCCTCGCCTTGTAACGAGATTTCATTGCATTTCGATGCCTGCCGTGGAGACGGAGCAATGTAATCGGCTAGTGTGAAGGAGCTGGGTGCATTTTTGCATTGCGAGATCGTGAGAGGTTTAGGTTTTATTTTGGCTCGGGTAAAACCCATTGAGCAGTATGTGCTCACTTGATGAGAGGGGCCTGATTACCCCTACAACACTGGTTACAGCAACAACTAAAAACATGAAAATAATCCAAAACTACACGGTCAAGTTCTAATTGGCAAGGTCATGCATCATCAACAGGGTCCAAATAAAATATACAAGGCTAATATAACACATCACATACACACAAAGTGCAACTTCGTCTGCAACACGAGCAACCGAATGCACGCACACTTGAAAGAAAATATGTACATGGCGGCGGGAGACCTTCATCCAGCAGTGGAATGACCAAGGCTGCTGATGTGAAATTTGGGAATTTGATTTGAGCCAAAACCAAATTTTTCAAGTTTTGCAGTCTTGAGAAGGGCATTCGCTAATGACGACTTAACAGATGAGTGAGGTGGGTGCACGCGCGTCGTAACGTGCGTGCTGTTCGCATGTCGCTTGACATCCTGGACACGCAGACGACACGTCTCGCGTCAAGGAATTTTCGAGGCGAAATATATTTTCACATTTGTTAATGTAACCATATATACGCATCCTGCTGCCAATTATAGTCTTCCCGTTTAACACGTAAGCTGTTGTGGTGCCACGGCCGCAGAGCAACTCCCCCCTGGCCCCCACACCGAGCACACACCCGCAGCGCGCGCACGTAGTAGTGTCCCTGCGGGGGATTGCCTGGCACGACGGGTTTTCATCTGAAAGGTCCCTCGGAGAAAAGTCCCGCGGTTTCCCGGTGCCAGGAGATTGGCCCGACCCTCGCGGGACAGGTCACATTGCGGTGCCCCCGAGTTGGCTTAAAATTGTATGGGCGCACAAAGGTTCACTGGGCCAGCCGCAATGAGTCATACACGACATCGGGGAGAGGGCTGGGGTGAATTATTAAGCGAGCAGAGCAGGCCATGAGGTCAGGGGATCGCAGTGCCACGACCTACCCCGGCCCCAGAGCTAATACACACTAGCAGGGTATGTATTTGCCAGCCGGACGTCCTTCCAGATGAAACAGGATGAAATAAAATAAAAATAAATCACATCATTTGATGATTGCTTGTGTTGCAATCGAAACGTGATTTATTTTATACCTACCTGACTTTACCGAAGGAACCAGAGAGTATGGATTCCTGCAGTCACGAAAGCTTCAAATCGAGATTAAACAGGATGAGTCAGAAATGTATTAGTAAGGGTAGATAGACAATAGGTCGAAGAAGTAACCGTCACAACGCTCCATGTAAGGGAAGGAAAATGAGCGAAAATCACGAGTGGCCACGCGGGATAACGTAACCCTGGATTTTTGAAGTCAAAAGGGGGCATAAAAAGGGGAGCCTGAAACCGTTCAGATTAGATCTCGTCTTCAACCTCTTGGCCGCCAAGACCATCTTCCTACCGTCCTGCCTTCTTGAGCCGCTCGCAGCATTCGTGAGTACAAGCCGCGAGGTACGTGAGAGTGCGTGTGAGTATTTGGGGACTTGGGTAGCAGTAGGCTAGGCTTTAGCTCGCAGAATATTCCCTCCGGGCAGTGCGGGGTTTGCGCCGCGAATAAAAGTTAGCACAGAGCATCGGTGTGGTGTCTGATTTATGTGTGGAGCGGCTACGGTGGGAAACGCGCTGCGAGGGTGAACGCGGAGCCGCAGCATGAGCACGCGTAGAGGTAATGGCTCACCAGTGTGGGCGCGAGTGTGCCTCTGCGTGCTCTGTTCACATTAGCTGTGGGGTGTGCGCGCGTTAGGAGATAATCGCCCGTAGGTGCGAGAGCGTTCGTGCCCGTGTTAATAGCTGCGGTATGCACAAACGTTCGTTGAGGTAATCGCTCACAGGTGTGGGCGCTAGCGAGCCGCTGTCTGCTGTGTTGGCGTTGGCTGTGGTGTGCGTTGGCGCGGGGGGTTTACTCCGTGCGGCGGTGAGCACAGCTGTACAGCTATGTCCCTCAGAGAGGGCGCTAGCGCGGGAGGCCCGATCACTTGGTCAGCGGGGGGCCCGGCGGGAACCGACCGACGTGGTGGAGGAGGGAGCGGGAGGGGCGTACATCGCGCCCCACCTGCCTAGCGAGGATGCGACCAAATATGCATACTATAAATGTGTCGTTAAACCCGCCACCACCCGACAGATACAATTAGGCTTTGTCACGAGTAACGAATTGGCATGTGTTGTTTACGTGACAAACATTAATAATTCGCTCTGTCGGAGGGTGGTGGGTTTAACGACACATTTACGTGATCTAACCCAAAAAACCTCGGATATGGTCTACCTATAATCCATGAATAAGACTATTATGTCACTGAAGGTTCGACTGCAGTGACAGCTTCTGCACCACTGCCAACAGCAGCCAGGCGTTCCGGCGGTAGAGCGAGCGGCTCGCAAGGTTCGGGAGTTCGTGTCCTGATTGTGAGTTCCGAATCAGAATATTTATATTAATTAGGCAAGCACCCTCCCTGTCGAGTTTCCACTCCTCCCTCAAGACGCCCACCTCTTCTCGCTGGCCCAATGGCGGAGCCAGGATTTTCAGGTAGGGGGCAACCCCTCCAGCAATGAAAAATGATAGGAGTTGTTAATAAGGACTTGTCCCTTGCTTTTTATTCGACGCATGTCCGGCGATGGCACAGCCATCGATCGAGGGTCGAATTTGAACCGCGTGTGATCGGCATCACGCTCGCTGAAGATGAATGCCTTCAGGGAAGTCGTGTACTGTATACGCAACTGCGCACAATTCTGAATCACGTATAACTGCTTTGCCGTTACTTATTGCCAATTATAGACTCAGACTATTATCCTATCATCTCATACAGTCCCTGGCACGTAATAATATGCTACACAGTGGCAGTAGGGGTCGCAAAATGCCGATGTATTACTAATAAACCCCAATGATCCGATCGAAATTAGGGATTTCGATCGGATCATTGAGGGGGCACGTGCCACCACCCCCCCACTGGCTCTGCTAGTGCCCTGGCCCAGACTTCCCTCCAACCCTCAGCACCCCCCATAATTCCCGTACCCACTAACATCCCTCCCCATACTTTATCCCTATTTACCGTATCACCTTTAGCTACCCTCATTGTGCCACTCCTAAACATTGTAAAGCGCATTGGATAAAGGCGTTATATGAATATAACATACTGCAGGAGGAATCCAATGAGCTATAAAGCAAATTTTTTCACAAATGTCCAGTAGGGGATCGTGGGAACGTTACAACAACAAATACAGAAACCCGATAGGAGTGCAATGCACAGGATCGGGAAGATAAATCACTAAAACATTTTCAAATTAAACTCAAGTGTAGTTAGCCCAACTGAGTCGCAGACGTTATCTTGGGAGCAACACTTTATTACACATTAACACGCAACACAATACGATCTACACTCGGGTCTCGAATGCCCATCTAACCACGCTACGGCAGAACTAGACACGGTTCACTATCCTGGTCCGGACCACAAACGGGGTCACGGACCGCGTGGCTGGAGGCTTCTTCTCCCGACGTGGATCTTCGTAACACCGGCACACGAAGAACCTCGAGCTCCTCACGGGGCCCTTGTTATATGCCCCCCGGGCTGGGGCTGGCTCCGCCCTTCGCCCCGCCCACCTTCCAGGTCTCTCGGGCTCCTTCTCGAAGGTTCCCGAGAGCTCCTTTGGACCACGTGACCGCCCCACGGCCCCCGTCCACCGGTGGCCCCCCTCCAATATCATCCGGTCACGTGACAGCAGGTCAACCAGCGTATCATGCCCCAAGGTAACACTGCACGCGGTCCCTCTGCGCTAACCAGCGCTAACACAAGCCCGCTAGGGCTGGTACTACATCCCGTAACCCGGGCTGCCCGTAATGACACCACACTACTGGCCGTGGCTTCCCAAGCCTCGGCACCATACAGTGACAAGCACAATCACTACACAAGTATCATCCCTCTCTCTGGAGGTGGCTAAAATAAGTACGATTTTGGGAAGTCAACAAGGGACGAGACTGTCTGGAGGACAGCGCTGGAGTGAGAAAAGCCACGCTTAGATCACGACCTTTAAGCTGTGTTGTGGCCGAAACGTCGTGATTTTTTGTTACTTTATTTTCACCTACGTGACTTTACCCAATAGAACCAAATAGTATGGATCCTAGCAGTCACGAAAGATTTAAATCTAGAAAAGTCAACAAGGTTTGTCCTATGGTGAGACTCGCCCCACCATAGGAACGTGGAATTCTCCCCCCCCCCCCCCCCCCACCAAATGCCTCGATGCCCCCGTATTTTAAACAGCAGCAACATCGCTGACGGAGCCGGCACCATGGACAGCGAATCGGTCGCTCCCCGAGCAACAAGAGGAAGCCAATAATCAATCTCGATTTGAAGTTTTCGTGACTGCAAGGATCCAAAAATCGATTGGATTTGGGATCGATTTTAAACATTTTCTACGCTTGGATCGATTCTGGATGTCGTCATCGCTCCCCACAATACATTGCGCGCTTTTCCCGCCTCCCACCCCGCGAGGCGACGAAAGGGCCAGGAGGGCGCGCGACTCTCGTCGTCTCTTCTCACCTCGTTAACTGGCCGCCGCCACCACCACCTCGTCGTCGTCGGCCACCGTCACTCCTCCGCCAGCCAGAAGCGAAGCGGTGCCGCTGCGTCGCGGTGGGCTCGGGCGACGGCTTCTGCTGTGAGAGGTGAGAGGGGGACGAGCGTGCGGAGGCCGACTCGGCAAGGCGCCATTTTGTTGTTGGGTGTCAAAAGGAGCGGGCGGCCTCCATCTCCTCGTCACGGAGAGGGGCTCGCCACCTCGTTAAGGAGGGATAGAGCGAGAGGCTCGCCACCTCGTTAAGGAGAGATAGAGCGAGAGGGGCTCGCCCACCTCGTTAAGGAGAGAGAGCGAGAGGCTCGCCACATCGGCACAAAGAGAGAAGCTCGCCACCTCGTTAAGGAGAGATAGAGCGAGAGGCTCGCCACCTCGTCAAGGAGAGATAGAGCGAGAGGCTCGCCACCTCGTTAAGGAGAGATAGAGCGAGAGGCTCGCCACATCGGCACAAAGAGAGAAGCTCGCCACCTCGTAAAGGAGAGATAGAGAGGCTCGCCACCTCAGTTTTCATAGTTTCATTTATTTGGTATAGCCCCGTGAGCCATTCGGCTCTTGAATCGGGTCCAACAGCAGCAAACAAAAAAACAAAAACATGAACAAGGAAACATGTTAAAGTGACTGTGCAAACAGAAAATCCAGGAAAAAACACAGCAAAATATTCCTGAAAAAGCACCGTACACCAACGTGTGCAAAATATCCCAGTGGGATGCAAGTCAAACAACAAGAAAACTTAGATTAAGGCCATCAGTCTTAACTCCGTACTACAATAAACAAAAACCTCGTCAAGGAGAGAGAGGGTTGTCAAGGAGAGATGGAGCGAGAGGCTCGTCAAGGAGAGATAGAGAGCCTCGCCACCTCGTCAAGGAGAGATAGAGAGCCTCGCCACCTCGTCAAGGAGAGATAGAGAGGGTTGTCAAGGAGAGATGGAGCGAGAGGCTCGCCACCTCGTCAAGGAGAGATAGAGAGGTTTGTCAAGGAGAGATGGAGCGAGAGGCTCGCCACCTCGTCAAGTAGAGATAGAGAGGCTCGCCACCTCGTTAAGGAGAGATGGAGAGGTTTGTCAAGGAGAGATGGAGCGAGAGGCTCGTCACAAAGAGAGAAGCTCGCCACCTCGTCACGGGGTGTGCGGTCTCGGGTTGGGTTTGTGTCGCGTCCATACGTCGCGAGGCGCCCGCGTTACCCATCAGCAGCGTCTCCACAAGTGCAACGTCGCCACCCCCAACCTCGTTACCTTCTCGCTTAGCTATCACGTTACTTCGTTACCTCGCTCAGTCGCGTTACATCGGCAATCACGTTACTTCGCTCATTTATCACGTTGCCTCGGTCATCTCGTTACCTCGCTCAGTAATCACGTTACTTAGTTGCCGCCTCGCTCAGTAATCTGACCTCGCTCAGTAATCGCGTTACTTCGTTACCTCGTTAAATTCTCGCTCCCGTCGCGTTACCTCGCTACAACGTCGCTCCTTAATGGCGTTGCACGTTACACCACCATTGTTACGTCGCTACTCAATCTCGTTACGTCCTCGTTAGCCTTATAAAACTCCTTACCTAATTGACTCGTTATCCCTCGTCAACTTAGTGACCACGCGTCTCGTTAACTCATTACCGCCTATTTCCTCAACCTCATTACCTCATTAGCGAGCGCAGGGATGGGGACAGTGGAACGTGCTTCCCGAATTGCCGGCTTTGTGAAAGATTGGGGTCATTCTTGCGTCATCGTTAGGGTACGGGCCATTATCGTGGTCAAGGGTTTCTTTAATCTTAGGTTTTGTAACAGTTTTTTCTGCAAACGATTTTTAAAAGTTCGAGTCAACTTTCGTTACAGGATATGTTAAGCCTGGTCACGCAAGAGTGTAAATTGGACTAACGTGTACTGTCTTCTGGTGTCTTGAGTTCTCATCTTGAACACTTAATTTGGGTCATTATTAGCGCTAGAATTATACTGGTAGGAAACGTAGTGGACTGGAAGCCCAACCGGAATTAATTCACAGGAGACAGGCGATTATACACTGCACTTTCTGGTGCGACCTCTTTTACACTGCACTTTCTGGCGTCGTTTTATAATTCTGCTCACTTTTCATTTTGCTTTCTTCTGCGCACGACCCTAACAAATTTGTCTTAAATATCCGTACATCATTACTTCAGAATTACTTCAATATTTCCTACCAGCCCACTCCGCATGAATGTGTTTGTATTTTTCGTCGAAAAACGTCAATTATTTCCTTCTCCAATGAGAATTGATTTATCATTTTCTATTTACAGCCCTGAAATAGTGGTGATAATTTCCTATGACAGGGGCAAGTCCGTCATTTCTTGCCTACAAAGTGAAACTTATGTTATTGACCCCTGTGAGATGATGGGATGAGTCTCCCCCCAACCCGGATTTTAACACACAACCTTCCAATTGCGAGCTATTACTCTACTGCCGAGCCACCAGGTCCCGTAGGTCATGAATGTCGTTATGATTACAAGTCGTCTCGTAATATTCATTGGAGTAGTTCATCTGATGAATTTCAGATTCACCGTGCTGGGCTCCATGCTGAATGTGAACCTGGCCGCAGAGAGCTGCGTGTTACAAGACTTTTGACGCTCCTGGGGAGGAGTCCTGGGTTATCCTTGACCCCGAGAACAGGGACCCTTCAGCGAAAGATATGGGATTGACCGCTCTTGCTTAACTCAATGACTAACATATTAAACCAACAATAAATGTGTCCATAAGAGATCAAATCTACAACATTTACATTCTGCCGCTCCAATACCACCAGTGTGCTGTACTAGTAACGAATTTGCATGGTCTGTTTACATGACAAACCTTACTACTTTACTAATTTGCTGTGTCGGTTGGTGGTGGTTTTAACGACACATTTATGTTTATGCGATCTCACCCAAAAAACCTATATTATGGATGATATTGGTCTCGAAAGCCTTTGTGTTAAATAAATGTGTCCATTCCCCAAATCATAACAATTTAAGTATCCGTATAGTATAAAGCTCAACAGGCACACTCGCTGAGACACAGGTGGAAGGATCTTCCAGAGACTCAAATGTGCCCCCAGTCTCAATGTATTGAAATCTCTCATGCGCACTACATCTATAACTGCTACAGCTTGAACTCGTTCAGTATGTACCGGCAATGTGCACCATATGCATTTGTGTAACTTGGTGTCATATTCATTGTATAAATACCTTGCTGTGTATGCATTACATGTGCAGTGCCGTGTATAGTGTCTCTGTGGTGTAGTGCCAGTACCTAGAGAAGGGCGGTACTGGAGGTGTGGAGTCTGAAGCACCAGGATGAGTACGGAACGGAAGGGCCTCTAGGGGGCATAGTTCGGGTGATAGCGAGAGAGGTCGGGTGAGGACATGGTAGTCTGGGTGAACCCGAGAAGGCACGTGACCAGATGAGGTAGTAACGAGGGCCAAAGAGGAGGTGAGAGGGACACGTGATGTGAGCCCAGAGTCTCCGAGAAGGATCTGCAAGGGTGCGTGGCCAAGGGTGGAGCCTGGCCATGCTGCAGCCCATTAAGGCCAAGTCCCAAGAGCGATCTTGGCTGGCAGTCTCTTGGAATGGAATCCGCCGGCTACGTCTTCGGGCCTCACGCACGGCATCTTGGACCAGGCAGGGAGTTAGCTGACCTGGTCCGAGTATATCGTTATCCCGTTGAGTGGTTACGTAGCGAACCGTTGTGGTCACCACCCTAAGTCATTATCCCGTCGAGTGGTTATGTAGTTACGCATGGTGGTTACCACTCTATCGTTATCCCGTCAAGTGGTTATATGGTTACCCCGTTGTATTAAGAATAAACGTGTTGCCTCCAAGTTCGAGTGTACACCTCTGTGAAACCCACTACACATGTAAAATACGTATTATTACGTGTTTAGTATGTGTCAACACCCTGGACACCCCTGAAAATTAGATGCGCCGCCACAAGATATTAGCCAAGTGAAATATTTGAACAAAGTACTTTTGTTCAGTGTTGCGAACGCATGCTTGAGTAACACTTCCCTGCGTCCCTGCTGTGTGCTGCTCATTTGTAGGCTTTCAAAAAACCAGGAATGGGGGAGGCAGATCCAGGAAAGCTCTTTGTTGGAGGCCTGAACATTGACACCACCGAGAAGGCTTTGGAAGCGACCTTCTCCAAATATGGAAGAGTTGCAGACGGTAGTATTACACCCAGCACGGATGAACACTTAAGTAGTTTAATAATTCTGTTGAAGTAAAGTTTTGCTTGTGGTACCTTCATTCTCCACTGGAATGTAATTTTGAAGACATGCCTGGGTGATCATGCAAAGACCCATCTCTAATGGACCCTCTTCAATTATTTTTGCATTTACTGTTATATTAAGCAATTAATCTGTATACAAAGTTGATTCACTTACAAAAATAACTTTGTAGCAAACCTCACTTTTGTGACAACACATTCATGGTGTGTACGCATCCGAGGGTGAACCTTGCTATCTCTGCTCCCGTTGTCTTTCGCTCAGTTCTGCTGATGAAGGACCGCGAGACGAATTTGTCTCGGGGGTTTGCATTCGTCACCTTCGCCAACCCGGAAGATGCCAAGGAAGCTGAGAGAGACGCCAATGGAAAGGTAGGGGGACGCATGGGAACGATATCATCACCCCTCGCTTCAGTTAAACGTGTTAAGTAAGTTCCTGCTCGGATGAGCATTGAGGCGGTGCTCTTCTCCTGTTTGCATTTTTTGAGGTAGTGGTGTAAAATTCCTACGGCGGAGATCTCTCCAATTGGAGACTACTGTTCACTTCCCACAAAGCGGTATTCATTCGATCAATCCCTCCCAGATGATGGGTTGAGTCAACTCGCAACCATAATATGTATTTACAACCTGCTTATTGCAAGCCATTCTCTAACCACTGAACCAACTTGCCTCAGTCTGACTCTAAACAACCGTATCAACATTATGCTCGGTACTTGCGAGCAGCACTCGCACACATTTAGTCCGATTTGGAGAGAAAAAACGATGCTGAATGTGTGAGCAGTGGCTTGCCCCTCTGTCAGCTGTTTGAGTTGTGCTTTTTAAGCAAATGTTTTTGATCTCTTGAGCTTGGTTCTCTGAGGTTGTTGATGCAGTAAAGGTGGCATGGGTGTGGCTGCAGGTGCTGGAAGGGCGCGCGATGCGAGTGGACCAGGCCACCAAGCCATCGTTTGAGAGCTTCCCGGGCGGAGGCCGCTACGGCTTCTCCCGCGGGCCCCCCAGAGGTACGACCACTGAGTGTCCTGCCCAGTTTGTGGTGTTCCCACCACTAACCGTGCACTAAGCAGTACTTTCTGTCGCACTGAAGTACAGGAATCGCTCCAAATCCATTTCCATGTTTCTCCAACTGAATTTACTATGAACAAGAATGGTTTAAAAAAGGTTATTTATCTGAGACAACTTTAATTACAGGAATTTATTTTCATTTCATGTTCACTCATGTTTGTGTACTGTTCTCGATTTCTTCGTCACGGTGCCCACCGCCCTGAACACAATTACGCTTGCCTCGTGCAGGTGGCTCCACCAGAGGGCCCCCCATGAAGCGTGGACCCCTGGATCGGGGGGACGGGCCTCCTGCCAAACGGCCGATGACCATGGCTGGTGGACCTCCCCGTGGTGGCGGCCGCGGAGGCTTCAGAGGTAACGCCCTGCTGCCCTCGTTCGTGCGCGTGTGAGCGCGGTGGTGGCGATTTGTAATGGAAGTAGAGATGTTGGCACCGTGTGAAGATGTGCTATGGCTGGTGACGGATGTTCTCGGGGCAGTTTAATTCGCACCTCCCGGTTAGCGCGGTTGGCAACGTACGGCATGAAAGAAGTTCTGCGTACGTACGTAACCAGACGGGGCCACGACTCGTTTCAGGGCCGGGCCCACGCGACATGGATGGCTACGGTGGGCCTCCGCGCAGAGAGATGATGCCGCGGCGAGATGACTACGTGCCCAGGGATGAATACTACAGTAGCAAAGACAAGTGGGTGCACGCGTCCACACCACACTCACAGGGGAGGAATGTTTCCTTATAATAAAAACCGAAGACCTTGCTGACCACTTTTTAAAGGCATATTGTGCATGTTGGAATCCAGAATACCTGAAGAAAGCTGCAGGCCAGAGGATAACTCTCAAAGTTCTTCATCGACAGCTTCACAAGCCCACATGCTTTACTGCCATCTCCTGGCTCCTTCGAGTCCAACGGGTTTGGAAGTGATCCACCAACCCTTGACGTCACGTTTGTGAATTGAAGTAGGGTCGTGAATCGATTACAGGAATCGTTTATGAATCCCAAAGTTACACATGAAATCCAGTACATTTTTCATAATGATTGAACCGTTTGGCACGCACGAACATTAGAACCATCCGGATCGTTCAAATTTGGTCCGTTGGTGGCGGCCGTTATAAGTCGCCATCTTTTGCATAGATGCACTCAGGAGTGGAATTTTATTGTAATCTTTATTCATTATGATGTGTGCGCTAAAATCGGCCATTCACAACACGAAAGCAAAGTAGAGATCACTCGTTGGCAGTTGCCGCTGCTTCCACCCGTGTCTAAGCGGGGTCCGTGTGTGTGCGCAGCTACGCACGCCGAGACTACGGGGGCTCGCGTGACGGGCGAGACTACCCCCCGCCCCCTCCCAAGGAGTACCGCCCGCCCCCGGGCCGCGACGACTACCACGGGCCCAGCTCGCGCGCGTACGGGTACGACCCAGGCTCCCTCCGCACTTCCCGCTCGCCAGGGCCTGCATCCAGGTTAACTTGAGAATTAAGGAGCCGCCTAATTGCGACTGCTGTGAAGTGCAAATCACCGCTGGCATCGCTGATCGGTGCCATTGCACAACACAAACTACTTACCGGCATCATTGTGGACAGTACAAGTAACAAACACTTTGTGCTGTGTGGGCCACAGTGTAGCAATGCACTTGCTGAATTGTTCTATGAAATACTAGTCCACACACACTTGTACCGTTATGCCGTGGGAGTGGTGACATTGTGTGCTCTGCCATCCCAGGGAGCGAGACATCTACGGCAGCGGTGGCCGAGACCACATGCGCGAATATCCTGGCGAGCGGCCAGGCGCTGGCTCCTACCGCGACGGCTATGCGGGTTACGGTAAGCCTTGTGCAGGGACGGCCGGGTTGCGTTTATGCTGATGTGCCGAACTGTTGAACGAAACTGAAACTCTTGTGAAGATAATTGAAGACATAATATGAAATATTCGATACCTCGAAACTTTGGGTTGGGCCTTGCAAATTAATTTGAAGCCGACGAGTAAAAACTTGAAAATGAAAATTACCCCAGCAAATCCTGCAATTCATCTGGGTGAATTAAACAACAATGGCAACGGCTGTTAAGTCTTCGGGCCTTGTGAGCTTAAAGGCAGCCATCCAAAACCACTGATTTGACCGACCAGGCAATCTCACAAGCCACGTATCAACAATTGAAACAAATGTTCAACGTGCAAAGTGCCGACGAGTTCATCATAGCACTCAAAGAAAATAGTGCCACGAACGTCCAAGCTAATTGCCAGGTGTGAACATGCTGGTTTACATGCAATGGCTGTCATAGCATATAAAGAGAATATTCAGTCTGTAAAAAAACATTCCAACACTTTACAGACATTGGGGTTGTAGTGAAAAAATGCAACAAACCAACAATGCCTCTGAACGTACCTGTGTTAAATTTTCTTAACGTGTTGACCAAAAATGCCGATGAAACTTGTGAAGATGACGATGTGGGGAGCACCCCTCTGCTTTTAGTCAAGAGAACATAAGTGGATGATTCTGGCAATTAAGAGTAATCTATGAGCTGTGTGCGATAAACAGGTTTAATTGTGGAGGAAAAAAATTGAAAATGCTGCACAAAAGAAAAATACGCACAATGGAAATGGAATTTGGAAACCACCTAATGAATGAAAGAGCCATACCTGGCGATAATGAGATGACCTCTGAAAAAAATGTCAATGAAGCCAACCCTATTCACTTTATCCCAAGTATCTCCTTGTATACCTTACAATGTCCAGCAAACGACAAATTGGAAGAGTGATGACCACCTGGGATCTGTGCTGATGTCAAGCTGAATTCTGAAGTGATGCTTTAATGTTTCAGTGAGCGGCGCGAGGGCAAGCGCCCGTGCAGTGCAAGTGAATCATTGCTGTGACCTGACGGTTGACCCCACAGGAAGCTCGCGGGGAGGCCCGCCTCCCTCTTACGGGGGCGGCAGTGGCGGGGGCGGCCGATACGACGATTACGGCCCTAGCTCGCGTGACCCCTATGCGCCCGGGAGCACCCGCGAATACCCTGGCGGGCGCGCCACCAACGACGGATACGGCCTGGGTCGTAGCGGAGATAGGATGGGGCGCGCCGAGCGGGGACCCCCGCCTCCCCCCATCGAAAGAAGCTATGCCCCCCGCGACTCGTATGGAAGCTCTTCCCGCGGCCCCCCACGCGATTCGTTTGGCGGCGGTGGCGGCGTCCCGCCACCCCGAGATTCTTATGGTGCCTCATCCGCGTACCGTGGAGCGCCTCGCGACGCGTACGGTGGATCGGCCCGCGGCCCCCCCGCCGCGCGACGTGTACGCCGGCGCGCCCCCCCGTGACATTTACTCCGGCTCCAGCCGAGGGCCCCCTAGAGTCTCCGAACACCGTGGGGAGGGCCGCAACCGATACTGATTTAAGATTTTAGCGAGGAGTTGGCGCTCGCTGTCAGGTGTCGTGTTAGTAATCCCACCAACGTCTGAACTTTTTGGCAACCATCCGCTATTTGTGCCGTCCCAGCACTCCCTACTGATCCTACACTTTTCAGAGTTTTTACAGAGCCCCCTCGATGTTAAGAATGCATTTGCCTCAGTTTGGTTTGGCCCTTTTAAAATCGTGTACTTACTGTTTTTGAAGAAAAAAAAAATCCAATTTTGCAGCGTTTCCTCCTGTGAAACATTTGGCATATTGAGATACAGTTGACATTGGGAGATATGAAACGGACAACTTTAATTCATAATGCTAATGACAGAATTTGTTATTTTATTTTTTAAAGATTGGAGCAGGCACACTCCCAATCTAGACATTTGTGACGATCGTTGTTCGAAACTGCTTCATTGAGAATTTGTATTTTGTTGGTTTCTTTTAAAAGCTCAATAAATATGCTTAAAGCTAAGCTGTGATTATCGTGAAAAGTGAATCATGACAGTCTGGAAGCCTCAAGTCCCTTTCACCATCCAACAATCTGAAATTGTGCTGAAAAATCCTTGAAATGGGCCCAGTCGGATGCTGCAGTCTGTACCATGGTACCGGGATATAAGCGTCCCACAACCGAGCTGGACCACCTGCAAAGTTGGCATGAAATGCACAACGTGAAATTGACAGCTCCACCGATTCAATGCAGACAGTCTTGCAGGGTTTGCATTGGTTAACTGTGAAGGGGGTTCAGTCTTCTAAGCAGTTCCCTGGAGTGATTGTAACGACAAAAATGAGGTGTGCAAACTAAAACGCTGAAACCCGAAAATAAACCGCCTCGACATTAAAATTACCTGAATCTGATGATAACAGAAGAACCCGTGATTGATTGATATGTAACAGGATGGTCGATAATTTCAAAGATGCTGAAGAGTCTAATTTGTGTTGCGGAAAATCAAACGTGTGAAAACCTCCGATACGACAGCGGTGCCTCCGGACACCGAGCCGTGTCGTCTCAAGTGGAATCTCTGCTGGGCAGCTTGTTTTTTGGGCACCTGAGTGGAGGGAATTGCAATAACAATGTAGTCGGGGCTCCTCGCGCACGGTGAAGATAACGCGACATGAAGCGTCGCGTGAACAGGGGGCTCGATGGGAAAGGGGACCGCGATCCTCGCAACTCGAAGCTCCTGACAACAACGTTTCACAAAACGCCTCCCTTGTAAAGCACGTCGTTGACATGATATTTAATGCAGACTTAGCAATTGCTGGCAGCTGAAAACCTGCACACCTAAACGTTTTTTTATACATTCACATTTTTCTGGAGTGGCATGTAGGCAAGTCCTGCTCATCACAGCCGTACACTGACACCACTAAGCATGTTAAAGTTAATTTCTCAATTGTAATTTTCAAGACAAAAGATTCCCAAATTAAAATCTATCAAAACAAGGTATTTAGATGAATGTCACATTCTCACAAACAATTTATTTTTAACGGCATTTGATTACATTTCTCAATATTCAAAGAAAAAGAAATGACGGAAGTGTGAAAACGCTCATTACAAACACATTCTTGAGCGACTCAAAACCACCGAGTATTGGAATTCTGAACAACCTTTGAAATAGGGAAACGACAACCTGGAAAGAGGCTCTAATTGTGCACCTTGTGATTTATACGAATGGAATTCATGAAAAAAACACAATTGAATGTTTTTCCAATGATATCGCCGCACGAAGATTTACTAGAGTGGTGCTTGGTGCAGCAGGCTGTGCAAGTTAGACACCTTTAAGACAAGTGGTCCAGCATCTGAAAGCGCTGCCTGGCATCACTGCAAACTTAGAGATCCATGTGTTGAATAATATGAAATAGAACACAAATGTGCTCTGCAGTCAACAAGAGGCGGTGAGTTCCTATAAATGAGAATTGAGATGATGCTCACCTGTTTTACAGCCCTGCAGAATTAGTGGTGTAAATTCCACGTTCATATGACGGGTCATTCAATCCTTAGGGGACAACCACTGTTGTCTTCCCCACAAAGTAATACTGATTTGATCCTGGAGAGATTAAGGGCCAAGTCAATCTGCAACCAGGAACTCGCAAGCCTTCACGTTGGAAGCCACCCACTCTTCCTCTGAGCCACCTGGCTGCAATATGAATGCAACTCAAGAGTGCACTTAGGTCATGTCGAGCAAGAGCAAAATATCGCGCGTGTGTGTGTGCAAGGGTTCCAAGGAAATGGTTTCTCTCTTGTCAGTCTACTCGCATAGTTGTCCATAGGCACCTGATGCGTGCTGCAATGCGCACTTGATATCGCTGATGGCGTGTAGTCCTGTCTAATTTAAGAATGTGCCGGGAAACGTGACCCTCTGTCATCGTGATGGCAATTGGCTACGGCAGGTGTATGATTGGTCCAAAAAGTCGATTTTTTGCCACTGCTTCTCCCTTTGAATCGAGCCTGATGAGGGCTGCACATGAATAAGGTTCCGGTGCTGTATTATCGATACAGCCAACCTCTTACTGCTAGCACCTTTATAATTAATCCAGTCTAAAACTAAAAATATTAAAATCAATAATCACAAATAACTGCATTAAAAACTAGCCAATGAATAATAGCAATTCACACAACTTAAAAAAAACCTAACCAATAAATAATCATTCACGCAACATTCTCCTTGAACTACAGGTTGTAGTATGGGAAGGCAGGCTGCTTGGCCTTTAGTCGTGAGTATCTCTTTGAGATGAGCTCCAAATGTCCATAACGCCATTCTCTCACGCAGCACTAGTGTCCCCCTCTCGCGCACACGGATTTCTACGCCAGCGCTGCATCAGTTGTCGAATCTTGACGGTCTTCCAAGTTCCAAAAGGGAAGAGGACACATTTTTGGTTCCAAGATTTGGAATGATCTTGGATTGGAGTCTACTCTATTTCATTCCAAAAATCAAATAGATTCCCAAAACTGAAATGTTGACGAAATCAGGATTAGATTATTCTGGGATCGACTTCCTATGCCAAATTAAAAAAAAAAAACCTCTGACTGTTCACCCTGTGCCATTTGTGCGGGGATGTATCTCAGTGGGAGTGCTGTAAGCCCGCAGTGCTTCTCAATCTCTTTCATTGCCGTGGCACACCTGGGACTTGGGCACACTTGTGGCACTCTGTTGTGAGGCACAATTGAAATCGGCCCTTATTGCCGGCTCTCAATAAGTAATCTTCATGGGATGTCTCCAGGATGAAATAAACAAAAGTCATTTCAATTAAATGACGCATCACACATTTCTATTGCATATTTAACAATTGACGTGATTGTTAATTTTCCATTAAGTGGAATATTGGTAGCAACAGCACTACTTACAGCTCTGCTTGCTTCTCATTTTAACACCCGAAATTGTTAACCATTGTATTCTTACATAAGCTGCTGACGATAGGATCAAGAGTCCCTCAAAGCATGAGAATGGCTGCAACTAAAATATTTTTTTTACACCTTGTCACAAGAAGAGGTTGAGCTGCCAAACACCTTGTGAGAACAACCGTCAATGTTGACAATACCAACAACGCTTAGATCTACTGCCGTGTGTACATCGGCATCTCGGCTGCAAACAACACGGCTGATCGACTCAACGCTCACACAATACCTATGCTGTCGTCCGGAGTGAAACCTCAACCATCTTGAGGTATGCTAACAGTGGACCGTCTTCAATGTGGCGCCAGCATCGATGTGGTGAAGTCGGGAAAGTGGCATTGATTTTCAGAGCAGAAGAGGCCGATGTTGAGCGTAGCCCTCCACGTCTTACCTGGCCGCACAAGTCAACCTAACCGGCGCTTTGAGAAGCAGCAAACGCTGGACTCGACTGACACGACAAGAACGAACAGAGGTTGCGCGGACGTGGCTTGAGCCCTCCAAAGTAAGTGTCTGCATGTCTGCTGCAAAGAACGACTAAGCAATAGATGGGTGGAATTTCATAGCTTGAGTGCCTAATGTCGTTTGCAAGTAGTGATGCTGTGGTACAGATTAATGTGTTGCATATGAAGATGTGGAACAGAATGTGATACAAGTTAGAATTCTTCCAAAGAAACTACTCGTGGTCTGTGATTCAATCTTGTGTTTGTCTGAATGACTGATGTTGAATAATATTCTGAAGAAAGTTGACCAGATTTAATAGATTGTGCCCCTGACCACAAAATCGGAAGACTTGTTCTGAGTGTTCCATTCCTGAATGTCGGTGTCACCTGCATCTACGATAACCTTACACAGGAGAAATACATTACTGGTACCTTAAGTATTGATAACTTATAACTGGGATAAGTTGAGCTGAAGCACAGAAGGGAGCTGTGGAGCTGGCTTCATACGGTGCCACAGTAGTTGCAAAGTCAAACGAATCAACTGAACCAACTACTACCACGTTGTGGTACGTGGCGTAATTTGCAGGTAGCGTTTTGTTGCTCGAGAGGCTGTTGTCAGTCTCGCTGAGTGTAGGTTTGCTATCCTAAGCCACAAATTGTGGGTTGCCTAAAAGTTGATGGACAGTTTCTTCAAGTATTGGTTGTTCAGATTATAATTTTTTTAGGTGACAGGTGACATAGCTGCAACGAAGGCGATAATAAAATGATGAAGAGATGAAACTTGTTTTCAATGGAGACCTGGGTATAGACGAGGGACGCCATAACAAATTCAAACGTCAGAACAAATGTGAACAATGAAGTGCAAATTAACGTTCTAAAATTAGGTACAATGTAAAGATGTATCAAAAGGATTTGAATTAAGAAGACAATTTTAAAGGACAGTATTTTATGGATAAAATGGAACGTGCATTCAAACGATAACTGAACTTTCAACATGTGCAAGTAAGGAATACAAGAGCTTATCGAAGACTGGGCTGGAATAGATTTTAAAATGAACACATGCATTTTGTTCCGTTTGCGAGGAGCGTCAAGCGTTAAATTTAATCTAGATTTTAGCATTCACTTTATATAGTGGAATACAAATGTTTAAGCATGTTTCTAGTGTGGGTTTGCTTGCGGTTTTAGAAAAAATGGTTGACCTGGTTAATAAATACATTGTGAATGTCTTGAAGGAATTGTTTGATTAATTCCAGCGTTTTGTTTTAGTTCATAATGGTGGACAGCATTTCTCAACAACCTCATAAGGACTACATGGGGGAAACTGGGTCCAAACTCTATTGCTCAATTTGGATTATATGTTGTCAAGCATTGCTACCCGACTAGAAAACTCATGCCCAATTGCAGGCCAGGTGTCTTCAGTCACCTTTGTGCCACACAGGGACTGCTTGCCCACGGGGGGGGTTCCCCTTTCCATCGTGCTGAGATGTGGCATGATTGCAAAGCACTCTTGAGTCCCACCGTGAACGGCGCGACGTCGAAAAAACATCCGTGTCGCATCTGTAATTTGTGCTCAATTGTAAACCATATCGAGGGAATTGGCATGGAGGTGATCGTAACATGTGGGCGTTTAGTAATAACAAAATCGTGGTTTGTCGATATGAAACGGCAGATTTTGTTTGTAAATGGAAATATCCAGCAGCGGATTGACCGTGACTAGATAAGTTGACCGTAACCTCAAACGATGTCAGAATCAGAATCAGAAAGGGTTTTATTCGCCATGTAAGTTCACACCGACACGGAATTTACTTTGGCAGGATGGTGCATACATTCAACATATAGGAATCTAAAATCTTAAATAAGTTTTAAACAAGTCTTACTATAATAAGGGTTAAAAGTCTAACACTAAGGGGCTGAAGTATATAAAATTAAATAAAAAATTAAATAAAAAAACAACAAGTAGCTTGGTCAAACGGACAACATTGGCCAGATTTGGAGTGGCGCACAATATAATAATTGGTTTGCCTTAATTGCCTTTGAAGTGCTGTTGAGTGTTAATTTGATGTTCTTTTGCAGGTTGAAATGCCGAAAATTATTCCTTTTGAATTAAATGTAATTTGGGCAACAATGGATGCTGACAAGCAGGGTTGGCCTCAACACAGGTAATTGGTGTCAAACTGCAGTGCATTGAGTTTGAAGCTCAACCTCTTTTCATTTTTGCCTGGTTAATGTTGCATATGCAACACTACATATGTATGTTTAATGTCTTTCCCACCGTACGTATCCAACCGTGCTAATCGGAGGTGCGGGGGCAGAACAAACTTAAGCATACACATCAAATGTGTAGCATTGCATCAGTTCATCAATTTAAATACATTCTTACACCCAAGATACTGTAGTATACTGTGCATGCAAGCATTGATTGTTTATGATGTAAACACTGAATGAGCATTTGAATAAAATTGAGTTGCCAAATCTTTTAATGTGTGCACTCACCAAGGAGGAGTTAATTGTCCCATGCCTAGTGTCTGGTAAGAATGAACATGTCATTCATTGGTCATGTGAGTGGTTGTGTTTTCTGCTACAGGATGTTTGGAGAGTTGAAGGACCGCAGCCCCAGGATCAACTGGTGGAATTGCCTCTTCTTCCGGAGGGACGCATGAACAGGGCGGAGTGGCAGACTCCTTCATAACCATCTGCTGTTACCCTTGTGCTCCTCGCAGAGTCAACTAGCGACTAGGCTCGAAAAGTTAAACGTTATACCCGTGTCCTCCATGCATCCACATTGATTGAGAAAATGTTTGTGTGCAAATAAACGGTTGTAAATATCATGTTGTCGTTGTTGCCCTTGTACAATCGCACTTGCAAGATGTTTGGGCGTGCTAAACGGACACGAGGTCGCCTGCCGTCGTGTGTGGGAAATCTTCGTCACAGCCACGGATTGCCGAGGGGGGGTGCAATGGTTCAGCTTCATTTTTCAAGTTTCATTTATTTGGAATGACCCTGAGCAATTCGGCTCTTGATTCGGGTGCAACCGCAACGAACAATAAAATTACAAGATACATTGAAAATTTATTTTACTCAAATTTAAACATCCCCTACAAAAACAATAAAATCTTCCAGAAAAAGCACCATTTGTTTATGCTGCGTACAAAAATGCCAAAATTCCCATGTTGATGTTTGATCACAATACAATTTCGATTAAAATGTTTAGTCCTAACTCAGTAATTTTGTCAGCTTGTCTCTGGAGAGGCGCTACCCAGGGATGCAGTGGAGAGCAAAACTCAAGCCCAATTGACCGGATCCACACTAACGCTGGATCCCTATTGACGCGATCCACACTAAAGCTGGATCCCTATAAACCCGATCCGCACTAACGCTGCAGCCCTATCGATCCGATCGACACGAACGCTGGAGATCTAAAGACCCGATCCACATGCTGTTTGCTTGAGAATCGCCTTACCTTGCGGTGGGTGACTTGATCTCTGTATGACGGTGTGAATGGCTGCTTTGTGGCCACTGGTGAGGTGACTAGGTGTTAGGGTGCCTGATCATTGGCTACTGTGTGATGCAGTCGCTATTTGCTGTGTGATTTATTGCATTCAGTTTCATTTATTTTGGTATAGCCCTGTGAGACATTCGGCTCTTGAATCGGGTGCAACCGCAACAAGCAAAAACATGAACAAGAAAACATCTTAAAGTGACTATGTGACTGTGCAAACAGAAAATCCAGGAAAAACAGCAAAATATTCCTGAAAAAGCACCGTACACCAACGCTGTGCAAAAATCCTAGTGGGATGCAAGTCAAACAACAACAACCACAAGACAATTTAGATTAAGGCCATCAGTCTAACTCCGTACTACAACAAACATGGCCAAACCAAAAAAAACTTTTCGAAATAAAAATAAAGCCATAAATGCAATGTAACAGCGATCATAGGGACTGTGACCGAATTTTCACAATAAACGACAACTTGGACCACCAAACCCTGCAGCCATAGCCGGCTGCATGAGTCACTCCACAACAGTCGGGAGTATCAAATTTTTCAATGCACCTTTAAGATCAGCACACTAAATCAAAAATACATTATACTTTGCAGCGGTCATCCGGAGCGAAACATTTTATATTTTAGGCCACTGAATAGTAGTGATGATTGGCTGGGTGATGGGGCAATGGTTGCCATGTGATAAGTGTGACGGGTTGCTAGGATAACAGTTGCAAGGTGTGATAACTGGTTGCTATGTGATGGGTGGCTAGTTGCTAGGTGATGGGTGACTGGTTGCTAGGTGACAGGATAAGCGGCCATCACATGGCGCTGCAATGTGAATGTGGAGGACGCGAATGCGGAGCCGAGCGCGCGTGGGCGCCAGGAGGCGCGAATCTGACGACAGCGAAACGGAACCCGACTGGCGTCCAGAGCTCGCGAACAACGGCGACTCCCGGGGAAGAGAGAGAGACGAGGTGGGTGAGGAGAGGTGAGGTGGGTGAGGAGAGGTGAGGAGGATGAGGAGAGGTGAGGAGGATGAGGAGAGGTGAGGTGGGTGAGGAGAGACGAGGTGGGTGAGGAGAGGTGAGGTGAGACGAGGTGGGTGAGGAGAGACGAGGTGGGTGAGGAGAGACGAGGTGGGTGAGGAGAGGTGAGGTGGGTGAGGAGAAACGAGGTGGGTGAGGAGAGGAGAGGTGAGGTGAGACGAGGTGGGTGAGGAGAGGTGAGGTGAGACGAGGTGGGTGAGGAGAGGTGAGGTGAGTGAGGAGAGGTGAGGTGAGACGAGGTGGGTGAGGAGAGGTGAGGTGGGTGAGGAGAGACGAGGTGGGTGAGGAGAGACGAGGTGGGTAAGGAGAGACGAGGTGGGTGAGGTGGGTGAGGAGAGACGAGGTGGGTGAGGAGAGGTGAGGGTGAGGAGAGACGAGGTGGGTGAGGAGAGGTGAGGAGGGTGAGGAGAGACGAGGTGGGTGAGGAGAGGTGAGGTGAGACGAGGTGGGTGAGGAGAGACGAGGTGGGTGAGGAGAGACGAGGTGGGTGAGGAGAGGTGAGGTGGGTGAGGAGAGGCGAGGTGGGTGAGGAGAGACGAGGTGGGTGAGGAGAGACGGGGTGGGTGAGGAGAGACGGGGTGGGTGAGGAGAGACGGGGTGGGTGAGGAGAGGTGAGGAGAGACGAGGTGGGTGAGGAGAGGCGAGGTGGGTGAGGAGAGACGAGGTGGGTGAGGAGAGACGAGGTGGGTGAGGAGAGACGAGGTGGGTGAGGAGAGACGGGGTGGGTGAGGAGAGACGGGGTGGGTGAGGAGAGGTGAGGAGAGACGAGGTGGGTGAGGTGAGACGAGGTGGGTGAGGTGAGGTGAGACGAGGTGGGTGAGGAGAGGTGAGGTGGGTGAGGAGAGGTGAGGAGAGACGGGGTAGGTGAGGAGAGACGAGACGGGGTGAGTGAGGAGAGACGGGGTGGGTGAGGAGAGACGAGGTGGGTGAGGAGAGACGAGGTGGGTGAGGAGAGGTGAGGAGAGACGAGGTGGGTGAGAAGTGAGGGGAGACGAGGTGGGTTAGACAAAGTGGGTGGGGAGAGACGAGGTGAGGAGAGACGAGGTGAGGAGAGACGAAGTGAGGAGAGACGAGGTGAGGAGAGACGAGGTGAGGTGAGACGAGGTGGGGAGAAACAATGGGAGCAGTTACGAGGTGGGGAGAGACGAGGTGACGAGAGCGCAGGTGACGAGCAGAGAGATTAGGTGAGAACATACGATAGAGAGGTGAGCAGGGGAAAGAAAGAGGTGACAAAGAGGTCGGATATAGAGGACGAGGAGGTGAAGTGAGGAGGGGATAAGGTGCGTTGGGAAGAGGCAAGGTGACGAGTGTAGAAGAGGTGGCTAGTGGAGAAGAGACGAGGTGGAGAGGGGAGGAAAACCGAGAGGAGAGACAATAGAAAGAACAAAACCGGGCCACGGAATCGCCTCTCGCCAGGTCCGGGTGAGCGACTTCATTAACAACAACAACAACCACCACCCTCTCTCTCTCTCACCATCGTGCTGTTATCGCCATCACGACCCTCGCAATATTACCACCACCATCATCATCACCATCGCAACGACCCTCTTCACTCTCGACTGTGTCCCGTGTGGTAATTCGCTGCTTAATGCGGTACAGAGGCGTGCGCCGGCTTGGATAGATTCATTCCACGCACAGCGTTGGGGTTTTTTTGTTGTTGTTTAGCCCGCGCGTATCGGCTTCGCTGCTCGCGTGTTTATTCTATAGACTGTAGATGCAATCGTAGGCAGAAGAAAACGTGGCGGTCTTGATCCTGGGCTTGAACAGGGACGGGTAAGGGGAGCCGACAGCACGGATGACTTGGGGAAGGGAGCAGAGGAGAATGAGCGACCTCCCACTGAGCGAAGGGTGATCCGGGACTGGAGAGTGCGTGGAGGGGAGTAGCGTGAGGTGAGCTGGGACAGTGCGTGGAGTAGAGTGAGGTGAGAGAGCTGGGAGAGTGCGTGGAGTAGAGTGAGGTGAGGGGAGAGAGCGTGGAGTAGAGTGAGGTGAGAGGGCTGGGAGAGTGCGTGGAGTAGAGTGAGGTGAGAGGAGAGAGCCGGGAGAGAGCGTGGAGTAGAGTGAGGTGAGAGGGCTGGGAGAGAGCGTGGAGTAGAGTGAGGTGAGAGGGCTGGGAGAGTGCGTGGAGTAGAGTGAGGTGAGAGGAGAGAGCCGGGAGAGAGCGTGGAGTAGAGTGAGGTGAGAGGGCTGGGAGAGAGCGTGGAGTAGAGTGAGGTGAGAGGGCTGGGAGAGTCCGTGGAGTAGAGTGAGAGGAGAGAGCCGGGAGAGTCCGTGGAGGGGGGAGTAGAATGAGGTGAGAGAGCTGGGAGTGCGCGTGCAATGCCGGGAATGCTCTGCCAACCTTCCTTTGCGGGAACCTGAAGGCAATGCCTGCACCGACATGCCCCCCCTGCCCCCCAATATGGGGCGGGGGCAGCGGGGGCAGAGCCGCGAGTGGAAAGGCACGGGGACGAGGCGAGACGTGGCCCGGTGCGAGACGTGGCCCGGTGCGAGACGTGGCCCGGCATTCCCAGTGCATTCATTGTACGGTAATAAGAACTGGCATTGCCAGCCGTGGAATGGAGAGGGACGTGGGTATCTGATGGGATGCAGTACCATTTGGATTTAGATAGCGGATGAATGAAAGTGAGGCCCCATTTCAACGCACTGCGCATATACAGCGAGCGTATTTATTATGGAGGAGAAGGCAGCCCAGCCATAGGCTGAGGAAACTTCTAAAAGAGAAGCGGATGGGTCAGTGGGCTTTACCTGCTAAGATAAAAATAGTTTAGTTTTACAGTGTTTGTATATTTTAAGTGATTTGTTGACCTTTCCTATACTTTGCACTCCTATCGTGTTTATGTATTGCTTGTTGTAACGTTCTGACCCCGTGCACCTACTAGACACGGGTAGAAAAGAGCTTTATAGCTCATCGGATTCCTCCTGCAGAATAAATGCATTGATTGTGATTCTGAACTAGGAAGGTCTTGAGCCTGTACATGGAACATGGGCAAAGAGTCAATTGCACGGACTGCTGGGGGAAGGAGAATGCGACCTGCCACTGGCCAAAGATTAAAGGCTTCAAAATAAAATCATGGGTATCTGGAGTGGAGAGTACTTGCAGGGGAGTATAATGTGATGAAAGGGGAGAGGGTCCCCTATTTAGGAAGGGGGGCTCCACTGATTGCAACAGCTACCGGAGCATCTCCCTCCTAAATGTGTGACAAGAATGGTCCTGGCACGGATTATTCAACATTGTCGTGCTAGGTGGCACACTGAGGAGAGGCTCGCGAATCCCCAACTTGTCTTCAGACCGGGGCAGTTTTACACATATGCCATATTCTCTCAATCTGCTACATCAGAGATGTAAGGAATTTCAACTGTGCCTATTTCTCTGCTTTATTCAACTGGTCAATGCCCATGATGCCATCAATAGGCCTGGCCTTTTGGTTATTCTTCATGCTTTCATGATCCCTGACCCTCTGCTCACAATCATGAATGACCCTCGTGCTGGTAGGTAGGCCTTGACAAAGCTGCAATGGCCTGGAGTCATTTCCTGTTCACCTTGGGGAATTGCAACAGAGATGTGATTTGGCCCCTACACTTACATTTTTTTTACATAGTTTGAGGAGCTGTCCTTGGCTGTACCCGAGGAATATTCGTCTGGTACAGATACAATGGGAGGCCAATTTATGTTCGGGTGCAGTGAAGGGATTGCTTGCTTTTGGTCAACCATGTTATATATACTGTTGATGTGCTCACTCTGTAGAGTCTACTGCTGAACCTGGAGCATGCCACTAAGAGATGAGGCTTTATCAGCAGTCCCACCAAAACAAAGACAATTGCCTGGGTATTTTATGCCATCAAATATTATACCCCCTTCAACTCCCCATGAGTTATGGGGCAGTTGTAGAGAGTGGAGAAGTTTCCATAGTTGGGCAGTGTGCATATGACCAGCTCCGGTTTTCCATCGGAGGTCTCACTGCGAATCAGTGAAGCAGCATTATGTTTTCATTAGCTGTGCAACGCTGTGGGGAAGCTACCTGGCCTTTCGCTCCATACAAAGCTCTGCATATTCTCGGCCAGGTGTGTCCTCCCTTCTCTATGCTAGTGAAACGTGGACCCATTTAAAGGAACATCTGAGCCAGTTTGAAACATTCACTTAATCAGTCCAAGATTTCTAATGCACCATATTCAGCAAAAAAGCTGATACAGATGCTGGCTGCCTACTGTCTGTCCTGGGATTAATCAGGCTGGATTGTGTGAGAAGCTCACAGATCCTTGAAAGAAATGCACATAGTCCCATCAGTGAGCTCCTCCAGCAGGTGAGGCTGCGTTGGCCAGGTCATGTAGCTCAATTGCCCAGCCACCGAATTTCCAAGCAGTTAGGGTACGAGCTATAGAGGAAATGTGTTTATGTGGTACAGGAGCATGTTATTGAACTTGCCAAATACTGTTAACAGCAGTGTCAGATTGGAAGGATGCTCGTGAAGGACTCTGCTGGGCAGTTGGAGACACTCGCCCTCCAACACTCGCCCTCCAACAATAGCGGAGGGCGGAGGATTGACACAACAATGCGCAGGGTATCGGGCGGATAAAACACAGCAAGTTGACACAGTGGGGAGAACGGGTGGTGCATATGCCAGTCATCTCAGCCAGTTAACCTATAACCACTAGGTCTGACCTGTTACCTCCTGTCAGAAGGTTTTCTACACTTCATGTGGTCTCAAAGTGCATCAAGCCTGGCATCAGTGCAATGGTGACATCACCGCCACTTCACGAATGGCGGCTGTTGTTTAGGTCGGAGGGTATGTGGAGGGGAGTAGAGTGAGATGAGAGGTAGCAGAATGCGTGGAGGGGAGTAGCGAGAGATGAGAGGGGATCGTTAGGTATTGAGGAGGACCAGAGCACAAAAATACTTGTTCTGTGTACCTACCTGTTAATGATGCCATTCACTGTAAATCACTTTTCTACTTTACATTTTTTTAGTAGGTGTTCCAACCGTGATGAGTGGGGGATGTATGTACTCTATGTTTGTTGGACTTCTTTCACACTGTATGCAGTCAACCGTGCTAATCGGAGGTGCGGGGTTCTTGCCGTCAGTGCAAATCCCTGACGTTCAGATGCTTTATGGGGATGTGCAGTATTTCACAGTGTGTTTAGGCTTAATAATGTATAAGTAATCCCTTGCAAAGGAAGACAGCTGTGGTTTCTCACATGGCGATAATTAAAACGTGTATGCTCTTGGTAACTCGGATGGTAACTGGAAGCAGTGGTAACTGCCAGAGGTGAGATGGTGAGCCACGCACTCCCTCCTCGCGTACACACACACGCGCGTGTGCACCCAGGCAGCAGACTCACAGTGATGCCTGCATGCACACACGAATCGCACCTCCGATTTGCCCGGTTGGCTATGTACGGTGCGAAAGAAGTTCAGCGTGCATACAGACTCGTGTGCCTGGCTCGTGCGCGCTGCTACATTTGGCTGCCAAGGTTTCGGAGCGAAACACGTCCCTGACATGACATCATCACTGTGTGACTGCTGATTGTATTTTAGATTCGATGAATGGGGTTGCTGTTGCTTCACCAAATGCCAGAGGCGCACAATGAATTTCCCAACGCGTTCTGCTTGCCGTTTTCTCACCAGTGATGTTTGCATATGGCACCAGGTGCTCGTTTAAGGCTTCGATGTCTCAGGGGATGCTCAAAACCGCTTCAGATATCCTTAACTGATGTTGGCCGTGGCCGGGAATCGAACTCGGGTCGCTAACCATTATTGAGCAGTCGCGGTTTCATACACACACACACACGGACACTCTTGCAGGTGGTAGTTGTTTTCCCAGCAGAGGCACAATTCTCCTGATTAGCAACAGGCCAGCTGCCGAACAGCCACCGGCCTCCACAGTATAGTACCACTGAGATCTCAAGCCGCTATGGCCATGACTGATGGTGGTAGTGGCATGCTTTTGCATTGGGACTTTCCACGGCCGAGGGTGTTTTTACATATGCAGTCAAGACACACTTACATGCCCCTAAACTCATGATATCTCAGAAGCCAAGGAAGAATGAGCCTGGTTAATAGACTCCCTGGAAATACCAGATGGTCCAGGAGGTGGTCGTATACAGCAGTGGATTGTTACATCTAAAAGCTATGCTATGCAGCGCAGTTCTGTATTCGCACAGCCACAGCAGGTGCCGGGGGGTGGCGGGCGATGTGGGCAGATGTGGTGATGGAGAGCCCTTAGGCCAGTCTTGTGCAGCTGTTTTACAATCATCCTTATTATTGCACTTGTTTATCCAGGAAAGCCTCGCTGGATCTCGAGACTTCTTCAGGAGGGTCCTTCCAAGTTGGGAGCATTGTTGCAGTGTGTGTAATGCCAATGAGTAATCTGCAGTGTAATTTTTAAGCATTGTGAAAATATATTGCATGTTTTTTTTCCGCTACGGAAGGAAATAAAGCGAACCCGGAGGTAAAACCCATGCATAACAGGGGGAAGGCATAAAAATGTTGCGCAGAAAGGCGCCCGAGTCGGGAATCGAACCGAGGTCCTTCTTGTTTGTGAGGCGAAAGTGCTATGACTGCGCCACTACCCTCCCGCCGTCATTTTATAATTTTATAGAATCACACCCTGGTGATTGTTATGTCAATCACAGCAGTTCACGGTGTGTTAGCTGGATCTTTGTTGGAGTTTGAGTCGTGTATTTCGGATCGTTAGACTTGAGTCTAGGTTTAGAATTGGGGGTTGAGGCAGGGTCTGAATGAACATTTGTTTTACGTTCTGGACTGAGGTGACTAGTCATGAACATGTTTGAAAGAGCATTACTCTTTGTGTAAGCAGGGTTATATAGTATTTAATTTGAAATGATGAAATCCCCTGCCTACGATTTCACACATTATCACATTTGCACAATGTGTCTTAGGGAGTGCGATATTAATGAGATCCATCACAGGCGCTCTTTATTACGGACTATCACGTTGTGCAGCGGCGGCCGCATGGAAGGAAGGTGACAATTACGGCAGTGACTTGTCGCCTGGAGGGAGGGTGCCTTCTCCGCTGGGGCGTGTGATGACGACTCCGATCAACCCTCCTAGGTGGTCAGGCGACTCGGTGATATCATTGGTCATCGCTACCAATGCAGTTTGCCCCCCTTGGGTGGCGGTAATATTTGTGCCGACATTAAGCGGTTCAGGTGCCACCTCGGTTGCACATGCATGGACACAGAGCAGGCGGGAGTGCGTTGAGCCTGACCTGCTGCCCCACAGGCACAGAGACGTGGACAGAGGCGTGCAGGGTTGTGAGTGAGCAGGCAGGGAGGCTGGGTGAGCGGCTCTTGTGTTGAAATGTCACGCGCTTCCGTTTGGCTGCCCCCACCGTGGTGAGCGGAGCATGCTAATTCTCTTCCGTGGCACCGGACCTCACAGGCACCGTCTCCTGGGTTCATTTTAATGTGATGCAGGTCTGCTGCATGCATCCACCTGGCCGGCGGTCGTGAATTCTGGACGCCGTTCCGATTAAAGTTGCCAATTCGTGCATTGTTTCGGTCAGGCATTTATTTAGCGGCAGATACTGCGCAGCCTTCCAGAGAGAATAGCGCTCGCGTGCGAAAACCCGGCATCCCCTACACGTCACCAGCGCACGAGCGGTGCAGGAGCACCCGAGAAGAAGTGGGTTATCCGAGGCTGCATCGACAGAACGCGCGCGCGCGCACACACACACACACACCCCGTGCCGTGACCGGAATGCGTAATCATTGTTTTTCGTACACAGTGCTCGCTCGCTGTCGCGTTTATTTCTATGCCGCGTTTCGGGAACGCTCTGCGCGCCGCTTGCTCGCTCTGCACACGGCGCTTCCTGCATAGCAGCAACAGCAGCAGCAGCTTTGTCCGCATTCCCGGCCGCCTGTCGCCTGCCCGGGCAGCGTGAGCGCTGCAGCTCCCGCCGCCCCAGTTGCCTGCATCTCCAGATCGGCCAGCGGACTTGGCACTCGTCCATCGGCTTCACAGTGCCTGTTTTGTGCAGGTCGGGTGGTGAGCTCGGGCAAGCACACTATGCTCTTGTGAGACGATGGTAATTTGTGTAATGTTCATCACGGAAGAATGCAACGTGTGTAATTCATGCAGCAGAATGCGTATCGTGTACAGCGTTCGATGGGTGCAGTGCCAAGGATTCGATCCGCGTTAACTCCTGAAATGTAATATTTGCGAGCCAAGATTAAATGTGAAATCGCCATGGTTCTCTGGGTACGCTTCCAGGGCTTAATTGGTGCTGCGTGGCAGGGGGTCGCGGCGTGCGCTCAGCCCTTGTTTAATTGGCCACGTGCAGGTTGAGGTGCGTCGTGTAACAGTGTAAATCCCCGCTCGTCGTCCTGGCCGCTCGAGTCATGGAGCAGGTGGTGGCGATGCCTATTTCACTCATGTTATTGCCTAGGTAAGCCGGTGCTGCTGTGGCCTCAGTGTGGCTTCCCCTCGTGCAGGGATTTCGCCGTGCGTCACGCTCCGGTACCGACGATGTGCATGCAGGTGCCGAGGCAGCCTGGCCCGCGTCCTCTCTGACGCTCGATCGTGGTCCTGTGATGATAGTGCAAGTGGCATTTGCGTCACACCCGGGCTTAATGAATGGCGTGAGGGCCCCCTCGCTGAGCGTACACGTGTACGCGTGTCGCGGGCGCTCACCTAACCCTATGGATCTGGCTCAAGCCCAGGTCTGCCTGGCAAGGAGCCAAGCTCCATTACACCTAATGGGGCATAACTATCCTGGGTTCGTGCTAGAGCCGGTCGAGCGAGTTACATCCCCACCACGCCCGTGCTCGCTCACTCACTCACTCATTCGCTCCACACCCTCGCAAGCATGGATGACGGGCTGCAGACGAGGAGAGCTAAACTAAAGTCGCACAAGTCTGTTGGTACGGCCCTCTTCTTCCCGCGCGTCTCTCTTGGCTGTGGGCTCGGAACCCAGCCCAGGTACCAGTCGGTGGCGATGGCCGGAGGGACGCGGTTTGGGAGGACGCTGTCCCAAGAGGTCGCCGCCTCGTCCCCCCGTGTCTTGTCGCTGCTTTTACTTCGGGTGTCATCGTGGCAACGCCAGTGTCCGGCCAGAAAACCCCACGGTAGAGTTTATTTTTTAAAGCCGTTCTCGTTTTAAACAGTTCCAGAGCTTGTCCACACCTGGAACCATTTTGTTGTCATTGGTGGTTTGCAAGTGTGAAAATTTGGTTCATGATTTTAAACCAGCGTTATTAAGGAAGTAAAATGTGACACATCCTGGAAATTTCTTTCCACCTCCTCTAGCTGGGGGAATCTGTTTTTTGAGGGCGGTTTTGTGGGTGTTATGGGTGCTGTTCTACTCGAGTTATGGTGTGTGGATGTAGGGACACCTGGTTGGGGTTCGGTTGTGTTGGTGTGTGTGTGTAGGGACGTGGTTGGGTCTCGGTTGTGTGGGTGTAGGGACTCGTGGTTGGGGTTCGGTTGTGTTGGTGTGTGTGGGTGTAGGGACTCGTGGTTGGGCTTCGGTTGTGTTGGTGTGTGTGGGTGTAGGGTCTCGTGGTTGGGGTTCGGTTGTGTTGGTGCTTGTGGGTATAGGGCCAGTTGGAGTGTGGATGCTGGGGTTGTCGTTCTGGGCTACGATTAGAGTGGACGGGCATTCAGGACACTTGGGGTCAGTGCCCGGTGCCAACCACGTTACTTGTGAGCGGCTTCGCCTCTGCGATTGCAAGAAGTGTGAGCTCAGGGCTGCGTTGACGATGCTGCCCTCACCGTGTCACCTTGTGTGGCTCCCACCCAGACCTTCACCTCGTGTCTCATCCCAGTGTAGCTGAGATCCAGTCTGGGGTAGCAGGGAGGTATCTATCTTCTTTTGCCACTTTCTTTTCTCGTGCACAGGAAAGCCACAAAATCACTCTCGTTGCGTCTCAGCGTGCCATGTAAACAGTTGTTTGGCTGCTGAGTGTCATTTACACATTTCACATTCAAGATTATATTCCCTTGTATTTGGGGGGTGACATGGCTGAGCGGGCGCGCGGTTGCTGCTTGCTGCAGGCCGTCCAGGTTAGTAGTGGGTGTATTTATGGTTAAGTACTCCCCCCGGCCAACTGCTTCACGGTGGATATTAAAGATCCCGGAGTCACGGCACAACATGCTAAAATTTGAAAACTTGCTTGTAAGTTACTCGATTGGGAAAGGGAATGGCAATCATCATCACTTGGCAGGACCCTCTTAAAAAGATTCATGAGACTTAGCACGCCGTAAATAAGCACAATAGTTAAGAATAATGACAACTATTCCCAGAATAGTGAGTCTGTGTACTTGCGAGTGATGCGAGTTGCTCGTTTGGTGAGCGAAGCCAGGCGTGGCCGTGTGACCACACCTGGCAAACCCTGAGTGCGCACTGCATGCCAGCGCCCTTGGACTTTGCCTACAACTTCCTCATTCAGCAATGTTCCATTTTTAGATCTACAGTTTTGCATCATAAAGGGAAGTGTTGCACCTGAATATTTTTTTTCTCGGGAGAAGCTACAAGCTGAGCGCCGCCTGGGCAGTGGAGCGTCCGCTGCGAAGTGGACTCTCCCTTGTGCGTCGTGCCGCCTAGTCATTTCCTTGTGATGCCGAAGACTGGGGGAAGTGCGGGTCTGTGATAGTTGCCATGCTCTGTCCTCCAGCAGGAGCAGCGGCGAGGGCCAGCTGGGTCGTGCGATCGGTAAGCACACGCCGAGACGCAGCAGCTGCCACAACCCAGCCGCCCGCCACCACTACACCCTTGTCTCACGGGCACCACCAACATTTGGTCAGTGTCAACCACGGCACCGTCACTCTCTCAGTGTCAACCACAGCACCGTCACTCTCTCAGTGTCAACCACAACACCGTCACTCTCTCAGTGTCAACTACAACACCGTCACTCTCTCAGTGTCAACCACAACACCGTCACTCTCTCAGTGTCAACTACAACACCGTCTCTCTCTCAGTGTCAACCACAACACCGTCTCTCTCTCAGTGTCAACCACAACACCGTCACTCTCTCAGTGTCAACCACAACACCGTCACTCTCTCAGTGTCAACTACAACACTGTCACTCTCTCAGTGTCAACCACAACACCGTCACTCTCTCAGTGTCAACTACAGCACCGTCACTCTCTCAGTGTTTTCCACAACACCGTCACTCTCTCAGTGTCAACCACAGCACCGTCACTCTCTCAGTGTCAACCACAACACCGTCACTCTCTCAGTGGTAACCACAGCACCGTCACTCAGTGTCAACCACAACACCGTCACTCTCTCAGTGTCAACTACAGCACCGTCACTCTCTCAGTGTCAACCACAACACCGTCACTCTCTCAGTGTCAACCACAACACCGTCACTCTCTCAGTGTCAACCACAACACCGTCACTCTCTGTGTCAACCACAGAACCGTCACTCTCTGTGTCAACTACAGCACCGTCACTCTGTCAGTGTCAACCACAGCACCGTCACTCTCTGTGTCAACCACAACACCGTCACTCAGTGTCAACCACTGCACCGTCACTCTCTCAGTGTCAACCACAACACCACCATCACTATCCAGGTGTGACCTGCAACACAATCACGCTACTTCTTGTCAACCACCATTACTCATATCGTGGCCGGGCTGAGACTATCAACTCTCCGCACTTGAGAATCCAGCTTTTTCATGGCTGGCTGCTCGGATTTGATGTCAGCAGTGCCAGCTCTGTCCCTCTTCATTCTGAGCCACCCTACCACCCCTACCACCCCCACTGGTGGTGAGTTGTTGAATGTGTGATGCTCGTACATCACTGACACGGCAGACCCCAACATTTTTTGATAACATACAATAACGTTCAACATTTGGGTTTTATTTATCATCTTAGAAACAACAGCAAAGGTTGATGATGGGCTTCGATGTAAATCCTTGCTTGCTGGATTAGATAATGCGTGGAGGAGATTGCTTGGGGGGGGAGAGTGCGTGGAGGGGAGTAGACTTGTTTTTTTCATCATTATTACTACGCTTGTTTATCAAGCAAATCCTCATTTAGGTTTAGAGACTGAATGAGGGTACTGCTAATTTTTACAAGGCTTGGGGGTTGTCAATTTCCATGCGTTTTCCAGTTAAGTCATTTGCTAGTAATTTTCAAGTTTGAACCATGACACCGACACACAGTGGCCTACTACTCTTCTTCAAACGACATCGTGGGATCCTGAACGTCCACTGTGAAGCGGATGGTGCGTAGCAGTTAGCGAGTAATACACCCACAAGATTAGCCGGCCCCGTGGCTCAGTGCTAAAGTTGAGCAGCTCACAATCAGAAGGTTGTGAGTTCAAACACTGGTCACAGGTTGACTCAGCTCATCATCCCTCCCGGGGTGGATAAAATAAGAATAAAATACTTTTTTAGGAAGTGAACAGTGGTTTGCCTATGGATAGACTCGTCCCTGCCATAGGAATGAGGAATATCCACGACTGGTTCAGGGCTGAAACAAGGAGATCAGTCAATCTTAATTGTGTGTGCCAACATCGCCCTGAATAAAATAGTGCATCGGTGCAACATTACGAATAGCATGATAAAAAAAGTAGCGAATAAATGACAAAGAAACAGTATTGAGAATAGGTTTTCCCCTTTTTTATGACAACAAAACAGGTGTTAAGATGTTAAAACATCAAACTGAAAACTTTTACAAGGAATCATGTCTGTATTAACCACAATACTTGTGGTCAGAATGCAAACAAAAAACGTACTCTGATAATATATGCATTGTCTTTGAAACTGATTGGTCCACACCAGGGACAGCTTTCTTTTGAGCCTAGTCTCAAAACGGTGTTAGACCAGAGGATGCCTTTTGGCCAAACACCGTTTTGAGACTAGACTCAAAAGAAAGCTGTCTCTGGTGTGGACCAGTCAGTTTCAAGGACAATGCATATATTATCAGAGTATGTTTTTTGTTTGCATTCTGACCACAAGTATTGTGGTTAATGCAGACATGATTCCTTGTAAAAGGTTTCAGTTTGGTGTTTTAGCATCTTAACACAGCTGTTTTGTTGCCAGAAAAAAGGGGAAAACCTATTCTCATATTTTGGTACTGGCAAAGGAAGTCCCATGATTTCGAAACAGGATTGTTTTTTTCCCCTTTTTACATTTTTTTATTTATGAGAAGGCGAGTCTGAACAGGTGCGTCTTGCACAGACCACTGAATTGAGAGACTCGGTGCGTTTCAAATGTCCGGTGGCAGGCCGGGTGGTGTTCCAGATTTTTTGGGGCTGCGCTCGAGAAGGCTCGTCCATCCTGAACTGATGAATACATGCTCACTTGAGCGAGCGAATCACTTTGACTATGAGCATCAATCGGAACGGCCTTCCAGCTTTGAACCGCATACTTTTGCAACGAGCGGCGAACACGCTACCACTGGGCCATGCCACCACCCCTTGTGAGTTTGCACAGCCCGGTTGTTGCTGCTGCGGTGGTTGCCGCGCTGCCGCGTTCGATTGTAACTCCGCGGCACTGCCGGGCCGGGCCCCGACAGGACATGACGGAGAGCGGCGGGCACACGGCGGTGGTGCGTGCGCGCTTCGACTTCCAACGCAACAACGAGGATGAACTGTCGTTCAGCAAGGGCGACGTCATCACGGTGACGCGTCCTGAGGACGGGGGCTGGTGGGAGGGCACGCTCGGTGGCCGCTCCGGCTGGTTCCCCAGCAACTACGTGCGTGAGCTCAAGGGCAACGGTGAGCGGCGCCGTCCGCACGTTGCGTGCGGGGGGCCAAGTCCTCGTGTGCCCTGAGTGGTGACGCCGATTTCGCACGCACCGCCTGCCCAGTGGCTCGGCCGTAGAGTGGGCAGCTCGCGGTCGAGTTCAAATCCTGGTTGGGGGGTTGACTCGGCTTATCGTCATCATCCTTCTGGGACAGATAAAACGAGTCCCACTTTGTGGAAAACAGTGGTTGTTGTATAGATGCACGTTCCCCCCGCCATAGAAATGTTCAATTTAACCACTGGCTCAGTACTATTAATAAGAGATGAACACCACCTCAATGCTCATTTGAATCGGAAATAACTTCGATTCTGCACTGCTGGGAGATTGATATACTCGTGTGAGTTTGATCAGAGGAATAAGCCTAAGGATGTTTGAGATCCTTGGTCACAAATGGTGCTGCCTTGTTCTTGTGCATTAAGAACTCACATTTTTTTACACAAGATTAAGTTGATTTAACCAGGAAGTCCTCACTGAGTCAAGACGTTTTCAGGAGGATTCTGCGTTGGATGTTTGTCCGGTTGAATTTGCTAATAGACACAAGAGCTCATTCCCTGATTCATATTTTTGTCATGTTTAGTCCAAAAGTAAAAAATGATAAAATTTGAAAGCACAACACCACGTTTGATTTCATGTTTTCTGGCTGCCTTAAGCTAAATTGTTTATACTTTGACATTTCATGTAATCTTCCCAATTCTCTCTCCTTATCTAATGGAGTCGCCTTCCTTATCAGAAATCACATTATATTTCTGGCATACTTAAAAAGACTATAATTTGCGGGTGTAATTTACCTTGTTACTTTGCCTTTTTATTAAAATATTGTTACATTTTGCCTCTATTTGTTACAAAGAGCACACAATGCGACTCTGTCATGTGTCTGTCTCTACATATAATAAATAAAAAATATCCTTTCAAAGATCCATTCGCCTCACAACTTCCTGGGAGTGCATAACTTCAGCGGCATTGATCCAGGATGAGCATTTGTACGGTTGGTAGATGTAACCTAGGTCACCCTTGCAAAAGAGGCAGTGGAATTTCGTGTATCTCAGCGGATTTATATCATCTCCGAGCTCATTAAAGGAGACCCACTTGGCTAAAACTTTTCCTCGAACACTTGATTTTCAGAAAGACCTACGTCGCCCAAATCGAAAAGTTCTGGCAAGAGCGTGGACAGCCCGATCTCCAACAAGGGCTACTACAATGTGGTATGTCTCTCGTCCCTCCTGGATACTTTAATCCAGCAGCCAGGGCTGAAGGTTCGCAGAGATACAACAACAGCTGAGTGGAGCGCGTACCCCCATTCCACAGGTGCTGCAGAATATCGTGGAGACGGAGCGCGAGTACTGGCGAGAGCTGCAGCACCTCCTCGGCACCTTCTTGAGGCCGCTGCACAACTCCGACAAGTAACTCGCACCTTGTTGCTGAGCGTACCCTGCGTGTGAGAGCGCAGGAGCGTGTGAGGGTGACAAATGCAGACGTGCTCTGTGCCACCCTTCATAGGCGCTCGCTAACAGTGCTTTGCCTAACAGTCCGTTTAGGCCACGCGAGGATCTTTAACCTGATAGAGCGGCCCTCACGTGCCGGGTGCAGGCTCTCTGCCACGGATGTGTCCACGCTGATGGGAAACCTGGAGGACGTGTGCGCCTTCCAGCAGGGCCTGATGCAGGCCCTTGAGGACTGTACCAAGTGAGTCTTTCTTACATGTGGAATTTAAAAGCAGTGGGCTTGGTTTATAACTTTGTGAGTCGAGTTTGGAGGAGCCATTAAGTTGCGTCTGTTGCCAAATGAATTCCGTTTGGTGTACCGTAGTGGGTGTAGATCTGTGTGTGTAGCTCCTCGTGTTTGTATTCCCACAGGGTGCCAGAGTCCCAGCAGACAGTGGGCGGCTGCTTCATGTCCCTAATGAATCAGATGCATGGCCTCTACCTGGCGTACTGCTGCAACCACCCCTGGGCCGTGCGCACCCTCCAGGAGCACAGGTGGACCTGCCATCAACCCAGTCCCTATCCCAGTCACTATCACAGCCCATGTCCCTATCCCAGCCCCCTATCCCTAAGTCAGCACCTATCCCTATCCCAGCCTAAATCACTATCCCAGCCCCTATCGCAGGCCCTATCCGAAACCCATCCCCTATCCCTATCCCAGCTCCTATCACTATCCCAGCCCTTATCACTATCCCAGCCTCTATCCCTATCCCAGCTCCTATCAATATCCCAGCCCTTATCACTATCCCAGCCTCTATCCCTAACTCAGCTCTTATCCCTATCCCAGTCCCTATCACTATCTCAGCCTCTATCCCTAACTCAGCTCTTATCCCTATCCCAGTCCTTATCACTATCCCAACCTCTATCACTATTGCAGCCGCTACCTCAGGCCCTATCCGTAACCCATCCCCTAGCCTTAACTCAGCTCCTTTCCCTTACCCATGTTGAACACCCATATTGAACACCCACGTTCCTGATGGCCCACACTGACTGCTGCGGTGCATGGCCGTGTCCGTATGTGACAGTGAGGTGCTGGGAGAGTTCATGGAGAGCAAAGGTGTGAGCAGCCCTGGCCTGCTCATGCTCACCACCAGCCTGAGCAAGCCCTTCATGCGCCTCGACAAGTACCCGACCCTGCTGAAGGAGTTGGAAAGGCACATGGAGGTGGTGATGATGATGATGATGATTTTGTATGGCCAGTGAATATCAACGATTATAGATAAAGTTTTTATTCTTTGGGTCTTCCGGTAAAGCCACGTAGATAGAAAAAAATATAAAAATATCACGACGTTTCGATTGCAACGCAAGCAATCGTTATCAGGTGAAAAAATAGCGAGAGAGCTGCTGAGGCAGGATGTTATAAAGGTTTGAGATGGTTGTAGCCCAAGGGTCATAAGCGAAGTGGGCGGGGCTAGTGAAGAAATTTGCATGTAAATGTGAGATCGGAGAGAGCTGGGAAACCTCCACGACGACAAAGCTGTGGAGGTGGCCTTTGTATTGTGAGAGATTAGCATGTCAATGTAAGATCTTAGAGCCACCGCCACATCAAGGAAAACGAGCAACGGTGGCTGTGTTAGTGAGACATTTAACCTATTAATGTAAAGGCATTTAACCTGTTAATGTAACACCAGAGAGTCGAAAATAACTACTAAACATCACAGCCAGTTATGACTTAACCTGGTTAATAACGTCATTCCAATGATTGCTCAGTTTGTACCCATCTTCTCGGTTGAAATTGTGTCTTTGTTTATATATCTAGATGGCTTCATGAACGAATCTTTGCTGATAGCCAGTGGGTTTGCAGAGTACCTTCATCTTGGAAAAATATATTTCGTGTGTGCCCACAGCATTAAAACAATGATCAGCCACGGCTGAGGTATTGGTCCTACCGTGTTTCAGATCTGCCTTATGTTCACGAACACGGTCCGAGACACGTCGCTTAGTTTCCCCAATGTAACTACTGCCGCAGACACAGCTTAGTTTTCAGATGCCGGGGTATTGCATGTCAGGGATCACATCCTTCACAGATGGGATCAGATCACAAATTTTATGTACTGTGTTGAATCGAACCAGGATCTTGTGTTTGCTCAAAATCATTTTGGTAACCCCTGCTAGGTATGGCAAGGTGATGATTTTATTGGTTCTTCAGATGGTTCTTTCCCAACGGTTGGAGTGATAGCTTTACAGATTGTGTAGTCTGAATATCCATTCATTTTGAGGGCTTGGTGTACATGTTCCAGTTCACTGGCTAGGTGGTGATGGTCAGAAATACATCGAGCTCTATGGTGTAGAGTTTTGATGAGGGAATTCTTCTGGGATGGATGGTGGTGGGAGTCAGGTTTTAGGTAGGCATCCATATGGGTGGCTTTCCTGTAGACAGTGTCGTATTGAGTCATCAGGTCGCTTTTCGATTAAAACATCCAACAATGATAACATGCCATCCTTTTCCACCTCCATGGTGAATTTGAAGAATTGGTCCAGAGCTGGTAGGCCATGTGGCCAGATGACGAACGTGTCATCTACGTACCTCTTCCAAAAGGAAGGACGTAGGGTGGATGCCTGGATGGCATCTGTCTCAAATCTTTCCATGAAAATATTGGCAACGACTGGAGATAAGGGAGAACCCATTGGGGTACCTTCAACTTGTTTGTAGAATGTTTTATTCCAGGTGAAGTCAGTGTTGGTGAGGCAGTGTCTAACCAGGGCCGGTACATCAGCATTCAGTTCTTATTGGACCAAATCTGCAATGATTGCAATGGTGTCAGGAACAGGAACAAAGATGCTGCATCGAAACTGACAAGGAAATCACCTGGAGATAGTGAGATGTCCTTAATTAACGATACCAAGTGAGCTGAGTTAACTACAGCTGCGGTGGTCTTACCAATGAATGGCTGCAAGGTCTCAGACAGAAATCGGGCCGGTTTGTAGTGGGTGAGTCAATGGTGAAGACGATAGGCCAAAGTGGTGTACACCTTTGTGGATTTTTGGTAAGCCATAAAATCTGGGTGGTCTAGCAGCAGAGGGTTTTAAGGAAAGCCGCTTGGTTGGTTCGATTAAAGATGTCGAATCAGTGATGATATTGTTGGTTTTCGTAACCAGGCGGTTGGTAGGATCTCTATTGATTTTGGTATAGCTACCATCATTAAATATGTCCTGAATTGTGTTGTTGTATGTGGTTTTGTCCATGATGACAGTGGAATTGCCCTTGTTTGTCTGAGAAGATGACTATGTCATCTCTCTTTTTTAGTTGAGAAAGCTCAAAGCGCTCATCCTTACTGATGTTGCTAATAGGTGTTTTAGCGTTTTTGAGGATTGCAGCGATTTCCGATCTTGCCACGTCTGCAGGAATGTCCCCCAAACCCTTAAGGGCTATGTCAATCTGGGCAATGATATCATCAACTGGGATGTGTTTAGGGATGACTGCGAAATTCAACCCTTTAGCTGATTGATAACAATCTTGTCACCGTCTAACTTTTTAACGTGTGGATCTGGCTTCTTCTTGGACAGGAGGTTGAAGTTCACAGAAAAAATGTCTACATCTGATTGTGAACATGTAGATAACATGACTGCCTCGTCAGCCGCCTCAATGTCAGCTAAATGCAAAGATAACCTGATTGCCAAGTTCAGGAATTATTCTTTGGTTCTTTCGGTTTGTTTGTTTTCTCATTCATTTGTACCTGATGATGGTTGCTTGTGTTGCAATCGAAACGTCGTATTCTATTATTTAATTTAATTTCTTTCTACGTGACTTTACCGAAAGAACCAAAGAATAATTCCTGCAGTCACGAAAGCTTCGAATCTAGTTTGAACCACCTCTACGGGGAGGGTTTGCCGTGCTTGTTTGTTTCACACTTAACATCTAATTTAGCAATCTTTGGAATAACGTAATCAACCAGGCTATGCGTTAACTGTGTGCTAACAGACGCTCTGTGTTGCATTGCATTATACTTCCTAATTTTACTAAATTTGCTTTCTACCATGCTTGTTTATGAGTCCATTCTCTCCCCCGGCCGCTATGGGGGCAGTAATTCCACACAACGCTCCGTGCTTGTTTGTTTAGAAGTCCAGTGTCCAGCTCGTCCATGCCCCTATGGGCAGGAATTCCACACTACTCCCACTCTGCCCCCACATCTGTATTTGGCACAGTGCAACGGTGTATGCTCCTTGGTGCAGGGGTTTGTAGCCGCAGTTGCACACAGGAGGGAGAATATTTTATTTTGCACTTATGCTTCTTCCGTGGAGGTGGGGTAGTTTTTGCAATTCTCTTTTCCCTGATGAGCACGTGTAACCGCGTGGATAATGAGATGGCGTGGGAGAACCCTCTAGAGTGTAGATTTGGATTAAACAAGCTCGGCGCGGGTTGTGACATGGCGTGATCAAGTCTGTAAATGACGAAGAAATCCCATCCTAACTAAATAATAACCGCATGTTTCGAACACCCCGCACAAACGTGTAAACAGTACTAAGCCTTGGTGAATTATGCAACAAAAAAAATGTGACTCACTGACAGGCAGCAGTTCTTCAGGACATGTCTTTTGATGGTAGCCTTAAGACAAGAGGGGCACGATGCTCTTTTGGTCCGGGGACTGCTGGTGGTGTTTTGCATGGCGCTCCCAAGGGTGAGCCCACACGTTAGCGTCGTTGTGAATGTACACGACGTGAGCAGGCACCGAGGCAGTTCGTCGCTAATGTGGCGGCTCCGTTTACAGGACATTCACCCGGACAGAAACGACATCCACGGGGCCATGACGGCATTCAAGACCCTGGCGGTGAGAACCCGACCCCACGCTAAGTGGAAACACGGCCCAGAGCAACTGTGACATTCGTTCATCGGGTCGCATGGGTCACTCGCAGCGTCTCAATGGGTCGCGTCATCACTACTTAACTCATAGGTTTTCGCAGCGAGTGTTATAATTCGAGGTTTTACCCTTTCTGGCAATAAAACTGGAGGTGTTAAGATGCTCAAACATCAAATATAGATACGTTTTGCAAGGCATCAAGTCAGCATTAACCACACATAATTGTGGCAAAACATGCAAACAAACATGCTCTGATAATATATGCATTGTCCTTGAAACTGATTGGCCTAATCCAGAGACAGCCTTTTTTATGGTCATGTCTCATCAGTGGTAGACCAGAGAATATCAAAAGGTCGAACAGTACAGAGACAATGCAAGTATCAAAACACTTATAGCTTTGGTTAAGCAGTTATAAAAAGGTCCCATAGATAGTATTACAATTCGTAGTTGCATTTTAGGTTATGCCACATAATGATCTTGCCATATGTATGTAATTAGATACCCTCCACAACTCAATGCAGCCAAACAAATGAACTGTTGCATGGTGTACAAGCGTTAAACGTGCCAATTGTTATTGTTTCAGCTCACCGGTAAGTTGTATAACAATTCTCACAACCAAACTTAGCATATATATTGGTTTAACACGTAGGCTTTCACGACCAATATTATTCATAATAAAGGTTTTTGGGTTAGATCACGTTTATTTATAAATGTGTCGTAACCCTCCACCACCCGACATGGCCAATCAGCAAAAAAAAGTGCCACGTTGACAAAAGACAAATAATTCACTACTTTAGCCCACCGGTGTGTTGAAGAGTGAATCCACAACATTTACAGTTTGAGTACGACGTTTCGCTGGTAAATACATCCAGCATCATCAAGCAATTCGCCAGAATGGTAAAGCCCTCGCTTGCTCCCGGTTTTATATAGAGCAGCAGGGTGACGTCATCACTTAACTCATATCAGGTGCAGTGATTAGAGGCGGAGGGGGGGGTATTGTAATTATATAATCGATTAGTAATCAGTCATTGGTTATGATTAGTAATGAGTTGTAGATTAGTAATTCTTTAAATCAAAATGTAATGTGTATTATTTAATAATACGCTTCCAGGCCACACTAAGCCTGTAGCTGTCAGAGCGATTAAAGTTATTCTTGTTCCTCTCAATTTCAATGGATTCTCTAATTAGTCTTTGCCAGTAATAATTAGTTTTACACACCACTGCAACATTGTCAAAATCAATTGAGTGTCCTTGTTGACAAGCATGTTCTGCCACTGCCGACAGTTGTGTTTGAGATAATTTAATATTTCTTTGATGTTCCTTTAGTCTTACACTGATGTTACTGTAAATGTGGTGGATTCACTCTTCAACACACCGGTGGGCTAAAGTAGTGAATTATTTGTCTTTTGTCAACGTGACACTTTTTTTGCTGATTGGCCGTGTCGGGTGGTGGAGGGTTACGACACATTTATAAATAAACGCGATCTAACCCAAAAACCTTTATTATGAATTAGCATATATATACGTGATATTTCGCTTAAGTCAATGTCACGCATGATCAGGAATATCTAAAAAGTCATGATACAGATTTGGGCAGATCCTTACGCGTCCAAACCCCAAAAATCAATTATGAAAGATCACTACTTGGTGACGCGATCTCTCACGATGGCTCATTAAATCCTGAGTTCACTTAGGTCCCATGACACACACGCGCTGCAGGTGACCCAGACCACCGTGACGACCTCGTCCGCTATGCTGCTCGCAGACGCAGTGCCGCGAGATGAGGAAGCGCAAGGAGCTGGAGCTACAGATGATGACGGAGCCGATCCGCGGCTGGGAGGGCGAGGACATGAAGGCGCTGGGCAGCATCGTGTATATGAGCCAGGCCGTGGTGCAGGCGACTGGCAGCGAGGTGGGCATTGCCGCCGTCATGGCAGGAAGTTGTGCACTCGCGAGAGTGACCCGTGTCTCGGCAGCTGGGTGTGGAGCGGAGGGGGCCACAATTGAAGCGATAAACGCTGAGCATCGCACGAAATCAAGAAATTGGCTTTGCGTGAAATTGTCTCGCGCACATGTGCTCGGTGAATTGTGAAATCATGGTAAAATCGCGAGAGGTGGCGGCAGGATGAGAGGCCTTTCTTCCAGCAATGGATTAATCACAGCTGATGATTGCGATGATGCATCCACAAAGCCACAATGATGGTCATCGAGCAGCTTCCATGGTGTTTAGGCTAACAGTGTGAAGCATGTGTGCCGTTTACAACTATACCTGTTTATTTAATCATAAAAACAGAGAAAGTTATAAGCCACAAAATGTCTAACCGCTATCTCTGTTTGCAATATGTTAATCCCAGTGATACCTGGCCTGCACATTCTAAATTATGCAATACTCCAACAGTAACTCTGCTCTTCTGTCCCAAAACCATCAAAATGTGACTGCCCCTTCAGTAAAACTTTGAACAGTCACACTCTCGCTCAGACAGCCACTTCACTTGGAACGATCTCCCACCCATCCACCCACACACGCTGGAAGTCTCACTTTGTTGAACTCTCTAGTGTAGCCTCACTGCTCACTACATCTGCAACCGCTAGAGCTAGAGCACACTCCGTCAGAACCCGCGGTGTGCACCATTTCACTACGTGTACTTCTTCTTTGGTTCTTTCGGTAAAGTCACGTAGAATGAGAATAAAATAATAAATTGATAAAATAAGACTGTCTGGAGGACAGCGCTGTCCTACCAGACAATCTCGCCCCTTCACCTGATGAAGGCCGCTTGTGTTGTGGCCGAAACGTCGTGAGAATATTATTGTGTTATTTTATTTTATCAATTTATTATTTTATTCTCATTCTACGTGACTTTACCGAAAGAACCAAAGAAGATGAATCATTGCAGTCACGAAAGCTTTAAATCGAAATTTAACCGCCTCTACTTGTATTTGTTTGTGTGTTTGGCCGAGTGCGATGTCTATTGTATAAACACGCACTGTACATGTAATAGATGTAATGTGAGTACACGCATCATCACGTGTTTGCTATTTAAGTGTCACTCAACACCCTGGAGATAAACGCCAAAAAATGTTGACACTAATTGTGCGCTGGGATGCTGCTGAGCAGGACCGGACAGAGCGCTTCCTGCTGCTCTTCCCGAGTGTGTTGGTGCTGCTGTCGGCGAGCCCACGCATGAGCGGCTTCATCTTCCAGGTAACCTCCGCGTCCTGCTCCCCCCCCCTCCTCTCCCGCATACCCCTCCTCACTTATTCCCTACCTGCACCCCTTCTCCATGTCACCTCCCCTCCGAATTCCTCCTCCTTCCTCCTCCTTCCTCCTCTGCCTCTGCCTCTACCCTCTACTTCTCACCTCCCCTCTGCTTCCCCCATGATTTCCATGTTTTCTATTCTCCTTCATGTTACCTTTGATCAGGTCCTGCTCCTTCCCTCCTCCTTTCCGCCTCCTGACCTTGTCAATACCACCACCTAAAGTCTTGAGGTCTGATGCTCTTCACCCACGCGGGTGAGGGTTATCGATGCCACATTTCGTGAGTCAGATTCAGCGCTCTTGGTTTGCAGGGAAAGTTCCCGCTCACTGGCATGTCCTTTACCAAGATGGAGGACGGGGATGTCTACCGCAACGCATTTGAAATTAACGGTAAACTGCTCGACACCTGTCAATAACAGAGAGAATAACACGAGCATCGTCTCCCATACGCGAACTGTTAGGCATGGAACGATGCATTGATGAATGAATTAACACCAATTCTCATGCGTTTAAGATATACGTCTGCCGAACTACTGCGGCAGATGTGTCTTCCCAACTCATTTATAAAAATGGCCACACATTCAGTTACTTTTAACACGTGTCCTGGATAAAGCTGAGGGCTTTTGTACATGCAGTGCTGTACACACACACACACACCTCTGCGCTGTTAAATCAAAATATCACGCTTGAAATAGTGCAAGCGGTTCATCATGCACAGTCGCACGTGCGCTGCCGACGCGGTTGTGTGCGAGTCGCTGCCGTGCACGCCGCCCACAGGGAACACGATGGACCGCATGCTGGTCTGGTGCCAGGGCCCACAGGAGGTGCAGGCCTGGCTCGAGCACCTCCACCGGCAGAGCCGCACCACTCCGCATGGCGGCGCCAGCATCCTCAAGTCCACACAGTCGCACTCGGTGCGGTACCATGGCCACACATGCCTGGGGGAAACCCACCCTGTCTAACACAAAGCTGTTAGTATTATTAATATTTTTATTATGCCAATTATTGAGTCACACTTGGTTTTCGCAGTAGCGTGCGACGATGGAATATCTGTTTTTTACTGAACTGAAGTAGTTTGCAAGTAATTTTTAAAACATGGCAACCTTGCACCGTGATGCCGGCACGATGGCATCCCCTTCTTTGAATGACATCACGGTATCTTTAACGACCGCTGTGAAGCAACACGGCACCATTATTTCATGGTTGTTGCATGGCGGCAAAGGCGCTACTGTTGAGCCATTTGCTCATGGTTTCACAGAACAAAAATACACGAAAAAATTTGGTTCTGCATTTGAATGTGGCAAAATTCCAGCTGTGAGGCTTAAAAAATACTGTCATGCGACAAACGTTACTCTCGGTAGCTACGTCGTCCAAAAAGTCACTCAATAATAATTCCATGTATATAGCGCTTTTCATCAAGGATCTCAAAGCGCTCTACAGGACACAGTACCGCAGCAGCAGACACTCGGCACTTGAAGAGATCCCGGCAGGTGGTTCATTGCTTTTGACTGTCGTGTGACAAACGACCTCATACAAGAGTGTGTGTGTGAAAGTCACATTTAGTGACATGATGCCAGTTGCACTATTGGGCCTAAATTATAATGGTTTATGTGGAGAGAGAAAAAAATATATAAGAATCTGTCGAAAGCTAATGTGTCCTTTCAGCTCCCGGCGCCCGTCTTAGCCAGCGCGACAGGGAAGCACGCCGACGGGGCTTCCAAGCTGCTGCCGGTGAATCCGGGCTACCGCACGCTACCACTTGCGGGCAGCCACGGGAGTCACGGCGCACACCACGTCCACCTGCAGACCTGGGGGCCCCTGGAGCCGCCCAAGACGGCCAAGCCCTGGAGCTTGAGCTGCCTTCGCCCGGCACCGCCGCTCCGCCCCTCCGCCGCGCTCATTTACAAGGAGGTGGGGCGGCACGGCGGTAGCACAAGTGCTTCGCGGCAAAAAAAGTGTCCGAGTTCGATTCCTGACTTGGTCGTTTTTCTATGTGGAGTTTGTATGTCCTTCCCTTAACCTGCGTGGGCTTCCTACGGGTTCACCAATTTCCTTCCACACAAAGGTAACTGGTATTGGTCAAACATCCCAATGCTGATAATTGTCTTGGAAATTAAACAATTGGGATTACACACAGCAGTGACATCGTCCCCGACTGTGAAAACTTGGCAGGACCCTCCAGAAAAAGAGTCAAGAAACTCAGTGAGGCTTTCCTGGGTAAATAGTGTAAATAAAACAATTATATTCTAACAAATCGGAACCTAAACATGGCCAGATTGTGACAAAAATCTATGGTAAATGTTCCCCTAGAATTGTTTATTTTAAAAGAAACTTGCTAACATTATGAAAAAATATCTGTTATTTAAGTAATGTATACTGCATCTGGAGACGCAGTTTGCATTAGATGTTACATTTAAATTGTAAGATGTGCTTATGCAGACACACACACACCGTGCAAAACAATGCCGTCATACAATCCTGTACCTTTGTGAAACACCTGCAGGAGCTGAGCAGGAGCCCGAAAACCATGAAGAAGCTGCTGCCATCTCGCAAGACACGGAAACCATCAGACGAGGACTTTGTGAGGAAGAGTACGCAAGTCCCACATGCTCCACCTTCGTTTACACTCCACCCTCACTCTCACTCCACTCTCACTCCACCCTCACTCTACCCTCATTCTCACGCCACCCTCACTCTCAATCCACCCTCACTTTCACTCCACCCTCACTCCACCCTCGTTTTCACGCCACCCTCACTCTCGCTCCACCCTCACTGCACCATTGCTCTCACTCCACCCTCACTCTCACTCCATCCTCACTCTCGTTCCACCCTCCCTCTCACTGCACCCTCGCTCCACCCTCACTCCATCCTGACTCTCACTCCACCCTCACTCCACCCTCGTTTACACACCACCCTCACTCTCACTCCACCCTCACTCCACCCTCACTCTCACTCCACCCTCACTCTACCCTCATTCTCACGCCACCCTCACTCTCACTCCATCCTCGCTCCACCCTCACTCCACCCTTGCTCTCACTCTCAAGTTCAGTCTTACTCTACCCTAACCCTAAGGGCCTGCGTTAGATTCCCAACAAGGTATGTTCTCCCCCTCTTCTGCTTGGGTTCCCTCCATGTTCTCAGGTTTCCTCCCATAGCTAAAAAAACGCACAATGTAATTGGTATTAGCCAAATACCCTGATGCTAAAAGATTACGTGTAAATTACTCATCTGGGGTTTTTGAGATGTACATTAAAAACGGATTCACATGACCCCTCCACCCATTGGCTGTCGCTACATTCTGTACAATATTGGAGAAATAACTATATTGTATCGAATTGAGACGTGAAATATCAACGATTATTGAAATCACCAGGGAGGTGAATTGATGCAGATCTGTCTACAAAACAAGACAGACTACATTCACAAATGTTACTGCTTTACGGTGTTAACATCCGCAATGTGGAGCTTTGTGAAAATTAAGTCAAAAGGCACGTTGCTTTTGCAGGGCAGGTGTTGATGGGCCACGGAGACCATTTTGCAAGAGAAGAGAGATGAATATGTAGTGTAAACGAAGGGTAATTGAGGTGGGAGTGTTCGCTGGATTACTGTGCGGACCAGAGAGAGCTTGGACCCTAGGCAGCTTGAAGAGAGAGGCTGTTGGCGTTTTGAGCTGCTGTGTCTGAGACGGATTCTGGTAATGCAGAAGTCTGGAAGAGAAGAAGGCAGGTAAGTGTTGTAGCTTTGACGAGAAAAAAACTGCTGCGCTGGGTGGCACCTGTTGCAGTGCAGGATTGGAGGGGTCTCCACAAGTCCGGAGATCGAGGGAAGCCCAAGAACCAGTCGGTGGGATACTTGACGGTAGATCTTGGAGGTCGTGTGTCGACTGTGCAGCAGCTGCGGGATCTGACAGAGTGGTAGAAAGCCTTGGCAATGAGGTGCGGTGGCATCCATCAATGGCTTTGGCCGTGGCAGCATCTTGTGCTTGATCTTTAAAAATCCACTGCTCAAGTGGTAATGCTGTGTGTTCTGTGTGCAGGTTCCGCAGCTGCGCTTGAAGAAGATACGCAGATTCTGAAGGTGATCGAGGCGTACTGTACCAGCGGCAAGACCCGGCAGACACTCAACTCCAGTGGGTCCCAAGCCACAACATGCACAGTGCACACACAGAGCTCACACACAGCGCAAGCACATAGCCCACACACAGCTCACACACAACGCACACACAGCGCACGCACACAGCTCACACACACAATTCACACACACAGCGAACACACATAGCCCACACACAGCGAAAAAACACACAAAGCCCACACAAAGTGAACACACACAGTGAACACACACAAAGTCCACACACAAAGCCAACACATAGCGCACACAGATTGTGCACACACATAGCCCACACACAGCACACATGACACACAGGGCATTGCTTATATCGCACACACAAGGCTTGTACACAGCATAGCTCCTGTTCACGCAACAAGATCTCTCATTGGGTCATTCAGTCTGCTTTTGAGTCTGTCGTGCCACTTTGAGATTCTTAAATGAGTGTGGTTGTTAAACTCCCCCATGGTGTTTGACAACTTACCGACCTCAGGGACCTCTCCTTTCAGCTTCCCATGTTAGCTATGATCTCCCAGATTCTCAGTCATGTCGTTAATAGGTGCATTAAAAATGATGTGGGATTTATGTAATTGTCTTCTTGCTCGGCTGTGTCCCATGCTCTAGAACAAAGATGAGTAAGAGTTGCCATGTCCACACCTCCGATTAGCATGGTTGGCTACGTACGGTGCGAAATTAGTTCAGCATACATACGTACAATGTGGCTTGGTGTACGTGATGGCTGAGGGCGTGGGTCCCTGAGGACTGCGGTCGATGTTCTGGGGCTCAGCGTTTGTCTTGACAGCTTAGAGGTCGGTGCGTTGGTGAAGGAGGCTCGTGGGGTGCCTGTGGACTAACGTGTCTCTTTTGTCTCTGTCCTGTCTGTGGTCATTTTCTTGATTTTTTTTGTCTTCCCTGCATTTTGTTTCATTTTACTTTGAGCATGAACCCCAATACGTTTAGCCACACCTGCCCTTCCCCTGTCGCGCATTTTTTCGTGGCCGCTCTGTCTTAATCTGTCTCGTTTCGCATGCACATTGCACGCGTGGTGCACGACGTTGTATTAATTTGGTGTTTTTTCAATCAGCCTTCTTCCTGTCCCCGTCACCGCCCCGCGTAACATCCCACCGACCCCTTTGTCTCGTCTCCTGTCAATCCCCTCTCGCTCCCACTCTTGTCCTTCCTGTGTTTGTTTGTCTTGCATTCCACGTATGAACCCCTCGCACTCCCTTCCCCATGTGTTTCTTGACTCGCTGCCGCGGACCTCCCGTCCCGGGTAACCGCGGCTCCTCCCGGCAGCCTGGCAGGCGACTGACCTGATGCACAACCACGTTCTGTCTGACTGTGAGCTGGCAGGGCCAGAGGGGATGGCCAGGCACGCCAGCCTGTCTCGCTGGGACTCTGCTGACCTCCGTATTGCCTCTGCTTAGCTTCATGCACACACACATGCACACACCCGTTCAAATATGTAAATGATAAGAAAACCCATCATAACGGACACATCAATTCAGGCTGGCAACAAAGGATTTAATAACACGAGGTGTCCTTTCATGTCCAAAAACGGCTCAGCCTTATCTGAGACCACCTGCTGGAAAGAACCGAGTGTGTGGCCATTTTGTCACTTCTGTGAACATTGTTGACTGTTCTTATGAGTCTTATTGAGGACGAAAGCAGTCGATAGTTGTATATTCTTCTCACAGCTGCCTCCATTGGGATGGCCATATTTTCCTCAACTCTTGAAATTTGTAGTCTAAAGAACAACATGGCCACAGGTCAGTTCTTTTGAGATGGTGGTCTGTATAAGGGTTAGAGCCTTTCTTCATGCATGCAGACCTTTGTGTGATGTTAAATACACATATACGTGATCGCACATTCGCATGTTCCATACACCCGGGGCTCGTATGCCAATTTAAAGATAACTGAAAATTAAAAGAGCAAGTTTGCTGCAACCTTATACTTACGCTTTCAACTATGCTTTGACTTTTAATCGATGCGTTGATGAACGTTAATGTAACTTGTACAGTTTCTGTCCGTGAGCGGTTGTTGCTATCTGGCTGTGGTCAGCTTTGCTGGCAAGTCCAGACGCCTTGGTGACTGCCCAGTGCTTTGAACGAGTGCCTTCTTGCTGCCCTCAGTTTGTAACAAGGACGTGGCCCCCCAAGTGCTGCTTCCTGAAGAAGAGAAGATGATTGTAGAGGAGAGGAAGAGCAATGGGCAGACGGTCACGGAGGAGAAGTGAGTGGCGCTGCTCCACCAAACACTGAGGGCAAAGAGAAGCAGAGGCAGTTGGTCCTCACGCTCTCAGTGGGATCCCGAGACTCGGAAATATTTCAATTATCAACTCCTTTCCTGTCAAGACAATGGGATTTCCTGCTCATGTTCTGTTTATAGGCCTTATCCTAATGGCAAAAATTCCACATTCCTCTGGCGTGAGTCTTCCCATAGGATATCCACTGTTGATCTTCCTACAATGCGGTAATCATTTTATAGACCCAGGAGGGACGATCAGCTGAGTCAACGCCCAACCTTCCAGTCACAGCCCCTGACACAACATGTGTGGGACCTCACCTGAAGTCCATCGCCTCTTAGAGAGGAGCCTGCTTTTAATCACGTGTGTTCCCTGTCACCTGCAGGAGCCTGGTCGACACTGTGTATGCCCTGAAGGACCAAATACAAGAGCTGAGACAGGTATCTCTTCGTGCTCCACACGGTGACGCGACCCGGCGCTTTTGCCTTCACCACTCGTTGCAGACGTTCACAGTTCAAATCCAGCAGCTGCCCTGATTCATACCGTCGGTGTGTCAACCATAGACATGTGCGCCGGCTGCTTCTTCGCAATCTACATTAAAGATCCTGTGATGTCATTCGAAATAGTAGGCCGTTGTGTGCTGGCTTCATTGTCCAAATTTGCTCAATAAAAAAAAATACCCACAAATTCCAATTGGGAATATAAATAGCAATCGTCAGCCACTCTTGAAAAAAAATCGGTAAAAAGTCATTGAGACTCAGTGCGGCTTTCCTGGGTAAACAATCAGTTAGAATCATAATAAAAATCCCAAACTTTAACCGGTTAATCTGGCTCCAAACTTGATCTCAACTCGGGCTTAACCCCATCGTCTATTTTGGCCACATTCACCATGGTTATTGAGATGTGCATTTAATCCACACGGATTTTGCTCTGGCTGCTGCCCCTCTCCCAGGAGACTCGGCGGTTGAGACATGGCCTGGACGAAGAGGCCAAGTCCCGGAAGGAGTTGGAAAAGATCCTCAAGCGGTGCCTCAAGGTCCCGAATGACGCGTCGTGGGACGAAACGAACCTTTAGCGGAGTAGGCCTGGGACCAGAGACTTGTACATATGCACTTGTGTGCGCCAACTCCACCACGGTCATGTTTACGGAAAGCAGCGGCGTGTTCCCGGGGAGCGCCTCGCCGCTCGTCCTGGAGACGCGTGAGGGGACGTAAGCCATGGGTGTTGTGGCGTCGGGCTCCGTGGTGCCAGACCACCCGAAGTCGAGCTACCCTCTGCCAGGGAGGCGTTAGCCGCGATCGCAGGTGAAGAGAGGCCCCCCCCCCCTCGTTTACCCCAGGCACTCCCCCACCACCACCACCCCTGCCCCCCCCATGGATAAGCCACTGCATGGGTCGTTTCATTTGGCGAGTGTCCATGATGGGGTGGCTTGCATGAGAGGAGCTCCCCCCATGGACGCCCAACAGCACTGCACGCTACACCACGGTGCAGCCTGGGAAAACTGCAAAAGCCTCACTTTTTTTTATTAGCAAGTGTTACATTACATTTTTGTTGTCTTTGGTGTCAGGAATTGACGATCATTTCACCAGTGTTGTTACCTCCGATTACATAATGTTACTGCATTTTTGTACTTATGTTGGTGTAAGTTATGGCCGATGGGTTCCGCACAGAGCAAGAATTACGAGTGTGCTTTACGATGCAAGTATCTTTAAGGAATCGTAAAGATTGCCAATTAGTGTTCAGGAAATATATCCAAAGGGCCTCAAGCCTCTCGGAGAGTACCGTATGATGTGTGTCTCGGATAATTGTACCAGACTGACATTTTATCAAGAGTAGGAGTGTTTTGAGATGTCGTTTTACAGGATACCTTTGGACGGGGCTGTGGTTGTGTGTGGGAAGCAAGATCATGGATAACGTCAATTTTAATTAAGATGATTCATTTGTTTGTATTCGGTCACGGGAGTTTGACCTTTGAAGTGTGGTGCTGTCTGACACGGGGGGGGGTATATAATGCCGTCTTCTCTGTCAGCAACACATCGGATTCTGCTCCTTTTAGATACGGAGTCGCGTCACTCGGTTGCTGCTGTGGAAAAGTCACTTGTGTCCCACTGAGGTCGTCACCACAACAAGTCATTGCAGGAGAAACGTATCACTTCCAGCACAATGTTTCTGCGTCTTACAGAGATTACATAACTTTTTCTTTGTCCTGCAAACTCCACAATGCTAAATTCACATTACACCGGCATCTGGTGCTGGAAGATCAATTTCGAGCTGAGCTTTGTGGCCTAGTGAGCTTTCTTGTGGCTTTCTTGCCACTGTTGTTGAGGTGGCCTGCTACATGACGTGTTCTGAACTTTATGATGGTTGTGGAGGCAGCTCCCACAATCGGTCTGTCGCCACGCACAAGCACATGCTAATACGCAGCCGTCACACTCGTGGCTGCCTGTTGGTAATGAGAGTTTTGCTTCTTGTGGGAGGAAACTGGAGCCCAAAGAAAAAACACCACGCATAGGGGGGAGGGGTTAACACTCAAAGCTCTGCACAGATATCAAGAATCCATTGCTGTACTTCCATCTTTTCATCTCCAGGCCACCTCGCAGCCAACGGCAACTCTACGACACCTAAATATCCCCAAGCAGTCTATCTTTCAAGTACTACCCAGGCTGCACTATGGCATTGTATATTATTTTATTTGGGGGGGATGGAGAGGGGATAAATATCCCCCGGGAATGGAGAATGAAAGTGCAGGCACAGTGATTAAAATAATCTGCGCCAGGGAAATCTGTCCCATCAACTCGCACTCTGGTATCATGCTGGATGCTGCAGGGCTGCTTTCCACTTCATCACTTTCCTGGTCGCACACTCAACTGAATACTATTGTAAGCCTAGTGTTAGCTGCCTTGATATTGGTGCTGGTGTTTTTATTTTGGCAGCCAGACATATGTTGGGTTTGCCTTGGCATAGAACTGTGATGGAACAATGGTTTGTGCAAAGAGTACGCAACCTTGGATATTCTTGTGACCCCGAATCTGATTATAAGTTGTAACGGCAATGAGATTCCGGCAACTTATTTTTCTAGAATGGTGTGGCAATCATTGCCGGTAACGTTTTCCGGCAATAATCGCTTTAAAATCGCCCCCGATTCATCATGACTGTCGCGATGCAAGGTGACCAACACGTCAGCCGTAGAGCGTGCACCTTGCTTCAGTCACAAAATTCGTTCCGTGATGCACCCCATCTCTTCCAGGCAATTCAGCTGCCTTGCTTTGGTTTTTTTGATACATTCTGGTGCGGGAAGAGAGATGTCCTTACAGGGATGTTAAGAGGCGCTGGGGCTGGTTGCATCAAATACCTTGAGTAAGTCCCCCCCCCCCCCTCCCTCATTGTGCTGCTTTAAATGAGAAAGTAGAACTTCCAGTTGTGTGTTTTATGCGACTGGGCACTGCCCCAATCACTTTGCCGTGCCACTGAGGCCCCCAGGTTGTGGTCGGGTGACATGGGTGCTTTGCGGTGATGAGGGCCGAAGCTGTGGCTTTAAAACAATAGCGCGAAGGTGATTAAAAGGCACAGCCTTTGTGCATTACGCAAAAAGAAACATCAGTTCTTGAAGAACTGCGCTGTGGTACTCTTATCTTAGGCCACCGAAATAAATTCGAGTAAATTTAACCACCTGACAGCAGCAGTGATGCACTGATGGGGAACACCTGGGGACACGCACCGTTATTCTCCCGTGATGGGATTGTCTCATCGTTTACAGATTTGATGGTGTCCGCTTGTTGATTCACCTCGTCATTGTCAACGCGACTTAGATGCTGTCACGACAAGTCGCCCTTCCAGAATTTGTATATTCCTCTGGGTCCGTGTTTTTAACGCTTTGCTTGCATGTATAAAGGCACCCATTGATGTATTTTTGTATGTTTTATGAAGCAAGGTCAGAGTTTGAACAAAGTCTGAAATGCAGTTAACATGTACGCCGTGCGGAAACCGTTTGGAATCGTCACTTTAACAGCGAGAGAATGCGTCGCGTTGTAAATACGCCCCGCATCCGCTGAGCATCTCGTGTTTTTTATGTACATGTCCAAGTTTGTAATGAATTTTATCAGTATCAATGTTTTAATGTATCTCCCTACTGCCGATGCTTAATCTCAACGCTATAAATTAAAGTCGAACGACGTGTGGAGTCGTCGGATTCCCGTTTTTTTCTTCTTGGGGTTCGGGCCGCACCGCCTGGATTCCCGTCTTTTGCTTTGGACGCGGGGAACGAAGTGGAGTGAGGAGCGCCAGGCGCATGGGACGAACAGAAACTGCGAGTGAACGACCGCCAAAGGTGGTGGTCAGAGGAGTGTCTATGAGAGGAATGGTGGCTAGGGTTAGGGAGTGAGGGGGATGGTGGCTAGGGTTAGGGGGTGAGTGAGGGGGATGGTGGCTAGGGTTAGGGTGTGAGTGAGGGGGATGGTGGCTAGGGTTAGTGGGTGAGTGAGGGGGATGGTGGCTAGGGTTAGGGGGTGAGTGAGGGGGATGGTGGCTAGGTTTAGGGGGTGAGTGAGGGGGATGGTGGCTAAGGATAGGGGGTGAGTGAGGGAGCTGGTGGCTAAGGTTAGAGGGTGAGCGAGGGGGATGGGGGTTAGGGGGTGAGTGAGGGGGATTGTATTAGTGGATGGTGGCTAGTCAGCTCAGGTTAAGGCAATGGGGTTTGTCTGCTCCCAAGTTTACCTCTACACAATTCAATGTGTCTGTGGCTCAGCAGTACAACACGCACCCTGTTGGCGTGAAAGAGTGCTCAGTCTCTGTTTACACTGCGAACTACGGGACCCCCTCCCCCCCTTGCTTAAGCCCGACAGCTCGTGTCGGGAGTGTGGTGACATTCCTGAGCCAGCGGTGGAAATTCCACATTCGTATGGCGGGGGGCGAGGCCACCAGAAAGACAACCCAAGTTTGACGTCCCCATGAAGTAGTGCTTGCGGCTCGCTAGCTCTGCCACTGAGCATCGGAAGAGAGTGTGGATTCATGCGCACGGAGCCTTAGAGCAAATGTGGACCTCCTCCCTGTTGAGCACCAAGTCCCCGTCCATGTTAAACCTCCGTCCCCGCCGCCCTCCTCGCTCGGGTTGGCAGACGCATGACGTCAACGACGGTGGTACACGTAGTTTGTCTCGGTTTAAAGCTTGCGTGACTGCAAGGATTCATCTTCTTTGGTTCTTTCGGTAAAGTCGCGTAGAATGAGAATAAAATAATAAATTGATAAAATAAAATAACACAATAATATTCTCACGACGTTTCGGCCACAACACAAGTGGCCTTCATTAGGTGAAGGGGACGAGACTGTCTGGAGGACAGCGCTGGAGTGAGTCTCGTCCCTTCACCTGATGAAGGCCGCTTGTGTTGTGGTCGAAACGTCGTGAGAATTTTATTGTGTTATTTTATTTTATCAATTTATTATTTTATTCTCATTCTACGTGACATTACCGAAAGAACCAAAGAATAAGTTGTTTGTCGTTTATTGTGAAAATTCGGGCACAGTTCCTATGATCACTGTTACATTGCTTTTATGGCTTTATTTTGGTGATTTCGAAAAGTTTTTTTGGTTTGGCCATGTTTGCTTGTTGTAGTACGGAGTTAAACTGATGGCTTTAATCTAAGCTGTCTTGTTGGTTGTTGTTGTTGTTTGACTTGCATCCCACTGGGATTTTTGCACACAGCGTTGGTGTACGGTGCTTTTTCTGGAATATTTTAGCTGTTTTTTCCTGGATGTTTCTGTTTGCCAAGTCACTTTAAGATGTTTTCTTGTTCATGTTTTTGTTTGTTGCGGTTGCAATTTGTTCAAGAGCCGAATGTCTCACAGGGCTACACCAAATAAATGAAACTGAAATGAAATTAAAAAAAAAGTTTCGTCGCGCGAGACGCGCGGTGTGATTCCTCCCGCGACAACGTCACAACAACGGCGCTGAGCAGCAGCGCGCGACGACGTCACTCCGCGACGCGATGGCGTCACGTCACGGTCAGGCTGAACTCGGGGCGCGACGACGTCACGGCGCGACGCGATCTCGTCACGAACCGGCGCGCGGGTCTTGACGTCACGGCGCGACGCGATGTCGTCACGAACTCGGCGCGCGGGTCTCGACGTCACGGCGCGACGCGATGTCGTCACGAACTCGGGGCGCGAGGGCGTCAACCCGCGACGCGATGGCGTCACGCCGCCGCGCTCCTGCTTAACCGGGGCGCGACGGCGTCACGGCGCGACGCGACGGCGTCACGCACACGGGGCGCGATGGCGTCACGGCGCGACGCGATTGCGTCACAGACGGCGTTAAAACAAAATCGTCTTGCGGGAGGCGCCTTCCCAGAGTCCCGCGCGCGCAAACATGGAGGAGCTGGTGGTGGAGGTGCGCGGCTCGAACGGCGCCTTCTACAAGGTATGGCGGCCCTGGTCCCACACCCCGCGCCTGTCCCTTCTCGCTTGCTCGGCCCCCTCCCCAGACCACCTCGGGGCTTCCCCCGAGTGCGGTCCGCGTCTCGTGGCGGCCCACGGGCGATCGGCGCTCGCGGGGCAGCCGACGCCGCGGTTGAGGGGGCCGCGACGCAGAGAGAGAGTCGAGGCCTTCAGGTGCGACGGTGGTGGTGGTGGTGTGGAGAGCGAGGGGACACGGGGAGAGACGCGGGGAGATGGTGGTGGGGGAGACGCGGGGAAAGAGGGGGAGGCACGGGGATGTGGGAAAAGCAGGGAGGACATGGGGAGATTGGGAGATTGGGAGACGCGTGGACATGCGGAGTTTGGGAGGCACAGGGGTCGGAGACATGGGTGAGGGCCGGTGGGAGACACGCTGACCACCGGGATACGCTCAACATTGGTTACGAAGAGAGACGGAGACACGAGTGAAGGGAGACTGGAGTTGGAGCGAGACACGGTGTACAATACACGTGGGAGACGCTCAAGGTATGGGGACACGGGGGCGAGACGTGAGGAGAGAGATTGACACAGGATTCACAGGAGAGACGGCGAGCGAGGCCACCGCTGGACAGGAGGTGAGAACCATGGGAGACACGGGGGGGGGACAGGCACAGGCAGAGACGACACGGCTGGTGGAGGGAGAGTTGACAGGGTTGCCATCGTGGGTTGCGAAACCAGGGAGTCATTGGGCCACAAAGCAATAGAAGCTGTAAGCCACATAGTTCATGAGGACAGGCAGGCATAGATGTAGATTGACAGATGGGAAGACGGGAATTAGTGGCCTCAAGTCACCACATAGGTTGTACTGTAGTTTGACAACTAAGTTACAACATTGACCAGCCCCTTTCCATACATTTGTGTTGTCATAGCTACCATGAACAGAAGGGAATGGCAAGCGTGCCCCCGTGGCCTAGAAATTAAGATTGTTTTTTGATTATGTTAGACGGTGCATGGCTTTAACACTTTTGGGGGTTTTTTTGTTATCGAGACACTACACCGCTGATTTTTTTGTGTCGATTTTGAGAGAGGGATGAATCTGGTGCTCAACTCTTCCATCAGAGACCGAGCACCAGACAGGTGTGGGAGGGGGGGGGGGACCATGGGTGGTTTGGGCTTCTGACAAGATGCAGTTCTCACGCACGCCGCATCTAATGTCCAAATGGTGGCAGCGCACTCCGATTGGGGTTTTCTTGGGTAGAAAATTACAAATTGTCAGATTTCAAACGGTGTGTATGACAACAATAACGTACTCCACACCACTCACATGGCCAAAGTGAAAACTCCGAAAATCGCAACGTCGCCGAACGCGTGCGGTAGCTAAAATAAGTCCTCCACGTGGCCGGTGTGAAAAGCTTGCTCACAAATGGAGACACTTGTGCGTTGGTTGATACAGAATGGAGTTTGCAGACTATTTTTGGTGGGCACGGTCACACATCGCGGCACCCTACCAATCGGCTATAAATACAGCGAGGATGGAGGGAGTGGGGGGGGCATTCCATGGTGTGGCGTGTGTGTGGGCTTGTTCGCTAGCCTCTTGTGGGACCGTCAGCTGTCGCGCCCGTCAACAGATTGAATGGCGACCCGAGGTCTCTTTCCTTGGGTTTCACAGGAGCAGTACCTACGGTACCCCTTCGCAAAGAGAGCGAGCGAGAGAGAGAGCAGCCCCCTGCGTGGGGAAGAGAAAACGCTCCCGTGACAGAATGATGGCTGTGTGGCCCGGTGAGGCTCTATTGCGCACGACGGCTGACGATGATTGACAGGGAGGCAGGACTTTTCCGCTATCGCGTCTGGGTGGGCTGCCCGGGGGGGGTGGCAATGTTTCAGACACCGTAACTGGGCAAGGCAATTTTGGCGGAATCCTTCGAGCGTTCTCCACTTTTGGGATTTGGCCTCTCTTGGTGGTTTTCTTTTGCGAGCGTACGAGCCGAAATGGTTCAGGGACGCCTTCCTTCGCGTGGGTCTTAAGTCTCTGTTGGCTGCTTTTTTTCCTTAAAAGAAAAAGCAAGTCTGATGAATGGCACCCATTTGGATTTTTTCGTGTGGTTATTGGGACAAACTAAAGAGGGAGAAGATAGTGGCTTTTGTGGAGTTGACTGCTGCCCCAAGTGTGTGTGTTCTCTCATGGAGGAGCGGTGGTGCAGCGGTTAGCGCGCTGCGCTACGAACCCGGCACCCCGAGTTCGATTCTCGCTGATGGCCAACACCAGTGGCGATTATCTGAACCGGTCCTGGGCCTCCCCTAGGTCGACTCAGCCTCTGATAAGTACCTGGTGCTCTGTGTTAACATCGCCACTGGGGAGACAAATGTGGTCTGGCATGGTGTTGGCCACCCACCCCCTCGTGTGCGGTGCTGGCCTTCATAGGTGCTCACTAACAGCACTTGCCCCAACAGTCTGCTCAGGCTATACAGGGGATCTTTGTCTCACGGTCATCCACCCTGTCATCTCTCCACTCTTGTCATCTCTCTCCGTACCTGCAAGGCAAGCTGTTTACACGCTTATTGCGTAAATTGTCTTGTAATGTTATAGGAGCTTTTTTGTATAAGAATTTGATTTCGTGTACATATGAAGTAGCTTCTTGCAATGTCGATGTTGGGTTATTTTTGCTTCACCATTATTGTAGTGACATTCTTATAGCCACTCAACCGTTTAAACAACCAACGATGACCAGCTTTAAGTTTTTATGCCAGGAGTTGCCAGCTAAGTTTAACCAGAATAGTGATGGATATTTTGAC